CACACAACATATATATATATTTATATAGATATCGGCACTTTTTCTATCACTATAGTTTGTGATAGATTTGCTTTTTGCTGTCTGTCTCTGTAGATTGTAGAGAACTTGTAGATTTATAAAACACACTGTACAACCATATATAACCTAGATTGTGTGTTTGATAAAAAAGTTTTTTTTTTCTTTCATATCAAATAAAAATTAAGATTTAAATGAATGATGGAATATATTCATTTTTTTATTTATTTTTATAAATGATATTAGATTTTCAATTCAAGATTCTCAGTTTTTTTTCTTGACTGATAAAATATATATATAGATAAGGTAAAACAAATATTAATTACAATATAACTTTTATTACATTGATACTCTGAAAGTTTGACTGGTTTTCAGATTCTAGTTAGAATGATATCAGTTACTTTTCTTTAAAACATTTTGATAAATGATGATTTGGTAACAATTGGAATAACTCTGGTGATAAAAAAGACATCTACACACTGTCTACTGACAATGGTATACACTAAGACGTGTCGGTTATACGTTTCCTGTTTCATCCATAGGGTGGCTTCATAACGATCAGTCTGTCACATTGCCTTCCACATCCGTCCAACCAACCATCCATGTTCGTCCAACCGTCCATGTGTAACCATCCATGTTCGTCCAACCGTCCATGTGTAACCATCCACAAGCTTCCTCTGTTTATGTGGGAGTCCGTTCCTGGATCTTGTTAATGTTTGTCAAACTGGATAAACACGATTCATGTGTGATGTTGCTTTATAAGTGGTAAAGTTTCCTTGGCTGTGCTCAGTATTGTGCAGCGTTTAGGAACATTGTTCTGTTGTTCTTTGTAAAATTGTAGCAGACATTTGTTTGACTGGGACAGAAACAGATAATTGTCCAACGCTCTTCGTAATTTTTATAAGGTCACCTGAGACAAAGTCTCATTGTGACCTATTGTGATCGCCTTTTGTCCGATGTTGTGTCTCATATGATATGCATCCTATGTCGAGCATTGTAAGTTTTCAACTTTTGGATTTCTTCTGGAAATCTCTTGAACAGATTTCAGTGAAATTTAGAAAAAAATCCTTCCATGGCCAGAGGTGCACCAAAATTGTAAATTATATGGTCCCCACTCCCTAGGGGTCTGAGGATTCAAACTTCAGAAATCTTCTTCCCAAGACACAGATAAGGTAGATCCAAATACTCTTTTTGGGTGAAAATATCCTAAGGTGCTTCATACAAATGATGAATTTCAAGACCCTACAGGGTCTCACATAACCTTCTTGAGATGAGCTAAATTTTACTATAGTTTATATAGGAAAATTACGTTTTTAGCATAATTTGTTTATCTTATATTTAGTTCAGACTAAGTTAAAATTATTTGTATGAGAGTTTGACAATTTATACATATTGATCATGGCTGACCCCCAGGGGCTGGTGGACCGAGTCAAAAAGGGTCAAATTGGCTCAATGTTTAAAGATCTTCTCAATACCCAAACCAAATACTGTTCATGAATAGAAGAGTTTATGTAGGAAGATTACATTTTTGAGTATAATTTCTCTGAATTCAAATGTGGTTTGAAACCTTAGCATGAGATAGCAGTTAATATTATGCACAGTTTATATTTGTGTTACGTGTACAAAATAGCTCAAGCTACTTTGCCTTTTTAACAAGATTATATCTATGACATGTTAAAGAAGCATTGTAACTCAGGTGACGTTAAGGCCCTTGGGCCTCTTGTTGTTGCACAGATGTTCTTTGAAGAGTTCAGTTTGTCAGTGTTCTTGTTTGTGATTTGATCTTTCTAACCTTTTTAAATATTACATAAAATTTGTATTATTATTCTATAGACCTATTAATTTTACTGAAATTATTTGTCTTCTTATGTACACATTAAATGTTTGTTCACAAAAAAAAAAAATTAAACTGAAAAACATATAAAATGATGCAATGAAAAAATAGCAACTTAAACATGTCTTAAAACTTGAGGGTATATTTAATGTAAACATTTTGAGGTTCAAGTATCTCAGGATTTGAGTTTATATCATGTGTCACATATAAGAGGTTACAGAACAGTGAATCAATATGTGTATGATTCAAAGCTACCTGGTAGTAAAGATATGTGTATGATATAGAAATTAATGGATAAAGGTTTGTTAGTTTGCTGGGTGGTAATTTTGGATGGAGTATCCTTGTAAAGCTGGTGACTATTGCTCTGAACAGCATAAGGGAGGCCTGCTATAAGGTATCCTGAGTATTTGGGGTAAAAGTTGAGTTTCTTGCCCAAGGGCACAAGAAATAACAGAATATCTTGTGATCTCAACTTTTTAAGATATGCATGTAGAGTATGACGTGAAGGAGAGGGGAGGGTTATCAAAATTGGTCAAATTAGAAACCTGATGTTCAGAGATAGTTACAAATTTGTCTACAATGAGCATTAATTATTACAATTTGTATTCTATATTTTCATGTTTATACCATGTTGTATAGTAGATAATTATCTTTTGTGTAGCTTATGTCTGTAAATTAATTCTGATGATCAAGCTGTCTATTTCGTTGTCCTGAATTGTGTTTTTTGTCTTTTGTACCTGTAGATTGATGTTGTTAATGATGTATAATTAACTGTATGGATAATCATGCTGATAAATAAATCATTATTGACAGTTCAAACAAATAATTCTTATTTTCTTTTCGAGACATTATCTTACAGCTAACATGTAACCATAGGACGTAACACTGTAGTATATGATATTGATGGTGGATACTACAAAGTGTATCCATGATACACACGGATACATGTACTCCATAATTTTAATGATGGATACACCAAGATGTTCATGGAATAATTTACATTCCGTATAAAATCTAAAAGTTTCTTCTTTAAATCTGAGTTAACCAGAGATGTTACATATTATTTCTGATGTCTAGGCTACATAGGAATTACCTCAGCATGATACCTATTTATACCTGATATATATTCACATATTGACATGCAAAAATAATTACAGCTTTGTGTAATTTCTACTTGATATTGCCAGTATTCAGATAAGCTTGTAGATTATGTAAAGCCAACCACTAAAAGTTTACAAAACACCAACGGAGAGACTTTCAGAACATTTTCTGTGTGACAAAGCATGAAAAGAAAATCCTGAGTTTTGTCAATGGAAATAATTCTACGGTGTCAAGGCTGCAGCTTATTGAATGCTGAGATGTTAGACAAACTGTAGATTTTATTTTTTTTGACAAATTTTATTTACATAATAGATAATTACTGATAAATCTCCATGATTTTTGAGCTTGAATTTAGTCTTCATACAATTATGCTGTCTGTATAGGGTGTTGTTCCACGGTAAAACCTCATATTTATTTTGTCATGATCAGTGTCTTGGAACTAAAGACCGCGTGTCATTTTTGTCCTTTTTCATGGAGTGATAAATTGGTCTTGAGATGTGAATTGAGAAAATGGGGGTATTGTACATATATCATAAAGGGAATAATTTTCTATCATTTTGTTTTAACTACCATATTCACAATATCTCTTCAATACTTATAAAAATAACAATATCATATATAAAAGTTCTGAGATAGACAACACACAGCAGGACATAGGTCAGAACAGCAGGCTTCCATAGGAGAAAATCAACATGAGGTTATTTGTATTCAAGTTCTTAACATCTTAAAATCGGATCAAACTAGATAATATCTTGAATTTTCTATTGAGCATGAAGAATGAAGTGAACAGCCAAGCTACCTGTATTGAAGGTCAAAGAGGAATATCTAGTCACAAGCATTCATATATATATATTATACATATCGTACAGAGAAAATCTGCTCAGCTCGTTTAACATGTACTTCACTTTACTGGGCTTTTAACATTCAGAACATGGATTGTAAACATTTCAATCCTATTTGTTATCGGAAGTTTGTTGTCATGGTGCTGTCGGGTTCCTTCTGCTATGTTGATCAATCTGAAAGTGAGGACATAGTGAAGGAGAGAGCTTTATTATAAATTATCAGTGATGTCCAGATATAGGTAGAAATCACTGCCAATTACAAGTGAAGCCTTAACAGTTCTGAAAAAGATTTGTCAACTTGATGCCTCAAGATGAAAAATTATCAAACACAATATTATTTATTGTGATACTTCACTGGTAATAAGGTTTACTGGTTTAAAATTTGTTTTCATATTTATTATAATGGTTATACATAAAACTTCAGTTCGTTGAAGCTGTATTAGAAATCATATCAGTTGAACTGGTTTTGATTAAGCTGCTCATCCATTGTACAAGATAATATTGACTTTAAATTGTACTGTCAGTTCAAGTGTTAAGCGATTTTCATCACCATGGTAACTAATACAGCCATATTTACATAGAAAGTCCATAATATCAAATGTAATCTACTAGTTTGATACTGTTTTTGTTTCATAAGACCTGCTCAATCTGTATGTATTTGTATATGAATATGTATTTGGATGTGTCTATGACATTAAAAGTACACAACACTTCATTCTATTTGGCTTACATTAATTGTTTTTACACAATTCTTGTAAATCTTAGAAGAATTTTCAGTGACAAATATATTATTCATTTTAACACCTGCTGTTTTAAATGTGGAAGATATGAAATGCTTCTTTAGTTATTCCCTAAAGAATATTCTTGATCACAAAGTGATGATTTAGCCTGTTAATAGAGGTAAATTGTAGACTGTCTGGTTTATATCACATCTGTTAATGTCACATACTTATTGATCCTATCTCAGTCATTTATGGTAATGATTTCTAATAAGGATGTCACCTGTATCAGACTTATTGTATATGCAAATGACACTGCACTCTGTTTTATTATGATATAAAGTTTATAAAGAAACATGACTGAATGATTGTTACAATAATACAAATTAGAGTATGCCTGATTTGTGCAGATAATGATATCTGCTTGTATAGTCTGATTTAATTACATCTGTGTGTATTCATGATTAAAGAGGAAATTTTGTATTTCAGTGCTGGATTTGTGATATTCTACGATTTTGTACTGAATCTGGAGCCAAGTGTGTCAGCATGTCGACTCATTGTGGGTCTTCACAGTACCTCCCAGGCCATGGGGGAGCCCACTGTTCTACCTACCGTTTACTGTGAGCCCGCCACAAGAGCTACCTACATGCAGAATGTGTCAAATGCTGTGATAGGGGCACGACAGCCTGTACCCAAGTATGTATACAACACAACTGAAATACTGTACCTGATATTTTGTATAGCCAGTGAAGAGTGTTGATCAATAGGAAGAAATGACAAAACTATAGGCAGAGATAACAGAGTTATCTCCCTTAGCCTGAACATAATCATAACTTTCTTATTACCAATATTTTTTGCTTTATTTGCATAAAATTGGAGTAGATGTCAGCCTGTGTTATTAAAAATATGTGAATATATTCAGTTTTCTATATATAAAAGCATTTGGTTGTTGTAGATGTCCACCAAGCTCAGACCTGGGTATAGTTGTGGAGTTACAGCTGTCTGGAGGACCAGCATCTGAATATGACAGACATAGTCTCATCACTCGTGCGTGGGTTAAAATCCCCATATTTGACAATGACCAGAGGCTAATGGCTGGAAAGTTCCGTATACCCTTCCGAAATGTCCCAATCAAACCATTCTTCCATGCTAGTCAGCTACAGACCCTCCAAAAGGTAGGCGATGTTTATACACACTAACCAGTAACTGTCTGATACTGACGGAATGTTCCTTTGTGCTTAGAGAGAATAGATGACCCTACCCTTTTTTAACATATGAACAAGGAATTGAATTCTGGTTGCTTAAGTGAAAGGTGTGTTACCACAGGCCATCTGTACTCTCTGTGTACTTGGATCAAGGTGTCTGATGTCTCTTTGTAGATTTTTTCTGTATTATGTAATATATCTAAATGATCTAATTGATTCCTTGATGTAAATTTTAACAGGTATCAGTTTTGGATAGCTTTGAGTTGGTGAAGGGGTTTATGCTGTGCTATCATATCAGTATGGGGACTACATTATTACCACCTGATTGACTTTCAATTTGTTGGAGAGGTTTGTTAGTTCTATGTAGATATTACCCTGCCTTATCAGATGATGGACTGTTTTTGGACTGTTTTGAAGGGCAGAATTGTCCTTCACCTATGATCCGTCCATCTTTCATCCGTCTGTCTTTTATCAGTTCTTGTTATCACTGTTTCTCAAGAAGTATGTACATGTAGTGGATCTTTCTCAAATTCCATATGTATGATTTTAAAAATTGAAGTTTGTCATTTCTATTTCTTGAGATGTAGATCTCCTCATCTCCTTGTATGGGTTTAGTTTTTGACTGATCAGGAAAAAACAAAATGGCTGATGGTTGGCCATTTTTTAACTTTGAAGTTGAAATTTGTTTTTACTATTTTATGAGAAGTACTAGATGAATCTTTCTTAAATGCTATATGTAGGTTCAGCTGGGCTCTTAGTTTTACAAGATCAGTTTTAGTCAGAAACACAAAAAGGCTGACAGGCAGCCATCTTGGATTTTGACAACTTTAAAACGTTTTTACTTTTTCTCGAAAAGTACTGGTCAGATCATTCTCCAATTCAGTGTGTAGGTTCTCCTTTATACTCAGTTGTGCATTGGCAATCCTGAGACTGACTATAATAACAATATGGCTGACAGGCAGCCATCTTGGATTCAGACTGTTATACATGTAGTTATATGAGTTCTAGAGGAATCTTTCTCAGGTTTAATGTTGGGTTCCTCTTGAACTTTAGTTGAGTATATTTGATTTTTGCATGGGTTAGCAGGAACATAAAAAAGGGAAAAGAACTTATAGAATAAAGATCATAGACTGGTTGACACCAAGATCCCTATAGAATCTCTTGATTGTTATATCATTTCAGTATTGGGACTATAAGCTATGTGTTCTATCTATTGGTTTATCATTTCAGTATGGAGACTGTAACTATGTTCTATTTATGGGTTTATCATTTCAGTATGGAGACTGTGAGCTATATTACCGCCTGGTTAACATGCGAGACATGGAGATTCAGTCGATGAACCAGATATCAGCCAACAACCAAAACCAGTACCGAGCACCAAATGTATGTCTGTGTACTTCTATCTCACTAAAAAATGTAGATCTCTCTTAACATGTGTGTAATGCTGCATTGAAAAATCATCATATAATAGTTCTTCCAGTTTTATTAAGAATCTGAAATGAATATGAAAGATAAATGTATGAAGTATGAAATCTGACTTTTAATGCTGTAGAGAGACTCTCGTTTATACATAGACTATTTTTGGCAGATATGATTTGACAAGAAATAGTATACCAAAGCAATGGTCTTTTTAGATAAATATCTAAAAACATACATCAAATAGGCATTTATACATGTAAAAACATTGTAATATTTATTTACTAACTCTAGTTTTCATAAGTGTAAGCTGTTAAAGTCTTAATTAGCTTTTAAAATTTTGACTTAGCTTTTGTTTTTTTGAATTAGCTTTGTTTAACCTTCACGTGTATATTTTGATTAGTTCACTTGCTGTAATATTCTCTGTAGCATGTTTGTTTAGATCTCTTTGCTTCATTGTACAGGTGTGTATTCAATTTTTTTCAGATTCCTCAACCGCCCCCGAACCATAAACCATTTACTCCACAAATTCTCCCTCCTCCTCCCCCCTCTGCCTCTATCCCTGGGTCTGCAGGAGAGGGCAATCATTACAGGTAGGATCACTGCTCACTATTACACTACGCATGCTGGTTACGTAATTTAATTGTTAAGTTTTTTTACTGATGAGATTAATATGATATATATTTTTGTCCCTAGTTTTAACACTATGATTAAGATAGTCTACACCTTAATTCAAATCTCTATTGGTGAATTTGATGCATGGGTTAGAACAGCAAAATTAGTCAGGATACAGTACTTAAGTGTGATAGAAAGTTGGAGAATTTGAGGAACCTAGGTTATTAAATCGAAACCAGGTAAATTATCTGTAGATTAATGCTTTAAGGGACAGCTAAAAACCAGTGTCATGTACACCCCAGAAAGCTGATCCTATCTCACCTTTGTGTGGCTTGCTTGCATCTCTTTAACACAACTTGAAGGCATGTCACAGGATACTCCATCCAGCGACTCTACGAATCATTATATAATTGCTGCAGATGATATTGTGTAGGGGAGGAGGAGATAATTGTTTGTAGATGTAGAGTAAGTTACGGGATCTCACAGAGCACTGCTACCTTCTACCTATTTAAGACTTGACTTTTATAATCTCTAACACTAACGGACTAAAGTGATATTTAGATATTAGTATTTAACATGACCTTAGATACTGACAACATTTCTGTATAAGTATCGATCAAAGTTAGAATTTTACTCTTGATATATAGAAAGAAAACAAAATTGTTTTGACTAACAAATTTCAACATTTTATGTACAGGGAAGTTAGTTGTGTAATTTGGTTCAGGAAAGAAATTATGGAGGTCAGCAGTTAAGAGGTACATGCACATGTTATATAAAATTTCATATAAATTTTCTAATCGATACATTAAAAAAAGATTGATATATATATCTTATGGAATGTGCATTGGTTGTAAAGTAATTCCATTCCTTGAAATTGTGGCCCAATTTTTAAACTTCTTGCTTTTGTTTCCACAGCTCTAGTGTTAAACATAGTACTGCTATCAGGTATTAGTTTTCCCTCATTGTTCTTTATCAGGTGTTATGTGCCCCTGAATGTCCAGAGTTTCTCACAGTTGTCCCTTTGTGGCCTGAGTTTCCCTCCTGATGGTTATCCCTCTGATGTCAGGGTGTCCCTCTTCACAGATCTCCCTTTGATGTCAGAGTGTCACTCCTCACTGCCCTCCCCTTTATGTCAGAATGTCCCTCCACATAGTTCTCCCTTCGTGTCAGAGTGTCCCTCCTCACTGCCCTCCCCTTTATGTCAGAATGTCCCTCCACATAGTTCTCCCTTCGTGTCGGAGTGTCCCTACTCACATTTCTCCTTTTGATGTCAGAGTGTCTCTTATCATGGTTTTCCTTCTAATGTCTACGTGTCCCTGTGTCAATCCTCATCACTGCCCTCCCCTTTATGTCAGAATGTCCCTCCACATAGTTCTCCCTTCGTGTCAGAATGTTCCTCCACATAGTTCTCCCTTCGTGTCGGAGTGTGCTTACTCACATTTCTCCTTTTGAAGTCACAGTGTCTCTTGTCATGGTTTTCCTTCTGATGTCTACGTGTCCCTGAATCCTCATAGTTCTCCAGTTCTCTTTATCATGCTGGAGTGTCCCTCCTCATGGTCCTCCCTCTGATGTCAGGGTATCTTTCCTCACTGCTCCCACTCTTTGATGTCATAGTGTCATCACCCACCCTATCACTGTCTTCTCTCTGATGTCAGTATCCATCCTCACTGTTTTCCCTTTGATGTCAGAGTGTTCGTTCTCAGGGTTCTCCATCTGATATGCGTATACCTGTTCATTGTCCTCACTCAGATGTCAGAGTGTTCGTTCTCAGGGTTCTCCATCTGATATGCGTATCCCTGTTCATCGTCCTCACTCAGATGTCAGAGTGTTCGTTCTCAGGGTTCTCCATCTGATATGCGTATCCCTGTTCATCATCCTCACTCAGATGTCAGAGTGTTCGTTCTCAGGGTTCTCCATCTGATATGCGTATCCCTGTTCATTGTCCTCACTCAGATGTCAGAGTGTTCGTTCTCAGGGTTCTCCATCTGATATGTGTGTCCCTTTTCATCGTCCTCACTCGGATGTCAGAGTGTCCCTCCTCACTGTTTTCCCTTTGATGTCAGAGTGTTCGTTCTCAGGGTTCTCCATCTGATATGCGTATACCTGTTCATCGTCCTCACTCAGATGTCAGAGTGTTCGTTCTCAGGGTTCTCCATCTGATATGTGTGTCCCTGTTCATCGTCCTCACTCAGATGTCAGAGTGTCCCTACTCACTGTTTTCCCTTTGATGTCAGAGTGTCCCTCCTTACTGTCCTCACTCAGATGTCAGAGTGTCCCTACTCACTGTTTTCCCTTTGATGTCAGAGTGTTCGTTCTCAGGGTTCTCCATCTGATATGCGTATCCCTGTTCATTGTCCTCTACATGATAATGTCAACTCTTGAATGACTTTTTGTGATACTAAACAACTCACAATATACATCTAAATCAGGAGGAAGGTTTTGTGGATTCAAGTTTTTCTTTCTCTGTTTTTTTTAAATGCTAAAGGATATAAGTTATGTCTTATCACATCTTTGTGTATCACAAAAGTTCTGACTTCTAAGTCACATAGTGTTCTAAATTTTCCAAATATTTCTATTACTAGCTATGGTATGTGATAAGAATGACTGCAGTAACTGACTTGTCCAAAGTACTGTGTAAGATATCAGACAGCCACAATGGTTGGTAGCGACTAGGCATTTTTGTCATTTTGAAAAGTGTGAAAAAAAGAAAACATATATTCTGTAGCAATTTTTTTGTAAAAGCAGTGTAGAGAATTTGAGATCTTAAACACATACAGCATGTCTTCTATTCAGTTATATATTAAAAACAATTATCTATTTGTTAGAAAGAGGATATTATTACATTTTTTGTAAACAAAGGATATGTTTATCATTAAAATTGTGACAGAGCTTTCAAACGATCTGATTCCATTTTGCTGTATCCATATGAAACATTTGGTTGTATCAATGCATTGATTTTATTTGTCTAAATTAATTTTTTGGTGAAAATGTGATTTTAAAAATTGATGGAAAGCTGTGACAGTTAAGTTTACATTTGTCATTGTAATGTTATTTCAGCAGCCGCCAGGGACAGCGCTTACCTACTATACGCAACGTCCCCCTCCAGCCACAGGATACAACAATCGGATTCCAGGTTGACCGTATTAAGCATGCGGAACAGGGGGAGGGCAAAATGAGACTAACTGCTTATTATGCTTCTACTGGAAAGGTGAGTTCATGAATGAAAATATTAATGTGAGAATATTTTTAAAAATTCATCCCTGCTTTACTGTAGTACACAGGTAGCAAATTCTCCTTACTTAACAATAGTACTGGTTGGAAATTCTCCCTTCTTACCTATCTTATTGTAAATTCTCCCTACTTTACTATATAGTTGTAAATTCTCCCTACTTAACTATATTGTTGTAAATTCTCCCTACTTTACTATTTTAAGGTTGTAAATTCTCCTTACTTTACTATATTGTTATTGATTTTAACTACTTTAATAGTGTGCAGATTGTAAATTCTCCCTACTTTACTATATTGTTGTAAATTCTCCCTACTTTACTATACTATTGGTTGTAAATTCTCCCTACTTTACTATTTTAAGGTTTAAATTTTCCTTGCTTTACTATATCGTTATTAATTTTCGCTACTTTAAAAGAGTGCAGATTGTAAATTCTCCCTACTTTACTCTATTGCTGGTCGTAAATTTTCCTTTCTTTACTATGTTGTTGTATATTTTCGCTATTATAATGAAGTGCATATTGTAAATTCTCCCTACTTTACTATGTTGTATATTTTCACTATTATAATGTAGGGTGGATTTTAAATTCTCCCTACATGACTACACTACAGGTTGTAATTTCTCACTACATTACTGTATTACAGGTTGTACAATCTTCTGCTGGTCCTGTTACATGTAGTACTACTGCTGTCAGGTCTAACTTCAAACATGGCTACCATGTCTTCGGCCAACAGGAGGCCACTTTTAGTGACATCGAGATGCAGGGAGATATGATACTCATGGCACGCTTCTATTTACGCAAACGACAACAAGATGATAATGACGACTATTTGATACAGGACAATGCTCAGGAAGCAACACTTTATGACAATGAAACTCTTGTAGCTTGGGGAGCCATTCCCATTGTGCTCTCCAATGATCCACGTATGTGATATGCAACTTTTATATTGATAAAGGATCTCTGGTCCTGAAAAATCCTAAAAAAATCCAAACCTTTACTCAGTAACAAAGAAAAATGTTATGAGACCATAATTTAATTACAAATTTATTGTGTAGATAATTTTGTAAATTGAGTTTTTGGTAATTTTCAATTCATTTAAATTTCTTCAACTTAGGGAGGATTCTGTTTTTCTTGGCCCTATTAGTTGATGTCCCTATCGTATTGCTGTATAAATGAAGTACTCTCTCAGATAACTCACTGTACTGAGGTAGTTGTTTTCATAATGATGAAAATGTAGAATTATTATATTAACCTTTTACTTGCAGACATCACATCTAGATCTAGAAGGAACTTTAACCCAGGCACTATGAATATTAATACTGGGACACACACAATGAAAATGTACTATCCTCCCGTGGCGGAGGTCGGCCAAATACCGTTTGAGGACTTCCCTACCAACCGTGATTGGAAACGCTATGGAAGGAGTACTCTTAGGATACACATCTTCCAGGGTGAGCCGCGCCCTGGATCTCTCACCCCTAGTGAAAACTCTGATGATGGAGAGGATATTCTTCCGGAGGTAAGATTATCCCAATAGGAAAACTTAATGAATAGAGAGGATGTCCTTCTTGGAGTAGGTTAAATTAAAATTTCACAGATGGTGTCCTTCCTTAGTCAAGATTATCCTCAAATGGAAACATGATTAATAGAGAGGGTACCTTTGTCAAGGTAAAGTTATCCAAAATGAAAACTTTATCAATAGAGAGAATGTCCTTCTCAAGGTTTAGTTGTGATATGTGAAATCATAATAGAAGTGAAAATACAAAGTTAGGTTAGAAAGGGCAGAAAAGTTTTTCCATTAGAAAGAAGTGAATAGATTTATGAATTGTTAACATACGGACAATTTTCTGTATGTAAATTTTGTCATGACACTGGTCTGAAACCTCTACATATTGTTCTGTCTCCCTTAGTATGCCTGGCTGCCCCTGGAGAGAAAGGCCCCTCCTAAGGATCCCTTCCTCAGGGGAGATGGATTTGACGTGTATATAGATGGAGGAAGGTATTTTCCAGACTCTGTCAGCTTCACAAAGGTAGGTTAAAGGTCGCAATCATTAATACTTATGGCCCTATGGTTCTCTGATATTGTACGACTTAAACAACGGTTGTGAGGAAAGTACTCTGCAGATAAGATATCCTAATTCAAAATTTGGTCCTCATTATGGACTTATGCCTCATTCTGTGGTCAGTTTTGCCTGTTATTGGTGATAGACAGAGTTCATTATCATTTCCTTAAAGTCTGAGTGCTGTGATTTGGACTTGATATCTTTACTTTTGCTCTGAAGACTTAATTTTCAGACACTGATTGTTTATATTGAGATAAATGACGGCTATATATGTTATACTTGTAGGTGGCTGGTCGACTGCTGGACAGGAAGTATGAGGTCCATGGTCGTGATATAAGTACCGCAGTCAAACTGGACAGTGATATACATAGCCCAGTGTATGAGGACAAGACCGAGTTCAGAGAGAGTAACATTCCCCCGTCAGCCACGCTTCTACTCAAGGTACAATATCTATATCACAGTCCCTCATCAACATCCCTCCATCAGTCACACTTCTACTCAAGGTACAATATCTATATCACAGTCCACATCAACATCCCTTCATCAGCCACACTTCTACTCAAGGTACAATATTTATATCACAGTTACACTCCAACGTTGCATATGAGGATTAACAAATTTCTGGTTCAAACATATTGCCAGGGACTTGTGTTAAGATTGTGTAACAAATAAAGATAAATAGAAATTGCCATTATGACTTCCTTATTTATCCTCCACAGCTGCTTAATTTTAATATTATATTATCTTATTTATTCATATGATGTGTTTTTTCACCAGATCTATACTGTAGACAACTTCTACAAGGGACTAACTGTGGTTGGATACTCCACACTCAACATCTTTGTAGAGTCTGGAACCGAGAGACAGCCTGCCATAGACAAACCAGGACTACAGGTACCTTTAAACATTTGTATACTAGAGACCTCGGATAACTCTTGTAATGTCTGAAGTATTGTATCTCAACTAACGTCTGAAACGACAGGAGGTATTAAATATCAGACAACTTTTACTGCAGTCAGTGTCAATTAATTACTTCGCTTAAGAGTTTATCAAATGATTTTCAAAGTTATGAATAGACAGTATCCTTCTATTCCTAACACAGAGAGCTATCAATTCAATGATGTTATCATGTTTTTAATGCAGTATCCAATATTTCTAGGTTTCTCTTAATGAGGGAGCTCACCAGTTACGCCTGTACAGTCAGGGACCTAATGGAGTTGACCCCCTTACTGAATCGTGTTTGAGAGACGCGGGGATTAGGGTTGTCCCCTGTGCATCACTGCTGGTCAGGATCACTAGGGTACCCAAGGGACCCAATGGCCATGCCCTTGAGGTAGGATTAAGTAACTTGAAAACAGAGAGATGAATTCAGGTCATTAACCACAGAATAAGAGCTTGGAAAAGACTGTATAGTTAATAGGAATCGTTGATTAAAGGTGGTATGTTAATAAGTACACTGAAAAGTTTCACTTTTCGTTAATAGTCGTTATTACAGATTACAGTCTGGAAAATACAGTATTTATGGTGCTGTAATAGTGATGTAATATTGTCAGAAAGTCAGAAATCACTTTACAAGTGATACAGTGAATGATAAACATTATCATTGATTGGTTGACTCTGTGTTATCTGTAGGCCTCCAAGGTCCCACAGGCAGACTGGTTACGACTAGGCCTCTGGCAGCCCCGTCCCAAGTACACGGACCGTATCTACTACTCCAGTAAGTGCATGCCATCCAAGGGGGAGAGCAAACTGTTCCACTCCATGATGCGGCGACCACCCATGGCTAACAGGGATGCTGTGGCGAGGATGGCCCAGGCAAAGGAGAGCTTCTTCAGGAGTGACAAAAACATTGAAGAGTTCATAAGGGTAGATAATTTGGTCCAGTTATCAATTGTACTTACAGTCATCACATGAAAGAAATAATAAAAAAATAAATAACATCATATTCCCTATTTTAGTTGTCTTCTGGCACAACAGAGACAGACATATTGTAATGCTCCAAATGGGAATGTAAACATATCCTTGTCTTTATTTTTTTTATGTAAAAAAGGTAGCTAGGTCTTATTATACTGTTCAAAACCAAATGTAATGAGTTACAGTTGATTTGAATTTGTAGAATTAAAAAATAATATATAAGATGATGATATCTGAAAAAAATTGTGCAGTTTCAGTTTCAAAGATGTCCACAAGAGCATCACTATCATGCCATGTACTTTGATACAAACAGTATAAACAAATCAAATAAATGATTTCTCAGAAATTTTTTTCTGCAAAATGCATTTTTAAGATTATTGGAAACCTGCAGATAAATGTTATTGCTGGTTGATATTACAAACACAATTTCTGACGTGTTTTTATTTCCAGAACAAGCTTACCAAGTCTGTAGACCAGAAACCTCTAGATCAGGACTTGAACTTTATAGCCACCTACAGCCCTCGACAAGGCTTGAAGGTAAAGCTACCCATTCTGACACATAAATTGCTTTAAGATAAAATTTTACTTTGTTATTGCATATTCAAAAAGATGCATTATAATTCTACTTATTACTGTTTGTGCATTAACACAAACATTTCTACCATAAATGTCATCAAAATATTTTTTTAATTTCAACAAAGTCTGGAGCTAATAATTTGAGTTATGTTATACAGATAGCAGTGGACAGTGCTGCCAACCTTCCTTGGTCCAACTTTACCCATGCCCATGTGTGCCTTAACCCTCCAGGAGCCTTTTATCTGGTAAGTTCATGAATGTAGCTCAACGGTGTTAAAACCTCAGGGAATCTCCAAGCTAAAAGATAGGTTCAGACATGCCAACTTGAACTGTCTGAACTCTCCAGAAGCTTTAAGCTTCTAGAATGTTCTCATATGGTAAAATACATACCCTGCTGGGATTCTGCTACTGGCAATGGAACGAACATTGACTTCTGTTTAAATCATCCCAAGAGGCCTGATAGGTCAGACATTTCAACCTGACCTTTTTACATTTAGGAGTATTCTCTATAACAAGTCAATTTCCTCATGACCACTTTGTCTGAACCTATAGAACCTTCTTACTAGAGCTTCCCAGCATTTAATGTCTGTCCATGTGTCCAGGCCCTTTAGTTCACCTCAATAAACATGAGCAGAGCTTTGCCATAACCCTATTTTCAGTGTCTAGGTTTGGTTCAGATGAATGGTTCAGGTCAGTTTTCAAGTAGTTACGTTAAACATCATTTCAGCTTTCATTGCTAATGCTTCTAAGGATACTTAGCACATGTTATGTTGAGGAGGCAAGAGGATCATATTTTGTGTTTTATATTACAGGGAGCACCTCATGCCACTTATGACAAACTCACATTCACCGAGATGCTTGATCTGAACAGTACCAACTCCTCACCTGCCTGGAAAGATGGATTCAAGGTACAATTATTGCTTGCCTGGAAGTGAAGATATTAATTTTAGTCAAAATGTACAGAATGTTCATTCACAAACACATGACAGATTCCCTACAACAGGTACACAACATTGCTGCCCTGATAAAACAGACAGAACTGAATACAATGCAGCTGTTTCATTATGACATACTTTCATGTTCCTGTCTCAATACATATCTGTAGAAAATGAAAACATGGAAACAAAAGAAAAAAAGTTTGGGGGATATTGTTTCAAATAAGATCGAGTTTTAATTCGATTTAAATTTCATTTTATTGGCAGCATTTTCCACGTCGGTCCTTCCATCGTTACCTGACACACATCATCCATCTACAGGAGGTGTCTGTCACTGTAGCCAGAGAGAACTATAAGTACGGACTCATAGAACAGGTGAGTAACACAGGTCTATCTATGTCTGTCACCGTAGCCAGAGAGAACTATAAGTACGGACTCACAGAACAGGTGAGTAACACAGGTCTATCCATGTCTGTCACAGTAGCCAGAGAGAACTATAAGTACGGACATAGAACAGGTGAGTAACACAGGTCTATCTATGTCTGTCACTGTAGCCAGAGAGAACTATAAGTACGGACTCATAGAACAGGTGAGTAACACAGGTCTATCTATGTCTGTCACTGTAGCCAGAGAGAACTATAAGTACGGACTCATAGAACAGGTGAGTAACACAGGTCTATCTATGTCTGTCACTGTAGCCAGAGAGAACTATAAGTACGGACTCATAGAACAGGTGAGTAACACAGGTCTATCTATGTCTGTCACTGTAGCCAGAGAGAACTATAAGTATGGACTCATAGAACAGGTGAGTAACACAGGTCTATCTATGTCTGTCACTGTAGCCAAAGAGAACTATAAGTACGGACTCATAGAACAGGTGAGTAACACAGGTCTATCTATGTCTGTCACTGTAGCCAGAGAGAACTATAAGTACGGACTCATAGAACAGGTGAGTAACACAGGTCTATCCATGTCTGTCACAGTAGCCAGAGAGAACTATAAGTACGGACATAGAACAGGTGAGTAACACAGGTCTATCTATGTCTGTCAATGTAGCCAGAGAAAGCTATAAGTACGGACATAGAACAGGTGAGTAACACAGGTCTATCTATGTCTGTCACAGTAGCCAGAGAAAACTACAAGTACGGACTCATAGAACAGGTGAGTAACACAGGTCTATCCATGTCTGTCAATGTAGCCAGAGAGAACTATAAGTACGGACATAGAACAGGTGAGTAACACAGGTCTATCTATGTCTGTCACTGTAGCCAGAGAAAGCTATAAGTACGGACATAGAACAGGTGAGTAACACAGGTCTATCTATGTCTGTCACTGTAGCCAGAGAAAGCTATAAGTACGGACATAGAACAGGTGAGTAACACAGGTCTATCTATGTCTGTCACAGTAGCCAGAGGTACTGACTCATAGAACAGGTGAGTAACACAGGTCTATCTATGTCTGTCACAGTAGCCAGAGAAAGCTATAAGTACGGACATAGAACAGGTGAGTAACACAGGTCTATCTATGTCTGTCACAGTAGCCAGAGAAAGCTATAAGTACGGACATAGAACAGGTGAGTAACACAGGTCTATCTATGTCTGTCACAGTAGCCAGAGAAAGCTATAAGTACGGACATAGAACAGGTGAGTAACACAGGTCTATCTATGTCTGTCACAGTAGCCAGAGGTACTGACTCATAGAACAGGTGAGTAACACAGGCCTATCTATGTCTGTCACTGTAGCCAGAGAAAGCTATAAGTACGGACTCATAGAACAGGTGAGTAACACAGGTCTATCTATGTCTGTCACTGTAGCCAGAGGTACTGACTCATAGAACAGGTGAGTAACACAGGTCTATCCATGTCTGTCACTGTAGCCAGAGAAAGCTATAAGTACGGACTCATAGAACAGGTGAGTAACACAGGCCTATCTATGTCTGTCACTGTAGCCAGAGGTACTGACTCATAGAACAGGTGAGTAACACAGGTCTATCCATGTCTGTCACTGTAGCCAGAGAAAGCTATAAGTACGGACATAGAACAGGTGAGTAACACAGGCCTATCTATGTCTGTCACTGTAGCCAGAGAAAGCTATAAGTACAGACTCATAGAACAGGTGAGTAACACAGGTCTATCTATGTCTGTCACAGTAGCCAGAGGTACTGACTCATAGAACAGGTGAGTAACACAGGTCTATCTATGTCTGTCACAGTAGCCAGAGGTACTGACTCATAGAACAGGTGAGTAACACAGGTCTATCTATGTCTGTCACAGTAGCCAGAGGTACTGACTCATAGAACAGGTGAGTAACACAGGTCTATCTATGTCTGTCACAGTAGCCAGAGGTACTGACTCATAGAACAGGTGAGTAACACAGGTCTATCTATGTCTGTCACAGTAGCCAGAGGTACTGACTCATAGAACAGGTGAGTAACACAGGTCTATCTATGTCTGTCACAGTAGCCAGAGGTACTGACTCATAGAACAGGTGAGTAACACAGGTCTATCTATGTCTGTCACAGTAGCCAGAGGTACTGACTCATAGAACAGGTGAGTAACACAGGTCTATCTATGTCTGTCACAGTAGCCAGAGGTACTGACTCATAGAACAGGTGAGTAACACAGGTCTATCTATGTCTGTCACAGTAGCCAGAGGTACTGACTCATAGAACAGGTGAGTAACACAGGTCTATCTATGTCTGTCACAGTAGCCAGAGAGAACTATAAGTACGGACTCATAGAACAGGTGAGTAACACAGGTCTATCTATGTCTGTCACTGTAGCCAGAGAGAACTATAAGTACGGACTCATAGAACAGGTGAGTAACACAGGTCTATCTATGTCTGTCACTGTAGCCAGAGAGAACTATAAGTACGGACATAGAACAGGTGAGTAACACAGGTCTATCTATGTCTGTCACTGTAGCCAGAGAGAACTATAAGTATGGACTCATAGAACAGGTGAGTAACACAGGTCTATCTATGTCTGTCACTGTAGCCAGAGAGAACTATAAGTACGGACATAGAACAGGTGAGTAACACAGGTCTATCTATGTCTGTCACTGTAGCCAGAGAAAGCTATAAGTACGGACATAGAACAGGTGAGTAACACAGGTCTATCTATGTCTGTCACAGTAGCCAGAGAAAGCTATAAATACGGACATAGAACAGGTGAGTAACACAGGTCTATCCATGTCTGTCACAGTAGCCAGAGAAAGCTATAAGTACGGACATAGAACAGGTGAGTAATATACGCCTTTCCATGTCTGCTACTTTCAGAGAAAACTATCTTTTTTAAACTGACAGTGGGTTTCTTCCTGGACAAATCCTTCTGAAGAAACAACAAGCTTAGTATGTTGTGAAATATTTCAAACAACTTATTCTTGACAAGTTTTATGAATGACATGCAGGTGTCAGATTTGACCCTGGATTACTGTCATGTTGTTTATGATGCTTATAAAATGTAATCTGGATTCTCCTTTAGGCATGGACGGCTGTACAGGCATTCACAGACAGGTACGCCTACACCAGTATCTTCCAGCTCCCCCTGTACCAAGGCTCCCCCACACCTCAAATGCTTAAACAGCTGGCTAGGGAACCATGTCAAGAGTGGATGGAGCGAAACCTCCGCAGCAGGGCTGTGAGTAGAGAACCATACTGATATTTCGCTGTCATTACCAACCATATGTATCTCAAATCAAATGAACTTGAAAGTTCAATATACAGTCATTTGTTTTTAGCTTTATCTTTATCTAAAGACCTTTTCTTTTTAAAAAAGACATGAATACTAGGATTGAGGAGGAATTACATTTGTTTTTCAATTAATTGTGTAAATATGAAATCTTTATAATAGGCTGTAGATACTTTGGGGTAATCTTAATTTTGCAGAATACAAGAAGAATAATTAGTATTGCTAGGAAAGGATTGAAAAAAAAAATCAAATTCAGTTCAAATATTTAAAAGTTTTAATTTTGTTTATATTCACAGATCCACCTAGTGGATGGAGCATCTGTGTTTGTCCGTCTTTCTGATGCCAGGAGAGATGATGAGTTACCAGGGGACATAGCGGGCAATAAACTAGTTAGTGACTTCATCATTTGTCTTATGAAGATATTCATCATGGCTGTTTTTCACAGACAATATTAATTTTAATAAAAATGTGCTTTTTAAGATTATAAAATTGTGTCGTAACACCTATCATATGTACATGAATTATGTTAAGATTTATTACATTATTTGCTGTAAATTGTGTGTAATACTTCAAGTCTGATGTTACATGCCTGTAATGCTACAGGTTGAGTTTGCTGTAATATGCCTGTAAGAATGCTAAAGTTAACTGTTACTTTACATGTTACAGTTTGTGACTTACATGTAAAATTACAAGTTCACTGTAACATTGCTGTAATACAAGTTGAGTTTGCTGTAACATGCCTGTAATGCCACAAGTTCTTGCTGTTATTTGCCTGTAATGCTACAAGTTCTTGCTGTTATTTGCCTGTAATGCTACACGTTCTTGCTGTTATTTGCCTGTAATGCTACAAGATCTTGCTGTTATTTGCCTGTAATGCTACATATTAAGCTTGCTGTAACTTGTCTGCTGTAGGTTGAGGTCAATACAGACTATATTCCCTCGGGATTGGAAGAGGCATACAATAAAGAGAAGCCAGGAAAAGTCCTCGGTTCACTTGTCCCTACCGGCAAGACTCCGGAAGCTTTTGTAGATGGACTGGCTCTTAAGTTCAAAAATGTAAGTTTTTTCTCTCAAATCTGTACATCAGAGTCCTGGCTAAATAACACTGTAATCTTACAGTTTGATGATGATTTATCTTCAAACTATCATAACAATGTGTCATGTGTCACTTCATACCGTTTACTATTGCGGAAAATTGAACTTTCTGTCGGTAATATTGAATACACATTTTCGTAATGTTGATGAACTGCTTTTCAGATATAACATGTGTATATTAATTTTTTCTAGTTGGTCTACAAGCTGTATGAAGATAATGGTCCATGATCTTTAGAGACTGAAGAAGATGATTAATAACTGATGTGTAAACTCCTACCAGCATTCTGATCCTCCAGATATCAGACAGTAAACTTCCGTGTGTCCATTCTACAGTTGTTCAATAATGAGTTGTCTATCCTTTATAATGTGTTTTATTTATTAAGATATCAGAAAATGATCCTTGTGTTTATTTTACAGCCATTCTTTAACTTGGGATACCTGATACTGAAATTTGTTCTCTGCATCTGTTTATCAGGACTTTGTATAAATGTTTTGATACCCAAAATGTGATGTGATTTATGTGTCCGTTGTACACAAATTGATAAAAGTTGCGTTGTATTGAGGAATGCCAGTCCTCAAGGTTTACTGATCCAGTGTAATATTGGTATGGTTCCTGTCGCAGAAATATTCTCCGAGAACAGGTTAACATTAGGAAATGTTACAATGGTGTCAGAGTGATTTCCCTCCTGATCTAAATGGTGTTACACTGTAACAAAACGGAGCCAACATATCTGTGGATAGTGACTGTTATTTACTCAGAATTGTGTTATTTACATTTAATATTGAATTATTAAATATCTTTTATATTTATATGACATGAAATATTGCCAAATAGTTCTTCCAAAATTGTATCTGTAAGATATCGGGAGAAGTTACAAAATGTAACTTATAACTTTGGTGCCATAGAACAAACAGTGCGATATGTTTACGGAGTTGTAAACTTGATTTCCTGAAATCCTGTCCCATTAGTTTTGGGATTCTATTTATACAGTTATCTGGTATGTATATGTGTATATATGAAAATATATTTTGAAAATACATTCAGATATAAACATAAATCTGACTGGAAAACTTATATGCGATGATTTTAGTTTTCCAGGCAGGAAAGTTTAAATATAGTAAATTAAAATTTAAAAATCAATTTCACTTTTATTTAATCAAAATTTTTAATGTTTTGTATCGAATGAGAATGATGATGATTTTAAGTAGTTGTTTGCGTACATTGAAGGACTAAGATGAAGATTGTTCAACCTTTCCAGCTATTTTAATTATATTGATTTATTATTTATAAATAATCACCATGATTATCATGTCGTCCTTGTGTATGATATATATGATGCATTTTCTCAAGATCATGAACCTCACTTAGCAATATGAAGTGTTCATATTTTAAAGAATGTCTTTCATCCCAGAAGAGTAGTTAGATTCTAGTGTTCAAATCCGTCCAGTATTTCCCGTTTTAGATATACACTCCCACATTTTATATTTAGTTATTAGAAGTGATACAAATAAGGAGTTTATCTATATATGTACGTACTACTCGTTTAAAACTTCCTAGGTTTTGCATCTTAGGTGGCAGTCAGAGATTCTTATTGGCTGAAACATTTAATGTTTTATGTCATTAGACACGACATGACTGACATTGTCCTTACTTTGTGATCATTAAGAATAGCTGTCTCCACCCACGGACGTTTTGTAGCTTTGGGTAGTTTTACTTCATGATCTTGATATTAAAATAATGTTGCAATATCTAACCAGCTGTTGAATACTGTCTCATCATGATCTGTCTTTTAACACCACATTCAATTTACAAATTTCTAAGGTATTCATTTTTCTGTCATTGTGAGATATTCAACTCTACATTTTATTTATCTATCTTCCATTTAATGGTATGTATCACATGTAGACTTTTATTTATTTGTTCATGAAGATTCCTGCATTGATTTCCTGACAATTATAATTTACTTCGGTGATTTCGTATACCATTATATTTCCTGAAAACCCGGTACATGATGCTGCTATGTGTTAAATATATGGACAGATTATTAATATCATCATCAATTATTTCTCATTAAAGCTGAAGTTAGTTTTACATTGATAGAAAGAAGGTGAAAATTAAAGGTAACAAACTTTGAAGTGTTTTTTCTTTGTTTTTATTTTTTCATTCATAATCTGATATTGCTTTGCTGATGAACTGGTACTATCGACCGTGCACATGGTATAATAGATATACTCAAAAGAACTACAACAAAGACTTGCACATATACTTCTGTTCATTTGGAGGGGCTGATCCAATGTAATATCTACCCAACAAGACAGTTTCTTCAACACTTTCCACACAACAAATTGTTTTATTCTTGGAGCCCCATTGGAGAAAAATATCTGACTTGAATAGCTCCAAGAGAGAAACCACTCATTTTTTTTTCTATGTCTGTCTTAAAAAATCTCTTATCGCTGTATTTTTTTTTAATACAGCCGTATTTCAGAGATTCTCTTGTTGGATATGAAGTAATTATTTCTTTGTCATTTCTTCTTCTCCAGAGACAATTCCTATTAAACTAGAGAATATTGTCAGCATACACTTGTTTCTACAACAGCACAAGCAATCATTTCATTTCAGCATAATTTTTCATGATTATGATCACACATACCAAGTATCATAAAACACATTTAAACAAGTCTCGTGTCAGATCCATTTATACTTCGTAACATTCATCTTTAACAAATACATGCATCTAACATCAAATGGTTAGGACCACAGATCCTAATCTAACCTCTCACTGCATAATGGCTGTCTCATGGTTACAGGACAGCAATTTAACAGTTTGTTTTTCAAAATACCAGACGAAAAAATCTCTAATTCAAAATGGTATGAAAATGAATTCCAGGATGATTTTACATTCTGAATGAAAATCCAGCTGAATCAGTGGTAAGAATTGGTGATCTATAGACTGTAACAGGTTGTATTTCTTGTCCTATGAAGAAGTTCACATACAACATTGGAGAATGACAAAAATTTTCCTTAGTTTCAAGAAGTCTTCCATCAAAGTTTACCTACAATGAGCACTACATCTGTGTGTGTTCAGCTGGAAAAGGAGTTCACTTCAGAACAATACGCACTCTTATTTTTGCTTGACAGCTTTAGCATCGGAGATTCTTCTGTATGTCCTGATGACCGACTACCACAGGAAACAACTCCCATGTGACTACACACACCACTGAGATCCTCAGTAGAGGATGTGGTACCTGTAGTAAACCCCTTCCTCATTCTTACTTGTGTTTACTTCTAGTAAACCACTCTCTCATTCATACTTAGTGTTTAATCTTCTTCAAGATGTTGCTTTGCTCTAGTGCAGCCTTTCTTTTCCTCTGTGAAAACAAAACAGATATATGTATTCTAAGTAAAAAATTATCAGCAGTTAACGATAATATACATCTGTAACATTCTTATCAGTGTTGTGTAACATTGAGGTCGGGGGTGGGAGTGGGGGAGGGGGCAGGTCCTTACTGAAATACATAAAGAATAAATGGGATCATACTTAAAAAATGTAACAAAATATTTTATCATGACTATTTTAATATAAGTTTACACATAATGAGTGACTCATTGGTTGAGGAAATGAAATCTTTCACAACTAAAGGAGGTAAATTAGTCAGTAAAACCTATACATGTGATTAAGTCCGTAAAACCTATACATGTGATTAAGTCAGTAAAACCTATAAATATGATTTAGTCAGTAAAACATATAAATATGATTTAGTCAGTAAAACCTATACATGTGATTAAGTCAGTAAAACCTATACATGTGATTAAGTCAGTAAAATCTATTAATATGATTTAGTCAGTAAAACATAAATATGATTTAGTCAGTAAAACCTATTTATATGATTTAGTCAGTAAAACCTATATAAATATGATTTAGTCAGTAAAACCTATTAATATGATTTAGTCAGTAAAACCTATATAAATATGATTTAGTCAGTAAAACCTATATGATTTAGTCAGTAAAACCTATAAATATGATTTAGTCAGTAAAACCTATAAATATGATTTAGTCAGTAAAACCTATAAATATGATTTAGTCAGTAAAACCTATACATGTGATTAAGTCCGTAAAACCTATACATGTGATTTAGTCAGTAAAACCTATAAATATGATTTAGTCAGTAAAACATATAAATATGATTTAGTCAGTAAAACCTATAAATATGATTTAGTCAGTAAAACATATAAATATGATTTAGTCAGTAAAACCTATACATGTGATTAAGTCAGTAAAACCTATACATGTGATTAAGTCAGTAAAATCTATTAATATGATTTAGTCAGTAAAACATATAAATATGATTTAGTCAGTAAAACATATAAATATGATTTAAAAAACCTATTAATATGATTTAGTCAGTAAAACCTATATAAATATGATTTAGTCAGTAAAACCTATATGATTTAGTCAGTAAAACCTATAAATATGATTTAGTCAGTAAAACATATAAAGTCAGTAAAATCTATTAATATGATTTAGTCAGTAAAACATATAAATATGATTTAGTCAGTAAAACATATAAATATGATTTAGTCAGTAAAACCTATAAATATGATTTAGTCAGTAAAACCTATATAAATATGATTTAGTCAGTAAAACCTACAAATATGATTTAGTCAGTAAAACCTATATAAATATGATTTAGTCAGTAAAACCTATATGATTTAGTCAGTAAAACCTATAAATATGATTTAGTCAGTAAAACATATAAGTATGATTTAGTCAGTAAAACCTATAAATATGATTTAGTCAGTAAAATATAAACATGTGGTTGAGTGAATAAAACCAATGCATGTGTTTGAACATAACCTACGTTTGGTGTTCCTGGTGTCCCAACAACATCAATAGCCTCTGCCAACTTCTTCTGTCTGGAGGGAGAGTCTGGTGTGAGGAGGACAGGGTTGAAAAGGTTGGAAGATATTTCCAGATTGGCTGTACTTGTGTCTGGCTTAATCAGGTCTGGTTCTACAGCCTGCAAATCAACAGAATACACACCACATCAATATTAAATGCACAACAAAGAGTGGTTTTAAAGTAAGATATGGAAATGGTCATAATTCATTATTGTGCTACAAACCCAGAAAGATAAAGTGTAGAGTAAAATCTCAATTTTGTCTTCATAATGAAAAAACAAAAATGAAAGTTTTTCCATCTTGTTTGCCCCAGGAGATAAAATCTTAATTTGTTACGTTTATGCAAGTTGTTTTACCTTTCCTGGTGCCAGAGTTTCAAATCTGTGCCTCAAAGATTCCACTTCATAATCACATGTTGCTAATGCCAACTTTAGTTCATACAATAAGACAATGTCCTGTCGTAGTTCATTGAATTGTGTTACAATTTCCTCCGTTGGCATGGGGTTATACTCTGAATGGAAGTCAAAATAATGGATAATCAATGTTAGGTGTTAAGTGTCTGAGGACAGGTCATGAACCAATGAATTGCATTGTTTAACAAACAGACAGGTGATATATATATTAATATAGATTCAATATTAACTCCTCTGTCTAATTATAGTATGCTATGTACTACTGCTTACCTACCTGTATTTATCATAATAAATTCAACTTTGTCATGAGCCCATAAAAAATTGTGAGTTAAACTGTAGTGAAAATTTCCCCATTATACTACATATTCTCGAGGCAGCTCAGCAAACCAGTCATAGTGATACCCACCTATTCCTAGCTCTTCTAAAACTTGTTCAATAGCTTTTGTCTTCTTCTGTCCTATGGATGCTGGCAACTTCATCTGAAACCACCGAGCAAAACTTCTGCACTATTTCCAATGATTAATCTGACTAATTAAACATAATCTAAAATACAATGTGTAATTAACATGCATCAGGTGATAATTACAATATCAAGACAGTTTATCTCAGTACTGAAACTTATTATCAAACAATTTATTTCTCGAGTGTATAAGTTTGAAAGGTTTTAACAAAAGCTTTGTCATTATAATACTTACTCTCTGACTTCTAAGTGATACACCAGATGCTTTGAAATCAGCAAACTTGATGCCTGATGGTTCCACAGTTGGCTTAAAATAGAAGATGAAAATGTAATTTCCTTGTTGATGACTTGTCATTTTATACCATAGAGTGTAAATAATTCATATATATGGTAATCTTGTTGGAAGAAAAACAGAAAAAAAAACAAGACAAAAACCAAACCAAGAACAAACAAAAAAATTGTAAAAAAACAAAAAAAATTGTAAAAAGACAAAAAAATTGTAAAAAACAAAAAAATTGAATATTTTCAATATTTTTTGACATATCCATAAAGATTATTTATCTCATCAACTAAAACAAAAATGAAACATTTGCTACTGACAAGAAGTCAGTACAAAGTACATATTAATAATAATCAACTTAAAATTGTCCAGGCCAACAATGTGACAGGCTTTTCATTCACTTTCCATTTAACCCATGACTCAAAGACTTTGTATTTCACAATAAGAAAAAGGTTAAAATTGTAAAAAAGACACACAAAAAATAAGGGTTAGGGTTTTTGGTTAATATAGATCTAAGTACTGTATGCACTAAAAAAAAAACAGTTACAAAAATTCTAACATTTCACACATTTGTACTTTGTTAGATTGAAAAGAGTCAATGTCATTCCTTTGAAGGGTACTTCATTAACCTTCATCCAAATATCCTACAAACCCAATTTCATTACCCTGTATATGTATCACTTGGTGATTAATACAAATCCATTTAAAGATTTTAACATGTTTGACCCATGTGACCTTGAAAGTGGGTCAAGGTCATTCATATGATTTAACTTGATAGCGAATGACCTGTACATTTCATATGTGAAATATCAAATCTCTAGGCCTTATAGAACTTCAGAACATTCTCAAAGATGAGAAGTTGTTTAAAATATCTTAACATATTTGACCTCCATGACAATGAGAAAAAAACACCAATGCCATTCTTTTAAATAGACGTGACAACAAAATATTGCTACCTTGTGCTTCTTGGTTGTTGATTAGAAGCCTTTTCAAGATATTATCAAAACTGACCCCTGTGACCTTCTTGAAAATGGCTCAATGTCATTCATACTATTAAAATTGATAGCCAAAGTCCTGAGCATCTGCCATATCAAATATCAAGATTTTTAGACCACGCAGAACTAGAGAAAAACAGCTTGTGACCCAAAATTATTCTATTGAAATTTAACCCCTACTAAAAACTGAATGTTAGTTTTACACAAATATTTCTTTTTACTATCAATAACAACTGATCATAGCATGCAACTAACTAGATAGCATCACCCTGTGCCTTTTGTTGACTGAAAGGAAGGCATTTTAAAGATTTCGACAGAATTACCCCTGTGATCTTGGAATTGGGTCAAGGTCATTCATTTTAACAAACTTGATAGCTAATGACAATGGAATTTCCCATTTGAAATATCAAGACTCAGGGCCTTGTAGAACTTTTAAAAGTTTTTTAAAGTTTGCTACCAAAAAAAGCAATTCTATGTTGTCACCTTGACTAGAAATAGAAGTTGATTTTTGAAAAAAAAAAATAACAAAAAACAAACAAAAAATTCTGTAAAAGTTGTGATTTTGGTAATTTACAAAACCAAATCTGAATGCAACTGTTTATGCTGTTATTAAGTTACAGTAATTTAGGTAAAAATCCATAAGATGTCTTGGTGGCCACATTTCGATTTTTTAGTCTAGTTTAATTGTCTACCACAAAACTTTACATTACAAGGATACCTTCCTTATAGGCATAGGAGAAAACCAGTTTTTGTCGTACTGTTCACATTTCACAAAGATAAAGGAATAATTCAAAATGGCATATACCCTTAATATGTACTGTACAGAAATCATGAAGACATCAAAATTCATCAGTTCTCTATCGATTAGTGCAAGATTTTTTTCTAACAAAAAAAATGAAACTGTTGTAAAATTTGTAATATTTGACCAAAACAAATTTTTACTTGATCTCTTTTTTAAATATAGAGAAAAAAAATAGCCCTGAAGATTACCTACAAATAATATTATTGCTTGAATGCTGTATAATCAACAGCTTTCAATCCTGATCTTCTTATGATTTTCACCTAGGCCATCATGGCATCCATATTGGATTTTTGACCACCTTGGTTTAATGACATTTCAATTCATTCCCTATCTGATGCTTCCAGACTGTGATCATTTCTTTTTCCAGTCAAAACATGAAGAAGACACAAAAAACAAGCAGAGGAACAGGAATAAAATAACATAAAAATACCAATAGGTCTTTTCACAAGATGGTGAGAAACCCCAGTAATTAATGGAAATCAAATGTTACAAAAGGTCTCCACAGAATCACATATCTAGGTAATAGTGTACATTGTCAAGCTTACCTGATTCTTCATTAACTGTAAAAAAATGTTGTTGTCTATGAAATGACATTGGTACATTGGTACAAGATAATGCATCCTCGAAACTCCAGGGGTTACAAACAATTTCACTGTCTGTAACATTGGAACATGTTATGGTAAAATCAAAGGTTCCTTGTGCAACACCTTGCGACAAGATGAAAAGACTAGCTTGATCCTTTGATATTAATCAAAAGAATCTCGGACCGAGAAACGATATATTGCAATGGCTTTTAAATTGGGTGTCGCTCTTTTGTAATCTTCAAAAGGAGCATATCGACCTGTCAGTTTTTTCTGCTGGAACCAATCGAATAGCTTTGCTTGTGCCTTCAACTTTGCCAAGACATGTTCTAGGTGCACGGAGAAAGCAGAAGTGATTGTAACCCCTGGAGTATCAAGGATGAAGATAATGCTGGTAGTCTATAAAATTATGTTGATGTCAGATAATGTTTGTAATACACAAGATAATAATGGTAGTCAATAAGATAATGTTGGTAACCTGTAAGATAATGTTGGTAGCCTGTAAGATAATGTTGGTAGCCTGTAAGATAACATTGTTTGTCTATAAGATAATGTAATCTATAAATATAATGTTGAAAATCTTTAAAATATCGATGGAATCTCACCAGGCCTTCTTTAAGTTTCTGTTGTTGGTGTACTTTTTTCTTATTGTGTTTTTTCTCTGCCCTCCGACTGTCAATATTACTGTCCGCGGCTGTAATCAACTTCTGTAGGTCTTGTGTCTTCTTTTCCCTCTCTTTCTTTCTCAATTCTATTTTTTTAAGCTCTGCAATAAGGTGTTCCTCTTCTTCCACCTGTCATTGATTATAAAACATTATCCCTTTTCAACAGAATTCATAGCATAAACACGAGTTGAACCACACTAGCAGTATACAACTAATGAAACACATACATTTAACTTGTAGTGAGGACCAGACAAAGATTTCTAATAAACTGCACACATATCTATGTAGACATTAAAATGACTTTCAATGTCTGACAAAATCCCTCTGCTAAATCATACTTTTATCATTAATCAATGGCTTTTTCTTAGATGTATGTTATTTTATACTTAAATGTAATATTAAACATACCTGTTCTGGTGTTCTTTCAAATAATTTTGTAAGCTGAAGTTTCCTCTTTCTTTCATGTTCGGCATCAAAAACCCGTATTTTTGGTTCAGTACCTTGTGGAGCTCTCACCTGTAATAAACAATACTCGAGTTACAGGCAATTTTCTCATCTTTAACTTCTGTATTGCGTAACAGTACCTTCATCTATACAAACTTTCTATCCTGAAGATCTACAAATTTTATTTTCATGACAATAAAAATGATGACATCACTACAAACCTATAAAATATCACCTAATCTAGATATTTTTATAAAGTGTAGTTACAAGCATAATACACACTACCTCTGTGAATTGGTTAGGAACATTACCTTTGTGAGATTGTTACAAATGCCATAGTATCTTTCCTTTAGGTCCTCTACACTTCTATTATGAAACTTCTCTCTGTCCCAGCGATCATGTATGATTAAAAATCGAAGATCAAATCTTTTACAAAGGTCAAACAAATGGTCAGTTTCCTGGCGTGTCCAATTGTCGTCATGCAGATGCTGTTGGTACTCCAGATCTGAGTAAACGGGAACATCCACTGCCTGCAAAATAAGAATCTACTTCATACAGAGACCTCATAGGAAACATTTTTTTACAATTCAGTCCTTCATCGAGAATACATTTATATGCTATGTTGTTATTCAGTTTTTTAGTATCATCTAGTTTGCTTAAAATCAAATGAGATTTACCTTATTAAACCTGGCGAATGGATAATCCTTGCCTTCATCTGCTTCTCGTCTCCAGTGATAAAATATAGCACCATCCTGGGGATACAAAACAAAAAACTAATTAATCATGTCAGATTATTATGTTCCATTTGTGTAATATTTCAAAATTGATAGAAAATTATATCATGCAACAAGTGAGACGACAGATTTACCTTCCTGGCTGGGTTTGAGAATGGCATCCACTTCCAGGGGCGCACCTTACTGCTACCAATTTTTGCCTTCATTTGTTTGTAGCCTTGATTGGTGTCCGTGGGAATAATTGGTGGGGAATCTCTGACAACATAATTTGAAATATTTACATACAATCTTATCTCTAACATTACAATATGGGACATTGACAAATATCTTATCTCTGACAATACAATATGGGACATTGTCACATTATCTTATCTCTAACAACACAATATGGGACATTGACACATATTTCATCTCTGAAAATACAACATGGGACATAGACATATCTTATATATGACAATAAAATGCAGAACAATGACACATATTTTATCTCTGATAACATGTACCAGTTATAATGGTATCATGTTCAGAATTTTCTTTTTTAAAATCTTACATAACATCATATAATCCTGAGTCCATTCCCTGAACCTACCGGACAACCCGCTGGTACCAACTACAAGACAGAATACTGGTACCACTTACAGGACAGAATACTGGAACCATCTACAGGAGAGTTCACTTGGTACCTACTACTAGACTGGTCATCTACTGGAGAGTTCACTTGGTACCTACTACTAGACTGGTCATCTACAGGAGAGTTCACTTGGTACCTACTACTAGACTGGTCATCTACAGGAGAGTTCACTTGGTACCTACTACTAGACTGGTCATCTACAGGAGAGTTCACTTGGTACCTACTACTAGACTGGTCATCTACAGGAGAGTTCACTTGGTACCTACTACTAGACTGGTCATCTACAGGAGAGAATACTGGAATCATCTACTGGAGAGTTCACTTGGTACCTACTACTAGACTGGTCATCTACAGGAGAGTTCACTTGGTACCTACTACTAGACTGGTCACCTACAGGAGAGTTCACTTGGTACTACTACTAGACATCTACTACTAGACTGGTCACCTACAGGAGAGTTCACTTGGTACCTACTACTAGACTGGTCATCTACAGGAGAGGAGAGTTCACTTGGTACCTACTACTAGACTGGTCACCTACAGGAGAGTTCACTTGGTACCTACTACTAGACTGGTCACCTACAGGAGAGTTCACTTGGTACCTACTACTAGACTGGTCATCTACAGGAGAGTTCACTTGGTACCTACTACTAGACTGGTCACCTACAGGAGAGTTCACTTGGTACCTACTACTAGACTGGTCACCTACAGGAGAGTTCACTTGGTACCTACTACTAGACTGGTCACCTACAGGAGAGTTCACTTGGTACCTACTTGGTACTAGACTGGTCACCTACAGGAGAGTTCACTTGGTACCTACTACTAGACTGGTCACCTACAGGAGAGTTCACTTGGTACCTACTACTAGACTGGTCACCTACAGGAGAGTTCACTTGGTACCTACTACTAGACTGGTCACCTACAGGAGAGTTCACTTGGTACCTACTACTAGACTGGTCACCTACAGGAGAGTTCACTTGGTACCTACTACTAGACTGGTCACCTACAGGAGAGTTCACTTGGTACCTACTACTAGACTGGTCACCTACAGGAGAGTTCACTTGGTACCTACTACTAGACTGGTCACCTACAGGAGAGTTCACTTGGTACCTACTACTAGACTGGTCACCTACAGGAGAGTTCACTTGGTACCTACTACTAGACTGGTCACCTACAGGAGAGTTCACTTGGTACCTACTACTAGACTGGTCACCTACAGGAGAGTTCACTTGGTACCTACTACTAGACTGGTCATCTACAGGAGAGTTCACTTGGTACCTACTACTAGACTGGTCACCTACAGGAGAGTTCACTTGGTACCTACTACTAGACTGGTCATCTACAGGAGAGTTCACTTGGTACCTACTACTAGACTGGTCACCTACAGGAGAGTTCACTTGGTACCTACTACTAGACTGGTCACCTACAGGAGAGTTCACTTGGTACCTACTACTAGACTGGTCACCTACAGGAGAGAATACTGGAATCATCTACTGGAGAGTTCACTTGGTACCTACTACTAGACTGGTCATCTACAGGAGAGAATACTGGAATCATCTACTGGAGAGTTCACTTGGTACCTACTACTAGACTGGTCACCTACAGGAGAGTTCACTTGGTACCTACTACTAGACTGGTCACCTACAGGAGAGTTCACTTGGTACCTACTACTAGACTGGTTATCTACTGGAGAGTTCACTTGGTACCTACTACTAGACTGGTCACCTACAGGAGAGTTCACTTGGTACCTACTACTAGACTGGTCACCTACAGGAGAGTTCACTTGGTACCTACTACTAGACTGGTCACCTACAGGAGAGTTCACTTGGTACCTACTACTAGACTGGTCACCTACAGGAGAGTTCACTTGGTACCTACTACTAGACTGGTCACCTACAGGAGAGTTCACTTTAGAAGACCTACTGACCCCTGACCTTCTTGAAAATGGCTCACATTGGTACCTACTACTAGACTAGTCACCTACTGGAGAGTCACTTGGTACCTACTAATATCAGGAGAGGTTTCTACAGGAGAGTTCACTTGGAACCTAACTAGACTGGTCACCTACAGGAGAGTTCACTTGGTACCTACTACTAGACTGGTGTTATCTACAGGAGAGTTCACTTGGTACCTACTAACAACTGGTCACCTACAGGAGAGTTCACTTGGTACCTACTACTAGACTGGTCACCTACAGGAGAGTTCACTTGGTACCTACTACCTACTAGACTTGGTAATTGGTACATTCATTGGTTATCTAATTTCACTACTAGAGTTCACTTGGTACTTTTACAAGAGTACTACTAGACTGGTCACCTACAGGAGAGTTCACTTGGAAATAACAAAAAACAACAAAAAAGTTCTGTACTAGACTGGTCATTTACAGGAGAGTTCACTTGGTACCTACTAAAAATCCATAAGACTGGTCACATTTACAGGAGAGTTCACTTGGTACCTACTACTAGACTGGTCATTACAAGAGTTCAAAAGGATACCACCTACAGGAGAGTTCACTTTTTGTACCTACTACTAGACTTTCACAAAGATAAAGGAGAGTTCACTTGGTACCTACTACTAGACTGGTCACCTACAGGAGAGTTCACTTGGTACCTACTACTAGACTGGTTTCTAACAAAAAAAATGAAACTGGAGAGTAATATTTGTACCAAAACAAATTTTTACTTGATCTGGTTTTTAAATACAGGAGAAAAAATCCCTGGATTACCTACAAATACTATTACTGGTTGAATGCTGTATAATCAACAGCTTTCAATCCTGGATCTTCATGATTTTCACCTAGGCCATTGGCATCCTACTACTAGACTTTTGTTGGTTTAATGACATTTCAATTACATTTCTTTTTCCAGTCAAAACATGGAGAGACACAAAAAACAAGCAGAGGAACAGGAATAACTTGGTACTTACACAAGACTGGTGAGAAACCCCAGTCTACAAATGTTACAAAAGGTCTCCACAGAATCACCTACTAGGAGAGTGTACATTGTACCTAGCTTACCTGATTCTTCATTAACTGTAAAAAAATGTTTGTTGTCTACAAGAGTGACACTTGGTACCTATTGGTACACAGATAATGAGTCCTCGAAACTCTAGAGGGGTTACAAACAATTTCACTGTCTGTAACATTGGAACTAGATGGTAAAATCAAAGGTTCCTTGTGCAACACCTTGCGACAAGGAGAGTACTTGATCCTTTGATATAAATCAAAAGAATCTGGTCACCTATATTGCAATGGCTTTTAAATTGGGTGTCGCTCTTTTGTAATCTTCAAAAGGAGTATATCGACCTGTCAGTTTTTTCTGCTGGAACCAATCGAATAGCTTTGCTTGTGCCTTCAACTTTGCCAAGACATGTTCTAGGTGCACAGAGAAAGCAAAAGTGATTGTAACCTCTGGAGTATCAAGGATGAAGATAAGGCTGGTAGTCTATAAAATTATGTTGATGTCAGATAATGTTTGTCGTACACAAGATAATAATGGTAGTCAATAAGATAATGTTGGTAACCTGTCAGATAATGTTGGTAGCCAGGAGAGTTCACATTGTCTGTCTACTAGATAATGTAATCTATAAATATAATGTTGAAAATCTTTAAAATATTGAGGAGTTCACTTGGCCTTCTTTAAGTTTCTGTTGTTGGAGAGTTCATTGTGTTTTTCTCTGCCCTCCGACTGTCAATATTACTGGAGGCTGTAATCAACTTCTGTAGGTCTTGTGTCTTCTTTTCCCTCTCTTTCTTTCTCTACAGGAGAGTTCACTAAGGTGTTCCTACTTCTTCCACCTGTCATTGATTATAAAACATTCTTCTTTTTCAACAGAATTCATAGCATAAACACGAGTTGAACCACACTAGCAGTATACAACTAATGAAACACATACATTTAACTTTTAGTGAGGAACAGACAAAGATTTCTAATAAACTGCACACATATCTATGTAGACATTAAAATGACTTTCAATGTCTGACAAAATCCTTCTGCTAGATCATACTTTTATCATTACTCAATGGCTTTTTCTTAGATGTGAGTTATTTTTTACATAAATGTAATATTAAACATACCTGTTCTGGTGTTCTTTCAAATAATTTTGTAAGCTGAAGTTTCCTCTTTCTTTCATGTTCGGCATCAAAAACCCGTATTTTTGGTTCAGTACCTTGTGGAGCTCTCACCTGTAATAAACAATACTCGAGTTACAGGCAATTTTCTCATCTTTAACTTCTGTATTGTGTATTTTCATGACAATAAAAATGATGATGACATCACTACAAACCTATAAAATATCACCTAATCTAGATATTTTTATAAAGTGTAGTTACAAGCATAATACACACTACCTCTGTGAATTGGTTAGGAACAATACCTTTGTGAGATTGTTTGATATATACTACCTCTGTGAAATGGTTAGGAACATTACCTTTGTGAGATTGTTACAAATGCCATAGTATCTTTCCTTTAGGTCCTCTACACTTCTATTATGAAACTTCTCTCTGTCCCAGCGATCATGTATGATTAAAAATCGAAGATCAAATCTTTTACAAAGGTCAAACAGGTGGTCAGTTTCCTGGCGTGTCCAATTGTCGTCATGCAGATGCTGTTGGTACTCCAGATCTGAGTAAACGGGAACATCCACTGCCTGCAAAATAAGAATCTACTTCATACAGAGACCTCATAGGAAACATTTTTTTACAATTCAGTCCTTCATCGAGAATACATTTATATGCTATGTTGTTATTCAGTTTTTTAGTATCATCTAGTTTGCTTAAAATCAAATGAGATTTACCTTATTAAACCTGGCGAATGGATAATCCTTGCCTTCATCTGCTTCTCGTCTCCAGTGATAAAATATAGCACCATCCTAGGGATACAAAACAAAAAACTAATTAATCATGTCAGATTATTATGTTCCATTTGTGTAATATTTCAAAATTGATAGAAAATTCTATCATGCAACAAGTGAGACGACAGATTTACCTTCCTGGCTGGGTTTGAGAATGGCATCCACTTCCAGGGGCGCACCTTACTGCTACCAATTTTTGCCTTCATTTGTTTGTAGCCTTGATTGGTGTCCGTGGGAATAATTGGTGGGGAATCTCTGACAACATAATATGGAATATTTACGTACAATCTTATCTCTAATGATACAATATGGGACATTGACACATATCTTATCTCTGACAATACAATATGGGACATTGTCACATTATCTTATCTCTAACAACACAATATGGAGAGTTTTCATCTTGAAAATACAATATGGGACATAGACACATATCTTATATATGACAATAAAATGCAGAACAATCACATATTTTATCTATAACATGTACCAGATAATGGTATCATGTTCACTTTTAAAATCTTACATAACATCATATAATCTGGTCATTCCTACCTACCGGAGAGTTCACTTGGTACCTACTACAAGACAGAAGTTCACTGGTACCACTTACAGGACACAGAGAGAATACTGGTACCTACTTACTAGGACTACTGGTACCTACAGGAGAGAATACTGGAACCAACTACAGGAGAGTTCACTTGGTACCTACTACTAGACTGGTCATCTACAGGAGAGTTCACTTGGTACCTACTACTAGACTGGTCATACTACAGGAGAGAGTTCACTTGGTACCTACTACTAGACTGGTAAACTACAGGAGAGTTCACTTGGTACCTACTACTAGACTGGTCATCTACAGGAGAGTTCACTTGGTACCTACTACTAGACTGGTCATCTACAGGAGAGTTCACTTGGTACCTACTACTAGACTGGTCATCTACAGGAGAGTTCACTTGGTACCTACTACTAGACTGGTCATCTACAGGAGAGTTCACTTGGTACCTACTACTAGACTGGTCATCTACAGGAGAGTTCACTTGGTACCTACTACTAGACTGGTCATCTACAGGAGAGTTCACTTGGTACCTACTACTAGACTGGTCATCTACAGGAGAGTTCACTTGGTACCTACTACTAGACTGGTCACCTACAGGAGAGTTCACTTGGTACCTACTACTAGACTGGTTATCTACAGGAGAGTTCACTTGGTACCTACTACTAGACTGGTCACCTACAGGAGAGTTCACTTGGTACCTACTACTAGACTGGTTATCTACAGGAGAGTTCACTTGGTACCTACTACTAGACTGGTTATCTACAGGAGAGTTCACTTGGTACCTACTACTAGACTGGTCATCTACAGGAGAGTTCACTTGGTACCTACTACTAGACTGGTTATCTACTGGAGAGTTCACTTGGTACCTACTACTAGACTGGTTATCTACAGGAGAGTTCACTTGGTACCTACTACTAGACTGGTTATCTACAGGAGAGAATATTGGAATCATCTACAGGACAGAAAACTGGAACCAAGTATTTGAGAGAACACTGGTGCAACCAATGGAGAGACTGTTTGTGTCATCTACTGGAGAAAACACTATTACACACTACTGAAGAGAACACTGATACCAACTGTTTGAGAGAACACTGGTTCTACTTACTGCAGAGAACACTGGTCCCATTTACTGTTTAGATCACTGGTTACATCATCTCCAGAGAACACTTTTGCCACATAATGGAGAGAATACCTGTTCCATTTACTGGTGAGGGCACTTGCATAACGTACTTGAGAAAACAGTGGTGTCATTTACCGGAGAGAGCACTTAAGCTCTACTTACTTATTATCTGTCCACAGAAGGCCCCACACTTCCCGGTGCATTCCTTCAGGACGCTTGAAGGAGACATCCATCGACTTCCTTGTCACCTTTTTCTACAAAAGAAAACAAAACTTTTAGTGTGAATATGAATTTTTCCAGTCTCACTGAACTTGATCTAGACTCACTGACCTTGACCTTTGATATGGTGACTTCTTTCTTTAATTTCTCTACTTTATACTGCCCTAACAAAATAACTACCACTTACAAAACAAAACTTGACCTTGACCTTGACCTTTGATCCATTGACCTTGACACTAATAATGCTGGATAGCGTTTCACCATTTAAGAAAGACTTCTGAATCTTAAACATAGTATTGACAGAAGGACACAAGGCACTCTGATTACTTAACTCGGACAAGTACTGTAAATCAATAGGGCATTAAAAAGGGGATGTCTTCTCTTCAGTTACAGTAGTGTGATTGCACAGCACAACTCAATGTGTGAGGTGTGCATTATGTCTGCAGATGTGCTCTCGTTGTATGCACTATATATGCACAATAGGGAAACTAGACAGAATATCACACATCTGTGCACACATTATGCAGTTCTAATGCACAGCTGTTTGATTCTACTGTGGTTGATAAAAATTTAGAAATGACTTTTAGATAAATGTGGGATAAGGTTTATTTACTTTCAAAGTATGTATGAGTACAATTAAGTATATTTCCTAATTAAGAAAAAAAACTATAGGTTGGACTCAAGTAGATTCATCAGATACAGACTGAATAGTTAGATACGTAATTTAAAGTGTTTTATTTACATTTTGTCACATGTGACCAGCCTTAGCATACAGACACTCTTGGCGATGAATCACCTTAAATCTCATACCGTCAGAAAGGAAATTTAATTTTCATTACTTCCATATTACTCTCATTATTTTATCATTTTGTAAACAAAAGTGTTGTGTTATCTACATGGAAGACCTAGCTGGTACAGATCCTGACCTGTCACATATACAAATGTACCTGTGTACAGGTATTTTTTGTAACCACTTGCTACTCTCTGCGGTGTGAAACTATAATCAGGCTAATTAATGCAGGGTGCAGTGTTATTTTGAAAACTGTCCAACTAAAAGTAACTTGTATAATCACAGATAAATTTCAATAAGCCTGATATGACTATTTAGTCATAACTATACTAGTTTTCTGTTTAATTTTCAACTTGTAATATTTGCTAACTGTTTTTACCAAACTGCACAAATGTATGCGGATGATGTATGGGCTAATCTAGCATGGCTAATATGTGCTATTAGTTTTTGGTGCAGTATGTGTTACCAAAACTGATGTGTGTAATAAAACATTCCGTTTAAATATCAATGATTTCCCCAATCAAATCAACAATTCTCATTAAATAAATTGATAATTAATGATCCAATTTAAGTAAAATCTAATGCCTCATTTTCAGCAAATTGATTTGAAAGACTAACTGTCGAGAGTTTCTCCCCCTGGTGGTTTCATCCAACATTAAAAATAAAACTGGATTTTATCAGTGGAATTGTAGTAAAAGCTCTACAAAACATTTGTTATTTATAGAACTTGTTTACAACCTTAACTCGTGGTTCATCTTAATTTTTCATTTTCATCTTACATCAAATGCATTTGACATATTTCATGCCTCAACACATATCAATAAGTCCATGTTGTGGGGAAATACTACCACAGAGTTCATTGTGGTGGGCAACAGACTACATATTCAAATCTGATTTTATCAAGAACACTGTTTTCATCTTTAGTAAGCCATGTCAAATCCATTATTATATCGAGTGACAACATGTCTTTACCAATTCTTTTCTATGAAATTCAACCTGGATATCACTTACAAATCAACCTGCTGTCACTACATATACATGTTATTAGCTGACAAACAGCTGAAGGCATCATATTTCACAACATGTTCATGATGGCATCTTTATCTGTACTTTGTTCATGATCATGAGGACACCATGATTTTCAATGAGTTTTTATTCCATAAAGACATCTCAATATTAAGGAAACTTTTTCCCGATATTTAAACATCAGGACATTGATTTTTTTTTTTTTAATTTTTGGTTTACAATTAATCATGAGAAAATATTTAGGATATATCTCACCTGACTCTTGTTCATGAGGGCATCTTTGGTGATAAAGGCCTGCTCTGGAGCAGTGTCAATATCCAGGATGTCACGAACGTCACTCCCCGCCATCTTAGCACTTTGGTCCTGAACCTTACATTGTGAGAAATGAATCACTGTGAAAAACTTCATTTTTTAAATTTTTTTTTTAAACAAGTCATGTTTATACATTTGAAATTATTTATCTTCACAATTAAACTTATGGGAAAAATTCAATATATTCCACACAGCTGATCAGACAAGCATGATCGAATTTATATACAAGTACAAGTTTATATGATACGGTGAAAAGATAACTTAAATAAAACTTCACAATGATTGCTTATAAGTACATGTAGTGAACATCTGTATCATTTAATTCTTACAGACACAAAATAAACAATACCAACAAACTCCACTAAAAACATATAAATAAAAGAGATAGCATGTCAGTAGTATAGTGTAACTTTTTTTTTTTTTTTTTTGTGCATTCAAATTTTTATGAAAGAAATATTAAAAGGAATGAGGATGTAAAACTGGGCCTTAACATGTACCAAATAACAATTTTTATTTATGTAAAAAAAATGTCAAAAAGCATAAAAAAAAAAAATTTACCCCAACTGTATCCAAGTTTTTGAAATTTACTAATTTTGTTTTGTTATTTCTTTTAGGTTTTGTTTTTTGTGGTTTTTTTTATTATTTCTTTTGATTTTTGTGGGGTCAGGGGAGTAGGGGTGGAGGGAAATTCATTTTTCTTGAGTTGACAAAAAACATATTCTTGGACATTTTTTGTGTATTTTGGATAATACAGATCTGTTTCAATTTCTTCATTTTACAGTACTTTATAAGAAAACTATGCGAAAGGTAATTGTGTTCTGCTTATAAGATTTCCCCGGAAATGAATGGTAACCAGCAAATATTTGGTTGGACTATATACCAAAGTTAATCACTTGGCAGTTACAACAATATTCAAAAGGTTGAACACAATGAACCATTGTTTTAACATTAAAGACATGCCACCTTTACATATCATATCAACAATCTAAATGTAAAGGATATTCAACCAATAACAACCTTATTAGTGTACAACAATTAAAATCAGTGAAAAAATTTAAAGTTCAGAAATAAGACTGATCAACTGCTTTTTTAAGTTTACTGTTGAACTGAGGTCCCATGGGTTTATTAAATGTGGAATAAATATGGTACAATGTAAATACAAATTTCAGCAGTAACCTTATTTTAGTGCTGAAAGCCTTGTGTTTAAATATGATTGCACTAATTTTTGCTTCTACATGTAATTATATAGTCATTATCATTGATGTGCAAACATATCATTACAATTATTTGCCATTAAGTGAAACTGCACTAAAATCTTATTGTGCGATTTATATTTAAAGTATATATGATAATAATGTTCCCATTCCCAATATGATTGATAAGGAAATGTATCTTTGTATCCGCTTGCTTACAACTGTATAAGAAAGAATAGAATTAGATGCAAAGTATGCCATATAATCAGATGACTTGATAGAGACGACAAAAATCTAATGATACTGTAACAATATGACGGAGATAATATAAAACCAACAGCAATGAACAACAACAGTTACCTCCCACAACATGATATGTATTGTCCTTATGGTTGCAGATTGCTGGGGAGAAAAACCCAAACACATAACAATTTCAGATTTAAATTGTATATATATAACAAATGTAGTTGGAAGATTTCTCAATCAATGGTAGAAAAATACAACTTTTGGTCAGGAGATCCTCATCATATTCATCAGCATTATGAATTCCAAATAAAAATTTTTCAGCAGTTTATGAGGATGATCAAATTACATGTAATACAATTCATTAATCATTGATGCTTATAATCTGTATATTTTGAATACTTTCAGGACATAAAGGTTTTAACATTCACCATTCAAACCTGGTAGATCATTGGTATTTTGGAGAATTTCTACAACAGAATTTTGGGTTTTTTCATTTTTTTTGTATTTGGGTTTTTTTTAGTCTGGAATTATTTATACCATTACAAATTATGATCGCAAAAATTTAGTTTAAACATTTTTTTCTCTTAACCCTATCTTAAAATTTTTTCTCTTAACCCTATCCTAGAATCAAACATTCAATTCCAGTGATTTTTTTTTTGTACAGTATTATCTTACATAACCTATGAAACAGAATGACTTTATTTAATAAGTTATATGATAGGTGAGTTTGAATCATATTTGTATGTGTTGTCAAGAAATACAATCCAACACCAATCCTTAGTTTTCAACTTCTGCTTTATGCTTCAGAATTGTAGACAAACGTTCATCATAACCCTCCTCAAGGTTAAATCACTTTCTTTACAATCCTGTCAGGCATGTTAACTTAATTGTGAAATGGATATTGAAATATAAGAATTTATATAATCTGAATGGATCCTATCAGTCTGAAAGCAATCCGACAAATTGGCCTAATTATGTTGACATTGATACCTGTTAACATTTAGAAAATGATAACAGAAATATATTATGATAACAATGACAATGCTTGATATAGAGATGTAAATGACTCCAAAAGCTTCAATGGTGTAATATGATGTCATTGATACCTCTTGAACAACAAGGTAATAAACCAAAATAGTGTCACATAGCAGTATATCAAAGTATATGTAGCCATATATCAAGATGGTAATTATATGTGTATCAAAGGATAACGTTCAAAACTGGTACCCTGTATAAATACAAACTGTCAACATGTATGCTATCGTAGAACACAAGTAATTAGGAATAATAATATCAACAAAGACAACAGAGTGAGCGTGTACATTACATATTTTAAATTGTTTCACATTATATTTTTATCATGAACTGAAGAAGACTACCAGCCATATACCTTATAATCTTGTGGCCATTGTCGTACCTGTGATATCCCTAAAATTAAACTATAAATGTTAAGCCACTTAAACATTTAAGAAACAGAAAACTTAGTACACCAGTTGTGTAGACACAAATATAAAATATAAATCAAGCAATCGTTATTTGATAGAACCTTTATATCTATAACGTAAAATTCGCTCATCAGTATTTTGACTTTAACTGTTGCACTAACCTGTCTCAAATGAAGGATACTAAATAGAAAATTCTTCACATGTTCTTTGATAAATAAAACATCTCTTCCCTCCTCATTTTGGCTGGTTTGGTTAATATTTTTCTTATTCTTATGCTTTATAAATTAGTTCAATGCAAACGTTCATTTGATTCAAGCTGTGTCAAACGCCGGCACGAAACCCGAGTCATAAACATGTTTGTTGAGCGCGGAGAAGATGTCCAAAGCGTCTGTTTCACATCGAAGAGAGCGAAGTTCAAGAAAGAGTTGCTAAGTATTCCGCTAATGATTTTTTGCAACACACTCACAAGACAACTTCTTTATTCATCAGTATGAGATACAGAAGATCTTTATTATCACTAAGTAAATCATGGTCTCAAATGAAGAATTTCTTGGAGAGATCGCGCAGGACACAATATGAATTATCATGGGATATCGCTCTTAGACAGTTGTCAAACTCATCTACATTTCCCGTTTTATCCGATAAAGATGCCTATTCCAATTCAGAAAACTTGTCATTTTCGAAACATTTGTTTGACCGTTATCAGCAATGCGTGACAACTGCGCATGCAGGAGGTGGAGAAAAGGCGATCCATCGACATGTAGAGAAACAGAAGAAACTGCTTGCGAAGGACCGCCTCGCCCTCTTTCTAGACGACCCTGATGACTTTCTCGAGCTCTCCGTCATGGCAGGCCTTGCCATGGAATATGGAAACGTACCGAAAGCTGGAATGATAGCTGGTAAATGCAGTTGGGTTTCGAGGACTAAGTAGTCAAAGTTCACATTTCATTAATCTAGTCCTTCATTGTATAATATAGTAAATATGCAGGTTAGGCAAACCCCACATATTGTTATTTTGAGTAATAAATAGTTTACTTAGATGCAGGGTCATTCATAAAAGAATTACATCAAGTTCTTTTCAAAATTTGCAACAAAAAAGGGACACTATCTTTTTAATGTGATCCAATAGTTAATCTAACACTGTATAAGCAATGTTAATTTCAGTTGTCTAATTTTTTGCTAAGATGACAACTTATATCACTGAATTTTTTCTCCATTGGCTACATTTTATAGCCATTTTGGATAATTAGTGCAAATATCATAGGTGAGCATGAATTCACATGTGTTCTGTTTTTTGCAACACTGTCAGCAATGAAGGTGAAAAAGTTGGATTTTTACAAGAAATGAGAAATAATGTACAATATTGCATTTGTTATAAAGTCATGTCAATGTATGACATCCTTTTTTCAACTTGATATATATGCCTTTGAATGTTTCTACAGTTCAATTTCATGCAATGTCGGCTATCTGACATTTTTGATATTCCACAATACAGTGTTTGGATCAGGGGGCAGAACTTCCAGCCTTCCTCACAGGGGCAAACACTTAATTAAGGCCAAAATAAGGCAATGTCGAGAGAGGCATAATGTTCAGAAAGAAATATATTGTGTAATCCCAAATTTAGTTGCCTTTTTGTGATAATGTGGTTGGGGAATAATGTTTAATTTAAATGACCTACCTGTATGGTCAGCAGATGCAACATCCACAAAACCACAAGTTTTCTAACAGAGGACATTAGTTTTTTCCATTGTTCTTGAGGGACCAAACAAAATACCCCTTATTTACTACCGACAGGGATTCTGAATACGTCAATCAATATGTAAGTGTTACGATGTCAGTAGTAAGGATAACAATCTTCCTGATGGCACACATTCTCCATGACCTAAATATTAGACATGTATGTACAATAGACATGTTAAAGTCACAAGTAGGTAGTGACTTTATATCTATCAGAGCTATTTATTATATGTATAGAACTGTATGTACAAATACATGTTTTTTTGTCATCATAATACCAGTTGCTGTTGGTGACATACTCTCATTACCTGTACAGATATATTTATATCACCAATATATGGAATCTACTTATGCATTAAGAATAAACCAAGATAGATCTGGTATACATGTAAAAAATTATACTGTCATTACATATGGTATGACAAAGTTTTTATTTTGTCTTTGATTTTTTCATGGTTTGTAGGGATTGGTAGAGTGCAAGGAAAACTGTGTATGATAGTTGCAAATGATGCCACTGTGAAGGGGGGAACTGTTTACCCAATCACCTTAAAGAAACAACTACGGGCCCAGGAGATAGCTGAACAAAACAGACTACCAACCATCTACATCGTAGAGTCTGGTGGAGGCTTCCTTCCACTTCAAGTACGTACTTTTGTTTATACTTACTTAAATTTTGTTTTGATTGTGTAGGAAAAGCTATAACATATCAAATATGAATCATTTTGAAATATTAACCATACCCTGTAAAGCTTTTTATTATCAACGATTCAAATTTCTGCAGTTTTAACAAAGTTTGAAGTAAACAGGATTTATTTTTCTGAAAAGTGAGATGAAACACTCTCGGGTTTTCTCTTTTTGTTTTTTATCTTTTATTCACAAATATACTTGTTATTATAGCCAGAAATAGAATGTTTTAAGGTTAAAGTAACATATTGTGAACATAGATGTAGTGTATGGTATGCTTTGACTTATCATTACAACACTTAGCACATTTCCCCACTTGACATTTGACTTATTATTACCCTTTCAATATTTTCATTCTTTTTGATACAACAAGTTTTGCATGGGATAGGAGTATATTTTTCCATCCTGCTGTACTCATGTTGCACTCTAGAATCATTGTTGCTTTCATATCATCAAAATAGATATTTTATTTGACTTCCATGTTTCAGAGAACTTGCACTACATAAGAAAATAAGTGACACAATAACTGTGTTATTTTTTTTAGGCTGATATTTTCAATCCTGGAGGAAAAACATTTTGCAATGAGGCAGTGATGTCTTCAATGGGTATTGCACAGGTAAGTTCTATTCCTGAGGCAGTGATGTCTTCAATGGGTATTGCACAGGTAAGTTCCATTCTTGAGGCAGTGATGACTTCAATGGGTATACCATAGGTAAATTCTGTCATTGATGCAGTGATGTCTTCAATGGGTAGACTACATGTAAATTCCATCACTAAGGCTGTGATGTTTTCAATGGATTTTTATATACCACATGTAAATCACACTACTGACACAGGCAGTCACATCCCCAATACTAAGGTATATTCCATCACTGAAGCAATGTGCTTTGAAATACATTTTGTCTTTTTCCTTTGTGTATTGTTAGGTCAGTGAATAACAATTTAATGTTATGTTACAATGTACAATAAAATTATCATTTAAACAGATTAGAATTGTAATCTTTAACGGATTGTTCGTGATTTGATGATGGTTTTTAATTTTATCATTGCTTGCTGGTATAAACTTTCAAAAGAATTTTTCAAAAATTGTAAAACAAAATTCAAGTCTGATAAAACTGTAATATCTTTAACTCAAAACTCAGCTTTGATTGGTATATGATATATTGGTGATTTTTCAAACACAGAGTTGTACACATTAATTCTTTTCAGTTATAGTGACACGTTACCTCGCAAGGTATGTGATTTCTTTATATTTTTTCTGGTAGATGGCAATCGTATGTGGTAACTGTACTGCGGGTGGAGCCTATATTCCCACCATGGCTGACCAGACAGCCATTGTTCATAAGAAGGGTTACATATTCCTCGGAGGACCACCCTTGGTGCAGGCCGCTACAGGAGAGATAGTTTCCGCCGAAGAATTAGGTGGTGCTACTCTACACTGCAGGTAAATATTGTGGAAGTCTGTTAGATGCTGAAACGTATGCAAAACATTGTGGAAGTTTGCTGCTCATTATGCCACGCTATGTAACAGTATATCTTGAATCAAAGTACATTTTTGTATGTCACTTTGATCTACATCAAAGAACTTTTTAACCTGCCTTCGTAAGTTCAAAACTGTTATGTTGAGATAAAAAAAATTATTTATTTTAGGGGATCATGTTGAAATGATAGCTGGTCTGACAGGTTATATATATTATTTATTATACCCGGAAATGTTTGTACTTGTTTGCAAGCAAGGCTTATGTATAATGTTTGCCACTTCCATAGATACCATGACCTGAAGATATTGTTATCATAGGGGGCATCTGCGAAATATTTGGGAAACATCAATTTTGTTGGTTTTCTTTTTTTTTTTAACTCAGCGTAAAATATTTTGACTTGCTTTGTCAGCTTCAATACTTAAGATGTGGGTTCACCATGATGTGGCAGTGTGTGGTGAATCAACTATATGTTATTCAGACCTACATTTTGACCTTTGACCTACATCAAAGGAAAAGTTTGCATAGGCCCTATCTCCTAGTGTACTAGTCTCTGAAACTTCCTGCTTTGGAAATGGGTACACCTTGGTGAGGCAGTTTGTTATGTATCAAAAGTAGGTCACTCTGACCTACACTTTGACCTTTGACCTATATCAAAGAAAAAGCTTGTCCCAGCTCTATCTCCGACACCACTGGTCACTGGAACTTCATAATTGGTGTATGGTTTCTCATTGGTGAGGTGGTGTGTGGGTGGGGGTGTAATTTACCTAATTGATTTTACCTCATAAAAAACTTAGCTTTAGTATTGGAGACAAATCAGCTGCTTCATGGATTGTGATTCTTTTGTAGTGTAAGTGGATGTACTGACTACTTTGCTGAGAATGAAGAAGAAGCACTGAGTACAGGAAGAGACATGGTAGCCACGCTGAACCTGGAGGATAAGCTGCCGGTCTACAAAGATTGGGAGGAGCCCCTTTATAGCAGTGACCAGTTGAGGTGTTTAGTGGGCAAAGATAATGTCATTGATATCTACAAGGTATGTCTATATCAGTCACATGAAACAGTATACAAAAGTATACAAAAACAACAAACAAAACAAAATTACACCCAAAAAACTATTCTAGTTATTTATAGAATAATCCTTAAATTGGTTATAGACTTGTTGTTTTGGTGGTGATAACAATGTTAGATTTATACTTAACAGGAGACAGTTTTTCTTGACATATTTCTGTTTGTTGATATACCAGTGTCAAGGAATATTTAGTTGATACAGATATGTGGAAAGGAGCCCTCTAGAAATGATTACATATATTTAAACACTTGTTATGTTTTGATAAGGGATTTGGTCATTATTCTGTAAGTTTATCAAATAGAAGTTTTTATTAAATTTATTAGAGGCTTATGTGATCCTCAGTTGTACAGCATGATGATTTAATGGACAAGTTTTTGTACTTAATGAAGTTCCATTTGTATTAATTAGCAGAATTCTGAATTAGATTTTCTTGTATTAAATTGTCATTTCCACAGGTTATAGCTAGGATTGTAGATGGAAGTCGATTCCATGAGTTCAAGAAACAGTTTGGCCCTCAACTGGTGACAGGATTTGCACACATAAAAGGGTAGGATAGTTATTTACCCTTCTGTTTTTGTAATCATCGGCGGTATCATTTAAAAATATAATATCTCAGAGACAAAGTTTTAAAAATTACATTGTGATAATTAGATACTGTTGCTCGATAATCCACTAAGACATCTACCAAGCTATTCCAGTTCAATATTTCAGTAAACCTAGATGTCCGTATTTTATCTGTGATTAAAATTTATTTGAATACATATGTTGTTGTTAAATTGTGACAAAAGTTTTACTAGGAATAGAAAAAAGCACAAATTTTGTAATGAGATGTGAAAGTTTCTCCTTACCCTGTGACAAATAGAAAAAAATACTTAGAATAAAAAGATAAATAAAGAATGAAAGCAACACTGACAAAATATCTATTACATTGTATTTGATGTTCATATGTTCTTTTTATGAATAAATTGCGATTTTGCGGTTCAAGAACAATTCACCATTGAAGTCCACGACGTTAATCTGTTCCTGGTTTTGCAATATCAATTTGACAGTTTGAATTAAATAAAATTAATGTAAATGTGATAGTTGTACAAAATATCAGTTGTTTTGACATTAATACAGAATGTACACATTTTGAATGTGACAATAACCTTTGGTTACTGTATGCTGGGTGTCCACAGATACCTGGTAGGGATTTTAGGCAACCAAGGTGATATCACAGACAACGCTGCAGAAAAGGCTGCCCATTTTGTCCAAATGTGTGATGATCGAGGCATTCCAATCGTATTCCTTCAAAACACCAGCAAGTCTGTTCCCACTTCTGAGAATACAGGTACTTACTAAGCACTGGTTAAATCTGTTCCCACTACCGAGAGTACAGGTACTTATTCGATTTAATGTAAAAAGGTTTCTGACAAATGCTGTTTACTCCATGTATTTTTTTTGTAAATTATAAGAGAAAATAAGAATATTCCATCAATGAAAATCTTGCTTCATATTTCTTTTGCAGAAGAATTTAGTAGGATTTTACTTTCTTTCATTTGATTCTGTCATTTTAGAGTATATTTATAACTTTTTAAACATTATCCAATACCCTTGCAAACTCATCTTTATTGTGTGTAGAAACCATCGTTTATTTCCATCCTTTAATGTTTTACTGAATGAATTGATGTATGTATATTAACAGGCCTAGACTCTGGCAACAAGCTGCGAGGCCATGCTAAGATGATGGGAACTGTCAGTTGTGCCTTGGTACCTAAACTTACTGTCATCATTGGCAATTCTATTGGACCAGATAGCTATCTCATGGTAACTACTTATTATAAGATTCACACCTGATGATCACTAAAACTCTGTAATACAGAGTCTATAATGGACTGTGTATTTTGATAAGTTTACACAAGTGTACTCTCTGCCGTGATCTGAATTGTCATCGCTGGTTGCACAGAAAAAAATGTATCATCACTTGTTGTACGGAGAAAATGAGTTGCTTCCCCTTACTTTGAAATTTTGTGATATTCAGTTTGCAACAGGGACTCTTTGGTTACATTGGTTAACTACAGTTTTTAATTGTTTGTATGCTTTACATGTCATTATGTGACTATTAAGCATTTTAAGTCATATATAATGATTTAAAAATCTCCATTTTGTTTATGACCAGTCATTAATTGAATTGAAGGCAATAAAAGGTTATTCATCAATTAAGCATGTTAATTTGAATTCTACCACTACACAGTTATTTTGGAATACTGTAATGTACCACAGTGTCAGACAGTAAACCAAAACACCACAAATACACAGATTTAATGTTCAGTTTTAAGTACACTGTTTACTGAACCAGTAGGCACATTATTTCTAGGAGAGGATGTTTATGAGGGCAAATGTAGTATATAAGAATTATGTAACCCCGAAATTATTTCTAAAAAATTACATTATATTACTGGTAATCATTCATTTACAGGGAGGTAGGTGTACCAGCCCCAACTTCATCTTTTGTTGGCCAAACGCTGTGATAGGAATGACTCATCCGAAGGACACCATTCAAGAACTATGTCAGGTGAGAGGGAGACACAAAGCACATATCATGAATTTGTCTTAATATTCATAAAATCAATATGATTTAAAAATGAATTTCAATTTGCAAACTTGTATGTGTATCAGATTTTAAGGATAATCCTGAAATATATCTTACAGTTTTAGGGGAGATACAGTGAAACTTTATCTTTATTGTTAGCACTGATTGGCAGGCAATGTATGTAATAGATTTCTGATCTGGACATGCCTTTGTTTTAGATGAAATTTGAAGGCAGTGAGATGACAGATGAAGAGAAAGAGACCTATAAGAAGAAGGTGGCAGAGCAATGCATGACAGAGTCCTCAGGGTTTTATGCTGCCTCTCGTGTCTGGAATGATGGTATGATCCTCCCTGAGAACACACGCCAGGTAAGTCAAACAAAGAATACACTTTTTGTAACAACATTTAAACCTGTACTCTAATTGATTGCATATCAAATTTTATTGTGTTTAAAGTAAAAATGTAAAAAGTGGAAAAGACTAAGTTTTGTTGAACTCACTAGGGTATTTGCAAATTTTTATAATTATTATGATACATCTTATACATGACAGATTAAATTTGGCTTCCAGGCTTAATTATTAATACAGGTTTTGATGGCACTTCTATTGGTTTTCTTCAGGCTTTGAGACCAATATTGTTATGTCAGTAAATGCCCCTATATTTAAACATTTGGAAATGTACTGAGGTCCTTTTGGAGAGTGACAGTCTGAAAATGTACCCAGATCCTTTGGGATCATGATTGTTGCTCTAATACTGAGAGACGACGTGGCAAAATATTCTTGTTATTACAGTATAACTGACAAGATACATGAATTTGTGGTGTGAATAAAAAGAGGTTTAGTCATGGTTGATTTGTTGTTTCTCTGAACAGGTGCTACACCAGTGTATAGAGGTGTCCCTGGTCTACAGGCAACCAACACAGATGAAATCCTCTGTTATCAGGATGTAGACAGACAGACAACCAACACAGATGAAATCCTCTGTTATCAGGATGTAGACAGACAGACAACCAACACAGATGAAATCCTCTGTTATCAGGATGTAGACAGTGTATAGAGATATCTCTACAGAAAACCAGCACAGATGATGTCCTCTGTGATGTAAACAGTGTATAGAGATGTCTGTATAGACAACCAACACAGATGTCATTCTCTGTGATGTAGACAGTGTATAGAGGTGTCTCTCTGTGGACAACCAACACAGATGACGTTGTCTGTGATGTAAATAATGCATAGAAAGTGTTCCAACAGACACCAACACAGATGTTGCCCTCCATCATCAAGACATATGCAGCATTCTGAAAGCAACTTTTCACAAACAAACACTTCTTGACATCTTTCACATACATGTGTTTAAAATTTGGTTGTGATTGAATATAAATGGATGATTTGAACTGACATTTTTGTAAATATTGTTTAATCACCAAGATAGAAACATGAGAATATGTTGATATTAATGTTGTATAAAGATTCATCTATATATGTATATGGGTATGTATTTATGTCATGTCATGCTATATAGATACACTTAACTTCTATGTATAGTACAGAATTTCAAAACTGAATTTTATAAAGAACTGTAAGATTATTTATAAGATTTTTGTCATGCTACATGGAAATAAAAATAGTAGAAGAGTGTGAGAGGTAGTCCACAACAAGCTGGAATGGTAGTTTCAAAATTTATTGAAGATTTCTGGCCACATCTTTCGCCACTGACGGCTTTCTAAAATAAAAAAAAAAAGGCCTGTAGAAGCCGTCACAGGCGAAACATGTAGGGTTCACTGGGGATGGACGGCTTGCAGTGCTTTGTCTTTTTAATTAATATAGATCTATAATGCAATGTAATTATACTAATCTTAATTCCTGTTTTGAATTATAGATTCCAGTTTATTTCAACTGCAATATCTAACCATGTTGATAATGTATAAATTGTGAAATCCTCAAAAGTATCACTGCTGTAAAATTTTGACCATTATTCTTCTTAAATCGGATCTTCCAGGGTACTGTATGATATGTAGATAGTAATGAGAATGGTTTTGTACGTAGCCAGATATGTCTGTTTTGGTTGTAAAATTTTTTTTAGTTTTTTGTTTTGATTTTTTTTCGAAATGATATGTTTCCATGTTTGCTTTTGGTCAGTAACATTGAGATATTAACAAAACATAATGTACATAATATAATATTTTTTATACTTAATATTATAGTTAGCATAAATTAGTACCAGTGCACTAATGCCAGCGACATAAACACTTTTTTCTTTAATAAATTAACAACATAGAGATCATCTGTGCAGAATCATCATATGACCATTCATGAGCCCAAAGAATGGTACCAGGTTGATTGTGGTTCACTATAATAAGGGGAAATAATAACCTTTTGTCTTTACCTACATGTCCTTCAGTAAACTTTTTAGTGCTTTATATACCAACAATAGACTCCTGAAAAGTGTGAAATTTTTTCAGAATTTTACCTTTGGGGAGATTTTTTGTCTGGTCTACTATGTTTCAATTGACATCTGATTTGATTAATGTGATTCTGTAGATATCAAATCAAGTCAACACACACTGACAGTTCAACAATAAAATTAGTCTTTATTTATCAATTTTTGATTTATTTGTGTCACCTGTAAATTTGAAGTTTTCAAATGACATTTATTTCAGTCATTTCTTTTTGTCAATTCATTACAACTTTTGATTTGAATGAAAGTATTGACTGATGTGTCAATTAAATGTTCTGTGGGAGTACATATTTTTTTTGGACCTTAAGTTCAAAAGAGAATGTCGAAGTCATGGTTCAAACAAAAGTGTATGTATTATTACATTGTCCAAGTGTCTAGGTCACCTGCCTCAAAGTGAGCTTATAATGGCACAGCATGCATGTATAATTAGTTGTCTGTCTGTTCGTAGGTTAACTTTTTTTTCTTTATACGACTTCTTCTGGGGAATTATGTTACGTAAATGTAAGCAGCTGGCATGGAAGAGTTAGTCCATCATTGATAAGCAGTTCTGGTGGGTATGATTAGTAAATGGTATATAATGAGTTTGACAAGACACCATAAATGTATGTTACATTTAAGGATTTTGTAACATCCTAGCTCATTTGATATGATTGTATGAAAATTAAAAAAAAAGAAAAGTCCAGAGTTGGGCATGTGTATACCAATAATATCTTTCCAGCAAACTCATCAAAATCAGAAATTCAGTCATTTCCTTTCTTCATGTATAGTCTCCATACCTGAGGTCATCATGTACAGTCTCCATACCTTAGGTCACCATGTACAGTCTCCGTACCTGAGGTCATTATGTACAGTCTCCATACCTGAGATCTTCATGTACAGTCTCCGTACCTGAGGTCATCATGTACAGTCTCCGTACCTGAGGTCATCATGTACAGTCTCCGTACCTTAGGTAATCATGTACAGTCTCCATACCTTAGGTCTTCATGTACAGACTCCATACCTGAGGTCATCATGTACAGTCTCCATACCTTAGGTCTTCATGTACAGACTCCATACCTAAGGTCATCATGTACAGTCTCCATACCTTAGGTCTTCATGTACAGTCTTTGTACCTGAGGTCATCATGTACAGTCTCAATACCTTAGGTCTTCATGTACAGTGTCTGTACTTTAGGTCTTCATGTACAGTCTCCATACCTTAGATCACCATGTACAGTTTCTATACCTTAGGTCACTATGTACAGTCTCCATACCTTAGGTCACCATGTACAGTCTCCATACCTTAGGTCACCATGTACAGTCTCCATACCTTAGGTCATCATGTACAGTCTCTATACCTTAGGTCACCATGTACAGTCTCCATACCTTATGTCACCATGTACAGTCTCTATACCTTAGGTCACCATGTACAGTCTCCATACCTTAGGTCACCATGTACAGTCTCCATACCTTAGGTCACCATGTACAGTCGTCCATACCTTAGGTCTTCATGTACAGTCTCCATACATTAGATCACCATGTACAGTCTCCATTCCTTAGGTCTTCACGTACAGTCTCCATACCTTAGGTCATCATGTACAGTCTCCATACCTTAGGTCTTCATATACAGTGTCTGTACTTTAGGTCTTCATGTACAGTCTCCATACCTTAGATCACCATGTACAGTCTCTATACCTTAGGTCACCATGTACAGTCTCCATACGTTAGGTCACCATGTACAATCTCCATACCTAAGGTCACCATTGTACAGTCTCCATACCTTAGGTCACCATGTACAGTCTCCGTACCTTAGGTCACCATGTACAGTCTCTGTACCTTAGGTCACCATGTACAGTCTCCGTACCTTAGGTCACCATGCACAGTCTCTGTACCTTAGGTCACCATGTACAGTCTCTGTACCTGAGATCACTTTGTACAGTCTCCATACCTTAGGTCACCATGTACAGTCTCCATACCTTAGGTCACCATGTACAGTCTCCATACCTTAGGTCATCATGTAGTCTCCGTACCATAGGTCACCATGTACAGTCTCCATATCTTAGATCACCATGTACAGTCTCCATACCTTAGGTCACCATGTACAGTATCTGTACCTTAGGTCACCATGTACAGTCTCCATACCTTAGGTCACCATGTACAGTCCCTGTACCTTAGGTCACCATGTAAAGTCTCTGTACCTTAGGTCACCATGTACAGTCTCCTAACCTTAGGTCACGATGTACAGTCTCCATACCTTAGGTCACCATGTATAGTCTCCGTACCTTAGGTCACCATGTACAATCTCCAAACCTTAGGTCACCATGTACAATCTCCAAACCTTAGGTCACCATGTACAGTCTCCAAACCTTAGGTCACCATGTACAGTCTCCTAACCTTAGGTCATCATGTACAATCTCCGTACCTTAGGTCACCATGTACAGTCTCTGTACTTAAGGCCATCATGTACGGTCTCCGTACTAAAGATATGTATGTTGCAAAGTCGGGTGTCCATTGTGATAACATCGCCTAGGCCCTTTAACTGTCCATGCTGTAACGTTCGTTATTGTTCCATATCTATCAGCTCATCAAATTTTATTGAAATTATGGAAATGTCCGTCGTTAATTGGAAATCAGAGTCGGGACATACTCTTCGATCTTCACCCTTAACGTAACCAGCACCAAGCTATTTGACAATCGTGATATAGATTCCACGCCGGAACCCAACCTACAAAATAGCAGTTGATTTCTTACAACACATTGTGCAGAAAGATGCAGGTTGGTTTAATTATCAGGAAGTTTTATGGTCGCCGTCATTACCTCACTGGGAAATATTCTTTTCCATGTACAATTCGAAGTTGGATGTGATCAATGCGCGTTACTGTAGTACCAGGGATGTCTGGTGGTTTCGTTGACCATGGTTTTCGTGAGCTTGCCTGGTCCGAGGGGGACTTGAAGAAAGTTTGACGTAGTTTGTGAAAATAAATCTTAAAATATCTTCGGGTACACGGTTTAGATATCTTAAAACAATCGAATGACCTCTTCCTATCAACTGAAACACACAGAATCGTGATATTTGGCTTACTGGTTCCTAATATGTAGTCTGATAACGTGAAAACAAATAGCATGACGTGTCACAGTTGATTCGATATTCTAAAAGATGCAGGTAGATGAAAATAAAGGGGAAGTTTTACGGTCATCATTGCTATCTCATCCGGAAATATTCTCTTTTTTCCCCTCAAGATCGCGTCTTTGATGCCTGTCAGCCTGATGGTTCCGTTGTTTACCTTGTACTCAGTTGGAAATATGACACCACTTACTTGGATTGGGCAAGGTTTAACATGGCGGGTGTCGCCGATGAAGCAAATGACACTTACTCTTCTGGAACACATGGTCTTATCATTTTTGTACTTTTTCAAATGTCTCGGTGTATTCTTTTGTCCTGTGCATCCCACCAAGTTATAATATAATAAGCGTGATTATTTCAGTGTCCATAATGCGAACTTTCCATCTCTGGATAGCAACATCCTGCATCCTAGACCTTTGATGTTTTTATGTTGCAGTTGATTCGATTATATTCAAGGACCTGTTCCTATTATCATGATTTTCGTCAACTGACGGAGATGCAGGTTGATGAAAATTATGGAATATTTTACGGTCATCATAGTGATCTCATTGAGAAATATTCTATTTCTTTGAACGATACGAAGTTTGACGTGTTCGATGCTCCTTAATTTGCCTGTTTGTTTCGTTGTTGTTTACCTTGTTCCCATTTGAGAACGTGCCATTTCTTAGTAGGATTGACCAATACTGACATGGCGGGTGTCGGCGATGAAACAAAATTTGCTTGTTCTTCCCTTTTACAACACAAGGTTTTATTCTCATTGTATGTTCAATGGGTTCCAGTTGATCATCATGCCTAATACATTAATTACTACTACACAAGAATTAGCAAAACAGTTTGAAATTAGTTTTTGGTGGTAACTTTTTATTACCTTCGTTGGCACAAACAGTGGATTAAACCTCCAGAGAAACCAACATAATTTCTCGTCCGTAATAAACCTTCTTCGTTATCTTTGGTTAGGTTAAGGATGTGACCTTCCTACACTACAGTTGTCGCTACTTTCACATCATCTCTTATCAGCCTATCGTTTTAAGATATGATCGTGGAAAAATGTTCTTCGGAGCTATCTCTGGTAAGGCTGTGGACTTGAAGAGGAATTTCCAATTCATACGGGATTTTTGACACAAGTATTAGAATTTTAAATTTATTGACCCCCAGACGAAGTTAAATAATGTAAGATACTTGTGTTAGTATCAACATTCTAATACAATGATAATTAAAAAAAAAAAAACAAGAGTTATTGGTATGTATTCGAGATATCCATTGCGATTGTGTCAAATATCACCTACACGTATCCTATCAGTAAAAAATATCTAGCGCTGGTTAGCACGTGAGGTTTGTTTCTGCACGTGAGGGCAAAACTCATACAGAGTGTAGAGATTTGTGTCTGTGCCTGATGAAAGAGAAAAGAAAAGAAAAGTATTAAGGAAACCTAACCGTTAAATGAAGGCAAGCTATATAAACGAGATAAACCATTACTTAAGATGACTTAATAAGTAGCCAATCATGCAGAACAGTTAACATGCTTGTAATGGTAGTAAAATAAAAAGGAAACATTTAAAAAATCAAGTTATTCACATGCTTGTTTTGACCTGAATGACAAACAGGAAACAATGAAGTACTCCCCGGTGTTTAAAGTACAGATCATTACACGTATGTGTGTATGCGTGTAGTATTTGGTAGACTGAAGGATTTACATGTGATCTGTGAATAATTTGCTGATGTCTAATTTTAGACAATTGTTGTAAATGGCCGATGGTTTTATTGACGTATCATCACACATCCGGGTATACCGTTAACTGCTTCCATGGATCCTAACTGTTCTGAGATCAGGTATGATGTGCCTGTATGAGAGAGATGTCATTACTGTTTTATTTGTGATACGTAGTATTAGTATTGTAAATACTCTAGTGTTCACACAGCTACATAAGGAAAGACTAGGGTGAAGGTATTTTACAGTGCACGTTCATCAGGTGTAGGGGCTGTTAGGGGTTAGAAATGTTAGGGTGGACTGTATGGGAGTAAGGTTGTGAGGGAGGGCTGAAAGGGGTTAGGGTTGTTAGTCATCAGCTGGTGTAGGGGCTGTAAGGGGTTAGAAATGTTAGGGTGGACTGTATGGGAGTAAGGTTGTGAGGGAGGGCTGAAAGGGGTTAGGGTTGTTAGTCATCAGCTGGTGTAGGGGCTGTAAGGGGTTAGAGATGTTAGGGTGGTTTGTATGGGAGTAAGGTTGTGAGAGAGGGCTGAAAGGGGTTAGGGTTGTTAGTCATCAGCTGGTGTAGGGGCTGTAAGGGGTTAGAGATGTTAGGGTGGTTTGTATGGGAGTAAGGTTGTGAGAGAGGGCTGAAAGGGGTTAGGGTTGTTAGTCATCAGCTGGTGTAGGGGCTGTAAGGGGTTAGAGATGTTAGGGTGGTTTGTATGGGAGTAAGGTTGTGAGAGAGGGCTGAAAGGGGTTAGGGTTGTTAGTCATCAGCTGGTGTAGGGGCTGTAAGGGGTTAGAGATGTTAAGGAGGGATGTAAGGGTTAGGGTTGTTAAGAACTGTTACGGTCTGGTAGGGTCTGTAAGGGGATAGAATTGTTACGGTCTGGTAGGGCCTGTAAGGGGATAGAACTGTTACGGTCTGGTAGGGCCTGTAAGGGGATAGAACTGTTACGGTCTGGTAGGGCCTGTAAGGGGATAGAATTGTTACGGTCTGGTAGGGTCTGTAAGGGGATAGAATTGTTACGGTCTGGTAGGGTCTGTAAGGGGATAGAATTGTTACGGTCTGGTAGGGCCTGTAAGGGGGTAGAATTGTCAAGATCAATAGAATGGGGGTACTTAGTTAGGAATATAGTATGAACACTGTAATACTAGGCAGTGGACTTGTATTGTACATTGTTCCATTACATTTTCAATTTGTTCATGATTTGTTAAATTCATTGTTTATTGTACATTATTTATCAATATCGTCTTCGTTTTTTTCATTTATATTCCAACATCATGTCCACGTAATCCAATTTTGTTCGTCTATAAATATGAGAGTAGTGTCTTGAATCAAGGCCAAAATCTTGTATGGTCGTCTGCCGCATCCAATCGGTCGGCAAATATGTACACGTGGTATACCACGGGGTCCATATACCCCATCTTGGTCATTTTATCGGTCCCCTGTACGTAGACTACACAGGAATGGTGTGCTCTCAGCCACATGTACCCACCACCAGCAAATGGTAGTGATGAAAAGAAAACATCTGGAAGTGACCTACACACATATGTAATGGAGAGATTTGATATGCATGACTGACAACTTGGGTAAGCCGCCTACGTCAAATTAACCTTGACTACTATTTAGTGACGTACGGGTTGTTTGGGTGTCTTTATATACCACAGCACCAGTTAACAGTCACGAGATTACGGTGTGATAACGGTGGTTTATTTGAGTTTTAAAATTTATTGAACCAAACTTTGTTGTACGGATTTGAACTCCAGCGTAGCTTATATAAATAAGACATAAACGCGGCTCATAAATTATACTACCGACGAAACGAATTCCGATCTTGTGATCCGTTTCTGAGTTTTGTTTGAGGCGTGGTCTTCTTGTAGTAACTGCACTGTTGCCACCTCACTGAACAACATACGGGAGGCTAGTCGCATGCTATACAAAGCAAAAAGGGTGATGTGCATGTCTTGTCCATAGACACAACCATGACATCACTGACCAGGTCCTTTCCTTAGCTTTGCAAGAAACACAAGCCGCCATGACCGGGTAGGTGCGTCGAGATTTTCCGATCGGTATTAATTGTTACATAACATTACAAACTGAATCAGCATGGATTTTGATTATCCTTAAAGTGAATACGGTGCGTTTATTTGTCCTGTTTGCAATCACTAAGATAAAAAAGAAGCTATGATTATCTAAATGAAGTTCTATTCGTGGTTTAGGTGAACCCTTAAATATGACAATTACAGCGATGTGAAATATCTGTAGATTCAATTAGATGAAATTGCCAACTTTACCTCTTTATGACGATTATTAATTGTTTTCCTGTTATCAACACGTGAATGATTTTTATGATTACATGTATATGAATTATGACAAGCCATGTGGAGAGAGCGTTGAGTTATCATTGATATGGTAAACAAACATGACAAACCATTTGTCCTTGAATATTAAGAGCGGAGCTCTTTGGACGTGAGGTTCAATAACTTACATTCGATATAAAATCTTCCGGAAGTGAAAGGCATTGTGTTCTTTACCTTTATCTAACTTTAGTGTTAATCCAAAGCACTGTGACATAAAGATGATTTCACAAATAAGATTGGAATGAAGCAAAACTGCTCAAGCTCCGCTCGCTATAAAGAGACTCCGCATGACTGGCTTTCATTATGCTGAGCAAAGTCATCGTCAAAAATTAGTAGTTGTAATAAACTATTCGACAAAAAATAATATCAAATTGCTTTCCTGCCTATAATATTCATTGCATATGACGGATTGAAAGTAATACAGGAGTTAAGATTTAGTGAGAGCGTCAGGGACTTGACATAATTGCATCCTTTCCCATATGTGTTGTCTTTGTTCTTTGATAGCCAGGTAACCGGAAGCAGTATTCTATGGAGAAATAATCTGGATTAGTATTGGTTTATGTAGATCTGATATAAATATCTGAAACTGAAGTTTTAGCGTACATTTTGTAATAAGAAAATAAGGTAAGTAACAACCCAAGATGCAAACTGTATACCTTGTCCCATTCTGGATGGAAAAGCACATTGTTAGTTTCTCCTAAGTTATCCAGATATATTTTTGTTTATAATACGAATCAGGAAAGAGCGAAGCTTACATGTCATATGACATTCTCGGTTAAAAGTATCAAGAGATATGTGTGTATGTGCATATTGTGAAGTCATGATATCGGTTGGCGTTATAAGTGGGGTACTTGCAGGTATGAAGGGATTTCATTTCATACCTGTTCAATTCTAGTAAAACCATATCTAGGTTTAGAAATAATGCAAAGTAAGTCAAATAAATTTAGGTTCACGAAAATGCTATCAAATTTTTTTTATTAACAATATCTACAGGTAAAGTGCAGAGCATCTATGCGCCATGCCTTTCACTTCCGAATGCTCGGTACCTATCGCTTCCGAATGCTCGATGCCAATCACTTCCGAATGCTCCATGCCTTTCACTTCCGAATGCTCGATGCCTATCGCTTCCGAATGCTCCATGCCTTTCACTTCCGAATGCTCGATGCCTTTCACTTCCGGACGAATTTTTCTCGGATGGATCAGTTCTTGGGATCTGTCTTTTTGGATGTGAAAGACACGTTGTCTTAAACATGTTATCAATATAGAGCTTCCCGCCGGATAAGAAATGTCTATATCACTTTGTAACTCTGTAGCGAAGAATTTCGAGTCAACCAGCTGTTTTCATACATTTCATAGTCTTCTATGGAAATAGTATTAAGAAACAATTTTCAAATTGACTGAACTTTTGTGACAAATAATTGCTGTTCACTTTTGATGCTTGTAAAACAAAATGCATGTTTAAGCTATATCAAAACAACTGAAATATCGTCCTATATCATTTACCATTTTCTGCTCGAAATATGGGAGCCATCTTTACATTGATGACATTAAAAGAACGAGTAATTTTCAGACGTAACCTTTGTGATAGTTTCTTTTATTTATTAGTGTTATTTTGGTCGACAAAATGGTTCTGGTCACGGCGGTCAGTTCTATGTCCACACTAAGTAAGCTGCATCATAGAGGCACAGGTGGATGATAGAAGCTTTAGTAAGAAGAGGGGACTTCACGACTTCATGGATCAGTGAACAAACACGAAAGCTAACGCCCGAGAAGTCACCACGGAGTCTAGTTTTTTATCCAGCGGTATTAAACGTCCCTGGCAAACGCTACTCTCTATTCAGAGCGGAGTTCTTTTAAGACTAGTATGTGTGAATTAAACACAGATACTTGACATAATTATCTCCCTTTCCGCGTGCGTTTCCTTTATTTTCTTTTGTCGGAAAACCTGAAGCAGTACTCAATGGAGAAATGACCTCGAAATCGAACCGCGACGAATTTAAATAGTTTTAGTATAAATGAATATAACTGATTACATGAATTTTAAGTTTTCAATTACTTTGTAATAAGGAAAAGAATTAGGTAATAAACCAAGATGCCTACCTGTTAATCTTGTCCTGTTATCGCGTGAATGAGAAATGGAAATTGTAATTTGCTCCTTTCGTATCGAGATATCTGCATATGTATTGCAAAGCATGCTGCGTTCAAACACGCATTATTCTGTAAATTAATGAAAAATACATTCCTTTATCGCTGAACCGTTTCTCGACGTTATGGAATAAAAATGTGAAACCGGTCGCATTACAGCGGTGGTACATTCATATAAGGGAGACAATTCTAACAGGAAAAAACACCTAGATATCGTGTGCTTTCTTTGTGCCTTTTTTTCATAGTCCTTTCAGTATTTTTACCTACACAAGTTATCAAATGCTCAGCCATTTTAAGGGCTTTGTCTTTTCACACATTGCATGTTTTCATGTCTGATAAATTTCATCCTGCCCTATGTTTTTAAGGATCCCTGAAAATATAAAGTCGGTACTCAGTCATGTTTGTTTTGCATAATAAACCTGTAATCAAATGCCAGTTTTCTGAAAATGATATTGTCACCAAACAATTAATTTTTTACCTGCCTGACCACGTGGGTTTTCCCCGGGTTCTCCGGTTTCCTCCCACAATAAGACCCCTCGCGCGCTTACATCCGGGCCAACAAGAGTGATTAGTATAAGTTGATATAACTTGTTTCGCAATTATTGTAAAATAAATAGAGTTTTATATATACAATCTCTATGTTTCACTGTAATTCAATCACGTCAGGTTTGTCTTGGTATCTAATATATCGAGGCTGCCACATCACCTGAGTCACGTTCATCATCTTTATATGCCACAAGGACTTGTATGTATTGATCCGTCACCGGTGTACCCGACTTCTACGTTAATATAGCTATGCACGGCGAGACTTAACGACAGGTAGACATGTATAGCTAGCCAGGATATTGTTGTCATAACTATATTGACGAAACGGTCCAGTGGGCGCAAAAAAGATTGACTTAAACCGATGAATCGCTTGGAAGATTTCAATGTTGATAGCCGTTGTCGGTCGACAGATGTTTGAAGTGTCATCTAATTTTTAAGTGATGACTTTTCCAGGTAGTTTATGAGTATATATCAGTGTTCAATTAGGAGATACATATTTTCAATATTTCAGAAGCAGTAATCAACAGACGTAGATAACACGGATTCATGGGGTAAACGACATGACGAATGGACACTACAAACATTGACCTTGAGGAACGACCCAGTCATAGACTGGAAATAAGAGATAAAGGACCACTGACCAGCTTCCGGGAAGGGTAAGTATACAAGGAGCTCGGCTATTTATAATTCTGTCACTCAAATATATGATCACATGAGCTTGTAATTACAACACACTCCATTTCCTTATTGCTGAACCCGACAGTAGACGAGGAAAAATATCCCTGTTGTATCTCACTGCATGTCGTTATAGATGACTACGGAAGCCCCTGACTGACCAGGTGTTATTTCACCGACGCCTTCTGTTAAGGGGACATCGGAGAACCCAAGATTAGGGCCTGCTGTTTTCCACTACTTGATAGGAGGATGCGACGAAAAGCGTGTCTCCTGTAGAATCGGTAGTTTTCTGCCATCTTTTCTACTAAGAGATCATTGAAGAGAGATCTGCTGTCCCAATACAATACTTAATACTTTCTTTTCTTCGCTTTCAACTCGTTGTGTCCCCATTGACCTCCGCCCTCCTTTGACCGTATCTGTTTGCGAAGGTGTTACTTCTCGTTAAACATAAAAAAAACTCTTTTGTCATCTAATAGGTGATCGATCACTTGATTATTTGGTCAGTTCGTGCATTGTCCTGTGGATGTTACATATCTGTCCATTTTGTCTTTACCACTGTTGCCTATTTCTGTTCATTAATTTCTTTTTTAACATACGTTTTGTGTGTTTATGTTTCTGATAATGGATAATTCAAGTATAATGGATAGTGAGAAGACATCACGCCTCTCATTGAGTTCATTCCACCAAACATTTGCGTAAACAGTTGATTTTAGACAGTAACTGTTAAGCATGCCCGGGGATGGTATACCTACATATACCTATTTCTTGACCAGTCGTTCATCCTGTTGAATGCCTATGCGAATTTCAACCAAATTTGGTTTGAAACATCATTGGTGAGGATAATGGTTTCTTGAATAAATTAAGTCGATTCGACCTTTCGGAACATGGGAGCGGAGCCCTAAAAAAGGCCGTTAGGAACAAAATTACTTTAAAGGCTTCCCCTCTTGAACGCCTCAGCAGATTTCAATCGTCATTTCATTATCAATTTCAACATTATGCTGTGTTTGGAATCGGTAATGCAAACACGTTCTGTTCTTTATTGGTTTAAAGTATTGTTAGTTTGTTGACCCGATAGCAAAATAAGCTTACACATTTTATTTTTTTATCATTCTAGGCCATATATTTGCCACAACACCTTGATTGCTCACGCGGAATTTCTGAAGGCAGCCAATGATGTCAAAGAACCACGTGTATTCCGGGTGCTTCCGGTTGGTGGCGCCAGCAGCAATATCGGTGACGTGTTTGCTCTTGTCACGTGGTACTTCCTTTGCGTCTATTCTTGCTGTGTCATTCCGGTGAGTCACAGATTTGAGATTAAATGTTTGTTTGGTACGATACATATATTTACAAATAAAGTATTGCTTATATATAGATATATTTAAATAATATGCAAAAGAAATTTAGATCTGCAGGCGTTTGTTACATACAGAAATCAAGTCAGTGAAACGTGTTCTTGTTTGATTTGAAACAAAGTTATTTAAAGAACAAGAATATTAAAAATATTATTAAATCGTCTGAAGTCACACCTTTGAGACCTGATCGGCCTGACTAAGAATTTGTCGTAAGCGACAAGAATAGAAGGCATCATGATCGCTTTTAGCAAAACCATCCCATATCTTTATTGGAATTCCTAGAAATTCTTTTAGCAAATTATTTATTTCAATTTTCTAGTATTTTTATCATTTCCTCACAGATAGCCTGTTACTGTGAGAACACAGTTATCAACATCACAAATGCCGCCATTTTGTGTGTTCTGCTTATGTATCACATCATCGCCATTTACACTATCACCAAGAACAAGAAGAAGCTGAGACGGATGCTGTTTTTAGCAGAGGTAAAACAACTAGTCTAGAGTACAGTGATTCGTCCATAGATTACAAGTCGTATATGTAAAACTTCAGGTTGAGTCGTACATCATGACCTTAAATAATTTTTTACGCTGATAGATTTGACTGGAAACATGAAGATTGCACTTTTGATACTGGTGCCATAAAACATCTCTGATTATGACTTTAAGTCAGGGTAGAGATTGTGCGGTTTTAACTCTTCGTTATGTTTGTGTTCTGTTCCTTGTTCTTTTTCTCTCCTAATGAATCTTTGTCCGCGTTGTTTTTCATTTTACTTTGTCTGTGTTCTAATGATCACTTTCTTTCATATTTTTGCAATGTTTTTTTAATGTCGCTTTTCATTAGTTTTATTTCTGTCATGTTCTCTGTGATGTCTTTGTTCTGTTTTATTTCTGTCATGTTCTCTGTGATGTCTTTGTTCTGTTTTATTTCTGTCATGTTCTCTGTGATGTCTTTGTTCTGTTTTATTTCTGTCATGTTCTCTGTGATGTCTTTGTTCTGTTTTATTTCTGTCATGTTCTCTGTGATGTCTTTGTTCTGTTTTATTTCTGCTGTAATCTCTGTGTTGTCTTTGCTCTGTTTTATTTCCGATGTATTCTCTGTGTTGTCTTTGCTCTGTTTTATTTCTGCTGTAATCTCTGTGTTGTCTTTGCTCTGTTTTATTTCTGCTGTAATCTCTGTATTGTCTTTGCTCTGTTTTTATTTCTACTGTATTCTCTGATTTCTTTGTTCTGTTTTATTTCTGCTGCAATCTCTATGTTGTCATGGTTCTGTTTTATCTGCTGTAATCTCTGTATTGTCTTTGCTCTGTTTTATTTCTGCTGTAATCTCTGTGATGTCTTTGTTCTGTTTTATTTCTGCTGTAATCTCTGTGTTGTCTTTGCTCTGTTTTATTTCTGCTGTAATCTCTGTGATGTCTTTGCTCTGTTTTATTTCTGCTGTAATCTCTGTGATGTCTTTGCTCTGTTTTATTTCTGCTGTAATCTCTGTGATGTCTTTGTTCTGTTTTATTTCTGCTGTAATCTCTGTGTTGTCATTGCTCTGTTTTATCTCTGCCGTGTTCTCTCTGTCATTCCTTTTGTTTTACGGCTTCTATGCTCTATGTCTTTCTATCTGTTCATGTCTCTGTCAGTATGAAATTCCTACCAAAAACAGAATCTCTGATCACGTCTGATCTTACTGAAAGTATACCTGAGCATTGAAGTGGCTTGAAATAAGTATATGAAAAAATAATTTAATTCAATGTTCTATTGTCCAACAGACAACTGCAGACAGGTATCAGGGTTTCCAGAATTACTTCTTTGACGTTAGATCCAACAGTACAGACCAACTTACATTTTTAAATTTGAAGCACAGGAGAAAACTTCAACAGGAAATCGCTGTACGTCAAGGTCAGTATATATCGATTGAATGTAGATCTTAATATTAGGTGTCAATGTAACAAAATAGTGCTGTCGAATTCCTTGACCAGCTGACACTCCGGTCACTATTTCTGATTTCCTTGACCGGCCGACACTCCGGCCAAAATTTCCGATTTCCTTGACCAGTTGACACTTCGACCAAAATTTCCGATTTCCTTGACCAGCTGACACTCCGTTCAGTTTTTCCTATTTCCTTGACCAGATGACACTCCGTTCAGTTTTTCCTATTTCCTTGACCAGATGACACTCCGTTCAGTATTTCCGATTTCATTAACCAGCTGACACTCCGGTCAAAAATTTCCGATTTCCTGGATCAGCTGAAACTGCGTCCAGTATTTCAGCATTTGTTGCGCTTAGAGTAAAATGCTCTCCTCCTCCTCCTCCTCCTCCTCCTCCTTCTAAAATACTTGTATTAATGAACAATATAGGAATAAAGTATTTGTTAAAGTATTTCATATCTTTTTGACTTATATATATACGAATTTCTTCACAAGCGATCATTGCCCCTTTCCTGATGGTATTGTTCCTTCACATTGTAGTCACACTATTGTAGGCAGCTTATACGGACGTCGCGCTTGTAGGAATTTTGAAGGGTGAGATACAGATCTGGGGTGAATGGTGTTTGGTCCTCATTTCTCTTTTATTTTCTCTTTTATTGTACCAGTATGAAACCCAGTTGTGCCTGTATGAGGTCAAATTGAATCTGCCATTCAATACAGGGGTTCTATTTATTCAAAACTAGACTTACATCACAACTGAAGGAATTCCTCTAAGGGGACATTTTCCTCGCAGAACGTCAGTAACTGACCCCAAGACGTCCTCACTTTCCTCGTATGCCTCGCGAGGTCAGAATACATGTTTGGCATACTTTGTATAAATATTTATACTTGCTTTGCATAATTTCTAGATGGCTTACCAACAACAATGAGTGTATTTATACGACTGCAAGATGTTTGGTTACAAATTTTACATAACTGTAATTTAAATGTGCAAATAGTAAAAAAAAAAAAAAAAACCGTCAGTTTAATCACGTGCTCTTGATAAAATTGTGTTCTTATTGCGTCGTCAATGACGCTAAACAGGCGCACCTATTGCTGTTTTGAGAAAATATGTAGTTTTTAAATGTAAATATTTATTTTCTGGGCGTACATTGGAGTGAGTTACATTTGAGTAACTACATAGCTTGCTTAAATGGTGATAAAATCAGACACCTAACATATTGAATTAATCTGTTACTATGTACAGGAAAAGGAATGGTGGTGATGTTGTGTACAAAATCTTACTGGAGGAGTCGCATTGTCTATCCTGTCATATGCCTGGCTATCCTCAGCGTTTTTAGTCTCGTTGGTGTCATCGTCCAGCTGGAAACCATGAAGCGTATATGATTATTTCTTAAAATCTTGCCGAACAAATAAGTTTCGACGCAGCTCAAAAATAATGTACATTTAACCTCTTGCCGGTAGTGTAGCACATTGTAGATTTTCTCACAAAGGTGTCCCTTAATGCATTATACAGGATTAATTTGATGTGAAAGTCGGGTACACGTGTTCAATTACCTATATTGTTTTATTAGTGCATGGATAATTTTGATTTAATAGGAACATTTTTAATGTGATTATAAAATGACCATGCGTCTAAAAGTACGATGTTATAGTTTGTCTCGGTAAAATGTACATGGAATATTGTATGTTATAGTTTGTCTCGGTAAAATGTACATGGAATATTGTATGTTATATTTTGATTCTGCACAAAAAATTGAATGTTATAGTTTGTCTCGACACAAAAAAATATTGTATGTTATAGTTTGTCTCGGCACAAAAAATATTGTATGTTATAGTTTGTCTCGGCACAAAAAATATTGTATGTTATAGTTTGTCTCGGCACAAGAAATATTGTATGTTATAGTTTGTCTCGGAAACATTTGTATGGGAGAAATGCGTTTAATGAAATGGTGCTATATCTATTTGTATTATTTGTCTCTCTATGTTTAATAATTGCCTATTTTGCTGAACAAAGTAAAGAAACACTAGTTAACATTGTTGATTTTCATGAAATATCACAAAGGAACCATGGATTTTCTAATTAATGGTCCGGAGTCTTTGGTACGCACTGAAATATTCACATTTTTTGGAGAAATTCATAAGAATAGAATTTTAGTAATTAATTGATAATTGAGATCAAATAAACACGTGACTATCACGTTTCTACGGCGAATTGAAACAGACAAATCCCAAAGAAGTGGTTCCAAAGTCAGAAGACTTGCTTTTACCTGATTTACAGGGAACAGAATACATGAAGATTCAGAAAATGTGCTCTTTGTTATTTTCTAATCTACAATGTATATCAATTGTACTATGTGTATACGTTTTTATGATTACTAAAACTTGTCTGTTTAAAATTTAGGAATTCGCACGTTAGTTGACATCGGTTTTCGAACTCCCAGTGTAGACACTACTTGCAGGTATTAGAACATACAGTATGTATTTAGTGGTAGGATAACAGAAGGTTCAACTATGACAGAAACAAGAAAATCACAGTACTTTCAATACATCGTGTAAAGGTGTTAAGTTCACTTACCTTTGTGTACCTAAATACGTACACTTCCGGTCACGTGAACGTCTCTCTCAGGCTGACCGCTGACGCTGCAATATGTTCTTTAGATAATTTACATTTGTTGGGAATTTCTTTGAAATGTACACGTTAATTAATTTTAAAATTACAATACGTAACTCCCGAGTAACGGTTTAGTGAATAAGTGTGAACCAACGTGCCGCATGTTGTAATTGTTATGTAAATATTGACGAAGTAGAAGAAAAGTAACCAGGCCCCACTTGTATAAAATATCTCAATTTCAGATTTCCTCAAGCCCAGATTTTCCTCAGCTAATATCTCCTTAAAAATATCTTGTATGAAAATTCCTCAAGGAATTTAGGGACATCCTAGCCCGAGGACTTCCTCCTGTTCATTGAGAAAATTTGATACATGCCGTTTTTGAGGAGATGTCAGCAGAGGAAAATCTCGACTTGAGGAAATCTCAAGTTGAGATGATTTATATAAGTGGGTCCTGATGGTAGAGAATGGATAAACAGAGTATATATATATATATATATCAGTAACATGTTCATGTGTTGTTAAAATAAAAGAAGTTGATCGTTGTGATAGCGACTCTGAGTTATATTTCATCCTTGTGATTATAATATTTTATTTTATATTAACATGAGAAGAATCAGTGTAGTTTTTTTTTTAGATTTACGAGACATATTGCTGTACAATTTTTTTCTTGTTATCAAATGTTGACGCTGTGGCATTTATGGTCTTCATAAGTGACATCTTGATTGACGCCAAACTTTGTCATTTATATCTAACATAAATGCCACAAGAATACAATTCCATGCCTATATTTACATTGCCTGTGCATGTCGCCGCCTTATGCTGATTATAATCCGTCCGTCTAGAGGTGGCGGACCCATGGCCTTGTAATGGTAATGTTAGGGGATTACTGAGTACCTTTGTAAAATAAATGGTGGACTCACCCGGTAGACAATATGTCCTCTTGATTGGTCCTTCGTTGCTTCGCATTTGAAGTTGTACAGTTCGTACAGAAAGTTATAATCTTTGCAGACAAGATTTTGAATGTTTTAGCTAAACACACAATGAAGTCCCTGTCACGTAAATCTTGTGTGTATGTATATCAAAAGAATCTAAGAATACAGACTTGGATTTATTCCACACTGAAAGCGAATTAGAAAAAGATTCTCTCATTTCATCCACTCTCCAGCATCCATGGAATCCATAAGTATCTTGATATCCAGATTCCAATTAGTGACAGAGGTTTCCCCGATATTTCAGACCCTTCACAGAAAACATTTTTGATCAATAGTTTACCCACGTTCTGTTGCTGCGTTTGGTAAGTTAGCACGCAATCGGTTTGGAGTAACTAAAGGCTATGTCAGGGCTTTCTCTGTATTATAAATAATTTCGACTGATTTCTAGTGTAAATTGTCACCGATGTTAAGAGGATCAATTTTCTTACTTTCAATTTCAACAATCTATTAGATTGGACAGCCTATGCCTATATAAGTCTTCTCCAAAATTCCAGTGGTATATTATAGCCATTTACAATAATGGTTATTACAAAACAGGTTCAAGGGGAAACAACTCCCGTAAAAAGATAGAATTAGAAATTGTTAGCATTAAAGAAATACTTCCATTACAAGCGGTTTGTAGTCCGTAATGTAATAAAAGGTAATCTCCTCAAGGAGAGCACAACTTCTATAGAGGCTGGGTATTTTCATAACTTTCATATATTGCTGTTTTCAATTTCAACAAACATTATGTATATATATTATATCCATTGGATTGGACAGCTGGATGGAAGTCTTCTCCAAAATTCCAGTGCATGTTTACAATAATGGATATTACAAAACATGTTCAAAGGGAAACAACTCATGTAAAAATACAAAATTAGGGCTGTACCTGATTTGCCCACTTTTTAAAATCACATGGGCAGAAGAATGTTCTGATAAGGATTATAGTCTATTTCTTATTTATTTACCTGTGAATACCTGTGTTTTTACCTGTATTTTACCTATGGTCACCTATGCCATCTAGTCTATTAAATGATAGCTATTTTATTGAGTTTTTAAAAATTTTTCTTTATGTTGATATATATGTCACTGAAAACAAATTAAAGACTTTTTTTTCTTAAATGTATAAATTTCAATTACTAGAGGAGGTTAAAATTCACTAGAATATTACATTATATCAGAATTAAAGTTTTACATTTTTGATAAATTTGTCTGACTTCAATATATATTAAGGACCCCATATTAAATAAATTGATAATGATGATGAAATATTTTAGGATATTAATCATTATGTATAATTAAACAAAATATCCATTGATATTAATAGTATTCATTTTTTGGTATTAACAGTATTAATTTTTTATTATACCTCCAAGCCATCGACCTCAAATACAAACAATTATAAGATGATCTCAGAAGTGGTGATGATAGTGCTGTTACCAGATAGTGAACACTGTTCCATGCACACACAGAATCATTATGATAATGCAAGCTGATGATGAGCAGGTATCCCAAGCCACAATGATTATCTAAATGTGGGGGAAATCAGACTTCATCATTATCATTATTGACGGCCACATGTATCCTCTTGTTTACACACCCCTACCCGGTAAGACCCAGCAGCTGTATACCCGTTTCCTGATGCTACTGAAGACAACCATGATTGACTTCAACCTCCCTATGCGTCCTACATCTGCCTTTGTTGACTTCGAGACAGCAGCTCGCAACGCCCTACGCCAAGTGTTCCCAGGAGTGACCATCAAAGGATGTTTTTCCACTTTACCCAGTGTATTTGGAGGAAAGCCCAGCCAACCGGACTTCAGCAACTTTTCAGAGAACCACGTCATCAAAAGACTAGTTCGCCTGGCTGCCGTGCTGCCTTTGGTACCACTGGAAAGAGTTGAGGATGTTTGGTTCAACGCGCTGGAGGAACTGGAAGATGTTGACTTACCCGTGGACACTACGCCCTTTACAGATTATGGCGTTACACAGTGGATTGAGGGAGACCGCCGTATCTGGAACCACTTCACCACAGAGGGACCTCGCACCACCAACCATCTAGAAGCCTGGCATGGGAAGCCCCCAACATATACACCATCATCAAAGTGTTCCAGGACATTCAAGCCGCCGACGAAATCAACAGGATACAGCGTGATGCAGGAGGAGCAACAAGACCACGTGCGAAGAGATATCGAAGCATCGACAACAGACTGGCCCAACTTAAGGAGCGATTCCAGACTCAGAGGATCAACATCATGGAGTACGCCGACGCAGCATCACATCTTCTACACCTGGGATGAATTGCTGGACTGATGATAATGTGCAATGTGCTGGACTGTCAAACATCCTTTAGAATACTATGTTTTATTATATTTTTATGTATGTAATGTGTATAAGAAATGATAAACTTTCTGCTTTGCATGTTTAATGAAAAGTACTTAGTGAAGACTACAGGTAGAATCTCTGGTAATATCTCACACAGGAAAAAACACAGGTAAATGAACTCAGGTGAAATCTATAGTCAATCTGAAACTGGCTATAATTGGTTTTCTATTGTCTTCAACACCTTTCTTTGTTAAAAAAAGTGGGCAAATCGGGAACACCCCAAAATTAGAAACTAGCAGCATTCAAGAAATAATCCCATTACAAGACGGAATGAGTTGTCTTGGGCGAGTGTGTCTGTAAATTCTAAAAAGATAATTGTTCAAAAGACACACAAGTGAATAGATCTTTAAATACAAATTAAGATTTCGATTCAGTAGAGTCAAACACTGTATCATACAGCTGTTTCGACATTCTAGGAGGGGTGTTCTAGCCAAACAATTTAATAAGTTTTGAAAAGAATGTCAAGTATACGTGTTTATTCTGAAGCGTGCCACTATTCGACTGAATAACATACACTAGAGCCAAACAACACGTTTAACTGCATCACTTAGCTTTTTCGTCCTTCTAGGAAGGTGTTCTAGTCCAATATTTAAATAAATTTGGTAGTTTCCATGGGAAACCTGAACCTAAATAAGAACACTGTCTATTTGGTCACGTGTTTATTGGTGAAGTGGAACAATGACCAAAGTTATCGGAAAAGATAGAAAAAAACGTTGTATGAACCACAGAACAAATGCAATTATAGAACCGTGCCACTATTAGACTGAAATAAAACATGGCTGTTACATCCTTGCACAAGACGACGTTTTGTGTTACCCTTGTCATCACAGGCAAGGCAGTTGCAGTCTTGGTGTGCAAGACGCTTTACTCTCATTGAGCGAAAAGCATGCGACACATGAATCAATGATATTCCATACGCCAAGTCAGATTGACCCTTGTTTTTCACAGGATGATAATCCCTCCAAAAATGTACTAATTATAATTGGATAAGCTTTAAAAATGGAATACATATTCCTTGTTTGGAATCATTTTAATAATGTCCTGTGTTTTATTTGATTTAACTCGACAGTCTGTAAAAGACATCAAAACTAATATCTCTATTTTTGTCTCTTTTAGCATAAAGATTGACACCGTTAACAAAATCGACTTTTAAAAGCCAGAAGACAAATATGCGATTTGTAGGATGTTAACTTGACCTACAACAATCTTTGAACAAGTATGTGGACATTCCAGACAACGTGTGGGCCTTTCTTTGGAAAAACCAACACGCTATCCTATGTGTTTGAATGAAAAATTAAATAGAGTACACATTCAGGTTTTTCATAAATAGGGCACTAATATTACGCGGTAAACAAAGGTACACTACTGACAGGATAAGGCACCATTAGTCCAAGAGCGGTCTTTTAAAACTACTCAATATTTCGAACAGGATCATGAAAAGGTGAGAGATGTTCGTTGGTGAGACAACGCCTAGAAACAGAAAAAGTCAAGAAGACGGAAAACCTGTACCCAACCAATCAAGGCTTTCCATTGTATATCACACTTTGATTGTGAAAATCTCCAGAATTAATTTGCTTTCTATTTGGGTATAATCTTTCTCATTTCTCATTGAAACTGATGGATATCATAAATAATGTCCAGTCGATTTCAGGAAAAAATACTTACATAGTTATAATACTTAGTAGATGACCTGTTCTTTAAATATAAGTAGGACTACCTAAAGGTATGTACTGATCAGTCTTGCAAACACATTATATTCTAAAGTAAACACGGGGGTAATCAGTTATTCTTAGGACAGTAACTACATATTAAAACAAAAATAACTTAATTATATGTGTCACATGTCCCCTCTTATCACTATAATTGATCAAAAGTAGGTCTAAAACTTCAACATGACACAATTAATGTATAATGTCCTTCTATGATGCCCAATTAAGGGTAAGCTGTAGGTAAAACTTTGGATATTAAAAGTGTGTTTGGATGGTTATATATAGATATAACGTTAAGCTTATGTACCTAGCAACAAATCGCACTCGATTTGGAGTTAGACGCTAATTTTAATATGACACAATCAATTAACAAATACCAGTTAATTGTCACCTTTATGTTTAAGTCTAAATTGAAAACATCTGTTAGGATATTTTGTTTATTTATAGCCATAAGTAAGTTTGTAAAGTGAATCTAGACAATTTTGAATTTTTAACACAAATGTTGATGTTGCCGGGGCTACCGCCGGAAAAGTAACGCCTTTGTCTCGTCGGACGCAAGACAAAAATCAGAAGAAATGTATTAAAATCGATAACATGCTAATGATATGCAAAAATAAAACGCATACACTATATCATCATAATATTAAGCATACCTAAAAATGACAGAACGTTTATAAAATAGCAATACCCTCAGCATGAATGCATGAATAAAGTTTTGATAACAATATCGCAACTACATATAAATCAATATAACCCCCAATTCGCGCAAAACGTTAACAACACAAGTAATATTAGCCAATATCGAGCAGTTTCTCCCCCCACATCTCTCTTGCTCTATCTGTATATAATATATATATATATATAGATATATCAATAAATAAGATTCATAAATAATATTCAACCGTTTAGGACTACACGAACATTTTACTTTCATTATCATGATGCAGACAGCATGTGTTTCATGAATATTAGAAATCTATACTGATAACGTAACAATGGCGAGTCTAACAGATGCATCACTATTAATTATATAAACAATAACAATTCAATACATATCTCATGACAGTTTACCGGTATATCTGTATATCTCTTTCCTGTTTTCAAACCATTACATTCACACGTATTTCTTCACAGATTCCACCATATCGACGATTTTGTCTATTTCAGATTGCAGTTCATGCAAACGCGTGTTTATGGTAACACAAAATATACTCTTGGAACTATCATTTTCAATGATACTTAAATGACATTCCCAAGCTTTTTGTAAATCAAACGGATCCTTGTAAAAATGAGATGCTATGAGTGTTTTAAATGATTCCGAAGCAGTTATTGTTTTTCTAGAATCAACATAACTGTTAAATGTCGCTTCTATTCCAAGTTTTGCTGCTAAAATCCCCAAATACACATCCTCAAATTTCAATATCTTGGTAAACTGTGCTGCTATGGTAAAGGATTTCACTGTAGACATTGACATGATAACAAACCCTCCGAATATATAATCAGGATAGTTTTGAAAGGGGTATTCATTTGTTGTAACATACCACTTTTGGAAAGTTCCTTTTGCATCCCGTACTGGGGAAGTGGCAGTCATCAAATGACCGTTGAAGAGTTTTATTGTTTTTCGTACCGGAAGTTTGTCAAGAAAACCAAGCAGTAAATCGGGTGCAACGTAGATGTCATCATCTAGGGACACTACGTACATAGCACGTGCACAATTAGTTACTGCCCACCGCATTCCATGTATAGTTTTCAGGGTCAGATTGTAGTAGGTATCAGAATAACTTACAAGGAGAATGTCATTGCTTTTGGCAGATTCTTCTTGGAGATTTACTAACGATTTGCTATATTCTGGTATCCCGAAGGAGAAAACAGTCCTAGTCCAGGGGAATCGTTTTCTGTCGGCCCATGTTTTACGAATTATTGCCCTCCTCATGCTGTGGTCTGGACTACTTTTCACTACAAATAGCACCTTTATTGTATCGTTTCCACTACATGTTTGGTCTGGATGAATGATGTAGCGGTGATCAAAAACATTTATTGGTTTCTCATCGGCATATCCCTTTGTTTGATACTGACGCACGATATCAGATAGATTCCCATTTAGTGGATACTCATCTGGCGTAAACGGTTTTTCGTTGATCTTCATTTCATTAATATGTCTAAGTTGATGAATGTCATGATCTTGTTGTAAAAGCTGACGACCCGTGTCATCCTCCTTCCGAGCGACGCCCCCTTGTTGTAAAAGCTGACGACCCGTGTCATCCTCCTTCCGAGCGACGCCTTCTTGTTGTAAAATCTGACGACCCGTGTCATCCTCCTTCTGAGCGACGCCCCCTTGTTGTAAAAGCTGATGACCCGTGTCATCCTTCTTCTGAGCGACGCCTTCTTGTTGTAAAAGCTGATGACCCGTGTCATCCTCCTTCTGAGCGACGCCCCCTTGTTGTAAAAGCTGATGACCCGTGTCATCCTCCTTCTGAGCGACGCCCCCTTGTTGTAAAATCTGATGACCCGTGTCATCCTTCTTCTGAGCGACGCCCCCTTGTTGTAAAAGCTGATGACCCGTGTCAATATCCTTAACAATTATATCGTTTTGTCGAACGAATCGATGTGCGTCTGGGCCTTGCTGAACTTGATCTTTTTGTTGAATAATCTCATTCTCCGGGCCACCCTGCTTCCGTGTGATGTCTCCTTGTTGAACAATTTGATGACCCATGTTATTAGCTATCTTATCAGTCTTGTCATGACCTTGCTGAGCAATGTCTTCTTGCTGATCGAAATGATGATCTATTTCACGAGTTTCACTTTCATTACGTGTTGTATTCCTTATATAACCCTGTGCCTCTGAAAAACCATTTTGCTGCAGAGTGAATCGTATCTGAGTTTCGGTATTGCCCTCCGATTTATTTTTCCTTGAGAAGAAATAATCTTTCGTTTCTTTGTAGGAACGAAGTATTTTCTCCTCTTGCCAGTCATGGACAGGACTCTTCTTGGTGATGACGTAAGATTTATCGGCGGCACCATTGATGTTATCTCTAATGTGTAGAAAGAGGAAGAGGATTACAACAGTCAGTACTGAGACTGAGACAATTCTGACGTAATGTCGCCTGAGTACCATAAATGATCTTATACCACGTTTATGTCGCAGCATGTTCACCTCTGCATTACCCCTATCTCGTACGACTGGCGATTTAAACTGTAAAGTGCTGAGCAAGTTTCATGAATGTAAATATACATCAACTGTTTCTAGTGTCTTTTACTAATCGTGACGGAAACTCTATTTAAGGTATGTTAGCTGACACTGGATATTTGCATATTAAGATAGACAATATCATCAAAAAAGTTTTTACTATCATATACTAAATCGTGACTTTGATAACAATGGGATATGTTTTATGTAGAATACAAAAGAGGTCACATTATAGTCCTATTGCTATATATCAAACACGTTCGTTTTCATATCCCCAGCATTTATTCATATCGGTATATACAGCGAAAGTTATCAAATTCCATTATTCAAACAACTTCGAGTGTCTTCTTTGTGGACAGAATGTATTATTTAAATAAGAGCCCAGTTTACATGACCCTTAGTCACACCGCTATGTAAGAAATTTAAAATACTGTCAAATCCTGTGCAGGGGGTGGGGGTTTTATCCATTCACAATGGATATGAATGGAAATTGTTTAGAGTAGTTAAATAAGGTAGCAGAGAAAAGCAATAGTTTGATGACAGAAAAAGATGACGCCCTGACGCATTGATAAGCAACAGCAATTATAATATCAGATTCGGAAAATTAATAACCTCTCACTGATTGCATTGAAAAATTTGAAACGTCAAAGGTTTGAAATGGTTAGAAAGAAAACGGTTTCACTTCTAATTACGATCTATTTTTGGTATACAAATAAATTTTCTTGCACGTTTTCATTGGAAACATCGAAGGTTTGAAATGGTTAGATAGAAAACGGCTTCACTTTTAATTGCAATCTAATTTGGGTATATAAATTAATTTTCTTGCAAGTTTTCATGTGAAATATCAAAGGTTTGAAATGGTTAGATAGAAAATGGCTTCACTTCTAATTGCAATCTACTTTGGGTATACAAATAAATTTTCTTACACGTTTTCAATTATGAGAAAGCGTTTCCAAGAAAGGAGTCAAAATCTGGGTCTGTGTTCTAGATCTGATGTCTCAAACACGCCTAGCAATTGTTTTCAATAGCTCAGCGTCTTTGCATTTCAACAATTGGACGGAAGCAATTTTCATTGTTTAAGTAAAAATCATTTTAATTATTTGATAATCTGAAGGCTCTTTATTATTGCAAAGCTTCCCAACAGAACATCACACACGTAAACTATCCCATATACACATATTTTGACTGATTTATAGAAAGATAATACACACCTTTATGATTTGACAGTTTTTATGAATCGTTCATTGTTACTGTACTTTATGACTAAACAGAGTGATATCACTTCATTGTCGTCGAGCGGAATTTTAAATGAATGGCAGAATATTAATGTAGATAGTTAGCTGTATGAAGCGGTGACTTATCTGTAGTGATTATAATGATAACATTCTCGAACATCTTAAACAGAAGGCCGATAGGATATTTTGTCTACCATAGAGTATACATGAATGAAAATATGTCGAAAAATTTTCAAATTACCTACAAAATTGATTTTTAACTACACAGCAGAAATAAAATGTTCGATGTGTGTTAAAGCCTGGACATATTTTATGTTTTAAAAACAGATTGACGAATTTCCAGTCTGATTATAGTCCGATCTTAATGGACGAATTTCTTTACGATATTAGTAGTTTATTTTCAGTCATAATTATTTTCCAGTGTTTGCCGTAATGACGTTTTAGCTATGCCTAAATCATCTTTTTGATTTGACGAGGGACTTGATTTGAAGGGAGACCGGAATTGACGAGGAACTTTTAGGAAGGAGGATTTGATTTCCGACGTTCGTCCTTATGTGTTTGGTATTCCTGAATTTGCTTTAATTTTACTGAAAGTGATTCTCTGATTGACAGCTTCTCCTATAGGAATCTTCGTTAGTGCCATTTCAGATTCTCAAAGACTCTATAATATTACAATAACTAATTAAACCTGATACAAGCGGTGTACAAAGGACCGTAAATGTCTGGCAGGTAAAATCGAAGCGTAGATGGGGGTTGGAAGAGAAATTTGACTTCTTCTTCAATTCTGCGGCATCACCATTTCCAGTGAGTCAACAGGAAAGCAAAAACTTGCTTCATCAGCAAGGTTAAAGTGATTGTCGACTCTATCAATATCACGATGTTTGAATAGTTGTAGTGGATATTAAACCACTTCACATTTAACTACTTCTCTGTGTTGCCATTGTGGAATAAATAATCCGAAATTACATGTCATTATCAGAAGTATTCGATATAAAAAAAGATCGTGGCATGTTATATCCCATAGATATCATGACACCGGGGAACCAAATCTATACGTTATCAACTTACATGTTACAGAAATGATAATTTTTCTTACATATGATTTGTGTTTCATTCATATTTTTAAGCAACTGACACACGAGCCACGTGTCTGGTCAGGCATTACTGTTCATCACTTATGGAACCGTGATTCTACATATGATTAAAAAATGTAACTGACACATCATACAATCAATTTGGATACTCATTCTACTTTAATGAATAACAATAGCCACATAAAGCGTTAAATATTAACGCCAAGTTCCAATGCATAATAATACCTAATCCCATCATTTACTTTAAACAGCTTAAACACAGAACAATCAATTAAATGAATCTGTCAATTAATGAAAACTGTCGTTTATTGTACAGTAAACCCTCAAATAATCATCCTGATCGACAGAGTGATTATGAGGGAAGATGTATTTAAGTCAGGGATATAACGTTTTATATCCATATATCAATTACGTGCTGGCATCATCCTTTGTCACATGAAGTCTAATCAGACGATAAACAGAGACAAGGAAGATAAGAAAGAGAACACTGTTACTAACAAGCACCTATGACCGAGATTTAACGGTTTCAAGCCATCCAACTATGCTATTAATTTCATATTGTATTTTGCGTAGACGATCACCGATAAAATCACAGAAAATGGCTTTGTCATCGTCATCGTCAACTGTACTTAAATGGCAATCCCATGCTCTTTGTAATTCTTTTGGATCGCTGTAAAAATGGGAGGCAATGAGTGTTTTAAATGATTCCGAAGAGGTGAATGTTTTCATAGAGTTAACATACCCATTATTAGTGGCTTCTATTCCAAGTTTAGCTGCTAAAATCCCCAAATACACATCCTCAAATTTCAATAACTTGGTATACTGTGCTGCTATGGTAAATGATTTCACTGTAGACATTGACATAATAACAAATCCTCCGAATATATAATTCGGATAGTTCTGAAAGGGGTATTCAGACTTCTCCAAAAACCATTTAGAATGATCGCTACGAATGGGCTTTGTATTGACCAAAAGATGACCAGAGAAGAGAGCATTTATTTTGCGTACATTTGGTCTATAGAGAAAATTAAGCAGCAAATCGGTTGCAACATACATGTCGTCGTCTACGGATAACACATATGGGACACGTTCACAGTTAGTCACTGCCCATTTTAATCCAGTAATTGTCTTCAGGGTAAGGTTGTAATAGTTATCAAGATAATGCACTTGGAGTATATCTTTATATGTAACTGATTCGTCCTGTAAATCTAATAATGTTGTCCCACTTCCTGGAATTCCAATTGAGAAAACAGTCCTTATCGCTGGAAATCGTTTCCTGTTAGCCCAAGTTTCACGAATTTTTATTCGCCTGTCATTGTGTTTCGGGCTACTCTTTACTATGAACAGCAATTTTATTTTATCCGATTGGTCACATGTATGAGTGGGGTTGATGTTATATTTATAATTGAAAGAGTTGATAGGTTGTTGAGCAGCGTAGCCTCTCATTTCATATTGTCTTACGATGTCACTCATGTTTACATACATGGGATAGCCATCAGGTGTAAATTTTGCTCCTACTTTGCTTTGATAATTTAAATCATTTTGTTCGCCCTTTTTGAGATTTTCTTGTTCACCCTTTTTGATATTTTCTTGTTCTTCGTGTTTGACATTTTCTTCCTCGTCCTTTTTGACATTTCTTTGCTCGTCCTTTTTGAGATTTTCTTGTTCGTCCTTTTTGAGATTTTCTTGTTCGTCATTTTTGATGTTTTCCTGTTCACTCTTTTTGAGATTTTCTTGTTCACTTTTTTTGATATTTTCTTGTTCTTCGTGTTTGACATTTCCTTCCTCGTCCTTTTTGAGATTTCCTTCCTCGTCCTTTTTGACATTTCCTTGCTCGTCTTTTTTGAGATTTTCTTGTTCGTCATTTTTGATGTTTTCCTGTTCGCCCTTTTTGAGATTTTCTTGTTCTTCTTGATTGCTCTTTACTTGCTTGTCATTTTTGAGATTCTCTTCTTCGTCCTGAATGACGTATTCTTGTTCATCCTTTTTTATATTTTCTTGTTCGTCCTTTTTGATGTTTTCTTGTTCATCCTTTTTGAGATTTCCTTGTTCGTCCTGATTGATATTTTCTTGTTCGTCCTTTTGTAGATTTTCCAGCTGTTCACCTCGATAGAGATTCTCGTTAGCGGTATCTCCTTGATGATCAATATCTCTGTCTTGACGAGGAAAATGTTCGTATCTTGCATCCTCCTTCTGTTTTTTAGCGCGATCACGATTGTTGATTTCTTTATTTCCCTGATTAGCAGTTTTAAGATTAGGTGACATGTTGTACTGTTTCTCCAAAGTATCTTTCGAATCCATCCGTCGTTTTTTCCTAACTGAAAACCTTGACGGATTATTTCTTTTTAAATTATTTGTTTCAAATTGTTGTACATGTCTCCTTTGAAAATTAACTCCCGACGTTTGGTCCATCTTGTTGTCATTCGTTGTAGAAAGGTAGACCATGATAAACATTCCAATCAGCACTAACACAGAACAAACTTTCCACATGTGTTTCCAGAGCAACATTAAAGTTCTTAATTTATGTTTGGGTCTTCCCATGTCTGAAGATTTGCTTTTCGAAAATCAACTATACTCTGTTCTGTTTGACTTGTTGTAAATGTTCCGAGTTGTATTAAGTTCTTTAAATGTTGTCGTCATACACATTGACTATAAATAAAAATACTCAAATGGTGAAGAGTTTCTAAAGAATGCAAAACGTGATCCAACAGAGTTAGTGTCAGCAGTTATATCGAACAACAATGTCAACCCTTAAAGGTTTAAATATTTAACTCCGCATACTAAGGTTGTACGTACATTCACAAGTGATTTTATTTTTAAATAGAAGACGGCGCAACGGAGTATTGGCATTTATATAGTATGTGTAACGTATTTCTATGATCATGAGTCGAATACAAACTATTGTACTATAAAAAGAATGACTTGTTATTATACCATTGATTTTACGATAAATGTCCTGTAGTCTATTCAACCCTCTGACTATGGTAGGCGACACTGTTGAAATCAATTTAACAAGTAAGCAAACAAAGCCCACTATATTTACATCATTAGTTGTTATGTTGACATTGTTTCACCCACTTTTGCGTGTGAAAGTTACATGTGTTCCTCGTGAAAATGTTCAGTCATGTGTAAGAACAGTTGTGTGGTATTTCTTCCAAATGATGTAAAGTTTTAGTGAGAAACAAGGCTCTGAAAAGAAATTTCATACCCATTTATGATTCTACATGTCCGTTGATTCCTTTTATGCAACACGATTATATATAGACGAAATAAACGCTAAATCAGTTTAAGATATTATTGTTTTTCTAAATGACGTTAGAAGCTCTTGATTAGTCTGAGAATGCAATTATGCAGATTTTCTAAATAGACCACACCGGGAAGTCACCTTAATTTTTATACGACGCATTTATTTCGAATTTTCTCATAATCATAACAATTTAATTGAATACGACGTTTGGTCTTGAATTGGCAAATTTTAAATCTGGTTATAGTTTTATACTTGGTGACTGGGCTAGCGGGGCTATCAATGCTCATTCATGTCTGTCCTATAGCTAACGTCTCTATCCCTATTTATACGTTGTCTGTAAATACATGTAGTATTAGGATACCATAAACATATCTCTGCATGCTATTAAATAAACACTTTATGTATTATAGAGAAGTCTGTTTTGTAAATTCTAAAGTGTAATGATATAGATAATTAAGTTGTTCTGTGAGTTATTTGTACTTTGACCGATAATTGGTAATACAACCTTATATATTGTGCTTTGCTAGTAGGCTTGTTCATCCAGTTGAGACCGAGCAGTATTGTGTATTGAAAAACAAACAAAGCATTTGTTTGCTTTTGGTCGAAAACCTCATGCCTTCGATCAAGTGCCTACTTTTATAATTATTTCACATTTTTATATTTGTTACTCAAGAAAGGATCTTAAAACAATAAGAATGTGTTGTTTTCAGTTAATAGTGCAAATGTTGTGTGCAAGTACATTAACAAAAAAAATGCTTGGAATGGTAGAAACCATGTACATCTCCTGCGACTTTGTGTGCTTGATATCAGCTGTAGTCAGATTGTCTCTAACACCAATATACGATTAACTGAATTGATAATAATGATAAAAAAGACATAGCACGTGTTATTAAGCTCTTAAAGTAACATATTTTTTTATCTATCTGTTGATAATGTGACGTCAGCAAAAGTCAATTGTACATAAGATAGCATTATGTCACCACGGAGGTATATATAAGATGAAACAATATTATGACATAGGGGAAGTATATAATATATGAAATAATATTACGTCATCAAGGAGGTCTATAATATATAAAATAATATTACGTCATCAGGGAGGTTTATAATATAAGAAAAAATATCACGTCATCAGAGAGGTCTTTGATATATGAAATAATATCACGTCATCAGGGAGGTTTATAGTATATAGAATAATATTACGTCTTCGGGGAGGTCTGTAGTGTATAAAACAATATTTTGAAAACAAGGAAGTATAGTGTATATACTAATATTATGTCACGGAGGTCTATAGTACACCTTGTATAAAAGACAATATACTTTATGTGCAAAGCTTCACCGGGACTTTCATTCGGATAGTTCCATAGTTCAGAATGGCATTATGAAAAAATAATCAGAATATTATATTTATTGAATCATGGGGCTAGTGGACCTCCCCATCTTACGTTTTTCATTTCTTTTAATTAGTTTGCATTTTTCATATCGACTCCTACGTTATGAAAATAGGCCCTTCGTATCACTGACGAGTCCTAGAGCTACTGTATACATCTCCAGACTAGTATAAAAGGTACTGTTTACTGATGATTCTTGTACAATCTTCTCTCAGTTGTTCACCGTTGTTGTGATTATTATCAGGTTAATGGAGGTGGCCAGTGATACTGCCTGGATACTACTGTTTCCGTCTGATATTCTATTGTTCAAAGGAAGCCAATTGTCAATACAAAAACAATGAGCTTATACATTTAATTCACGTAACTGAATAGATCTAGGTATACACTACATAATAGCTATTAAATAATGAATATATGTAGGTATACAAATAAATAACAATACTAAGTAATGAGCAGATATATATACATATAGCCAGTAAACTGATAGATAAATTATTAGATCAATGCAATTCCATTATAGCTACACATGCGCACACTTGATTCAGTTAATAGTTATGTCCCTGAAAACGCCAGGAAGAGCAAGAAAATTGACAATACAAAAACACATACTCATTGTCGAGCTTAGAAAAATAGACGTTTGTCATTAATAAAAACAACTAACTTGTATCAAGGTATTGAAATCATATCTCGATATGTCTGCAAACTCACTAAAAATTGCTGCGTGAATAGTTCAAGTTCTGTAAACCTAACTGGCGAAATTAACGTTATTCATGTTGTGTAAACCTAACTGACGACGTTAACGTTATTCATGTTCTGTAAACCTAACTGGCGACGTTAACGTTATCCATGTTCTGTAAACCTAACTGGCGACGTTAACGTTATCCATGTTCTGTAAACCTAACTGGCGACGTTAACGTTATCCATGTTCTGTAAACCTAACTGGCGACAATAACGTTATCCATGTTCTATAAACCTAACTGACGACGTTAACGCTATCCATGTTCTGTAAACCTAACTGGCGACGTTAACGTTATCCATGTTCTGTAAACCTAACTTACAACGTTAACGTTATTCATGTTCTGTAAATCTAACTGACGACATTAACGTTACCCATGTTTAGTACACCTAACTGGTGACGTTAACGTTATCCATGTTGTGTAATCCTAACTGGCGACGTTAACTTTATCCATGTTCTGTAAACCTAACTGGCGACGTTAACGTTATCCATATTCTGTAAACCTAACTTACAACGTTAACGTTATTCATGTTCTGTAAACCTAACTTACAACGTTAACGTTATCCATGTTGTGTAATCCTAACTGGCGACATTAACGTTATCCATGTTTCGTACACCTAACTGGCGACGTTAACGTTATCCATATTCTGTAAACCTAACTGGCGACATTAACGTTATCCATGTTTCCTAACACAACGTTAACGTTATTCATGGCGACGTTAACGTTATCCATATTCTGTAAACCTAACTGGCGACATTAACGTTATCCATGTTTCGTACACCTAACTGGCGACGTTAACGTTATCCATATTCTGTAAACCTAACTGACGACGTTAACTTTATTCATATTCTGTACACCTAACTAGCGACCTATCGTTATAAATGTTCTGTAATTCTGCCTGATGACATTAACGTTATAGATATAAATATTGTGTAAATCTGTTTGGTGATTTTAACATTAAAATATTCAGTAAGTAAACATGATGACGTTATACTTATATATTATGAAAATCTACGTGGTGACGGTAATGTTATAAATGTTCCCTAGGTATACACGATGACTCCAGCACAATATTCATTTTATTCCCTCTGTCGATATGACGTTTTACAAGAAACACAAAACTGAATTGCAACTTACAAACCGCTGGAAACCGTTTTCTGCTAGCCCAAGTTTCACGAATTTTTATTCGCCTGTTTTTGTGATCCGGGCTACTCTTTACTATGACCAGCAATTGTATCTTTCCCGATTGGTCACATGTATGATTGGGGTTGTTGGTATAACTATAATCAAAATAGTTGATAGGTTGTTGATCAGCGTAGCCTTTCATTTCATATTGTCTTACGATGTCAATCATGTTTACATACATAGGATAGCCATCAGGTGTGAACTTTGACCCTGCTTTGCTCTGATTTGCGTGTTTCTGGTTGAATGATATTTTGTCCTGTTTCTCTTGTTTCTTCCGAAAATTGTTCGAATCTGACCTTCGGTTATTCTTAGCTGGAAAACTATTTCTTCTTAAACGTTTTAAAATGTTTTCTTCTTTCTTTGCTCCAATTAATTGTACGTGTTTCCTTTGAAAATAAACTCTGGAAGTTTGGTAAATATTCTTCTCATTCAGCGTAGAAAGGTAGAGCACAATACACATTCCAATTAGCACAAATAATAAACAAATTTTCCAGGTGTGTTCCCAGGGCAAAATAAGTGCTCTTAGTTTCTGCATAATTCTTTTGATTTCTGAAGGTTTGTTCTGTAAAAATAAACTATACTCTGTCGTGTTTGTCCAGTTAAAAGTACTCCAACTTGTGTTCAGGTCTTTAAATATTTTTTGTCACGTAACTGTACTTTAAATACAAATTCATCAAATTCAAAGGATAAAAATTTCTTAAAGACGACATAACGTGATCCGACATAGTTTTTACACAGCAATTATATTGGACAACAAAGACAACCATTTAAGGTTTAAATATCTAACTCTCTATACTATGGTAGTACTTACACCCATATATATATTATATTTTAAATATGAGACGGGACAAGAAAGGACTGATATCTGTATAGTATTTGTTACGTATTTCTTTCACCATGACTCGAGTATGAGTAGCTTCGGTGTCGTCCAATGGCTTAGGTCAAACAGCTATACTGCCATAAGAATTATTTGTGAATATTTTAGATTAACGGAAATGTTAAATTGTGTCTATTTGATACCTTGACTATGGTAGGCCACATTTTGAGATCGATACATATAATATTGATTGATAGATTGATGCTATAGTGAGTTTAGATAAAAGGCCACATTTCAGAGTCATGTCCCTTATTTTAATGTTGAGATCGATATGATAGACTTTTAAAATGATTTTTTAAACAAAGGAAAATGCAATACCCTTGGGTATTTAGGTCATTGTTTGTTATGTTGTGTTCTATCGCTTATAAAAATGGTGAAATGAACTTTTCCCGCAAGTGATAAAGTTATGGTAAGAAAAAAGCATTCGGCGAGGAATCCTATCCCTAGCACGTTTATTATGATTCTATTCTACATTTCCATGGAATCTTTACATACAAGGCGATAAAATTCGGGGCATCGACGAAAGTAAATAAATTTTGTTTTGGTTTATTTTATTTCCTAAATTTACACTCGGCATTCATTCTGATCTATTTTTGTAAAAATTCAAATTAATTTTAGGAGGTGACGATTTTTTTTGTTATCGTAAATCGACAAATTTTAGATAAAATTATAATTTTACATGAATTAGTTGTACTAGCTTCCAAAATAAGATATCAATGCTCGTGTTATGTCAGTCCTATATCTAACACCTCTTTCAGACATATTGTCTTTAAATAGTATAAAGATGCCATAGACATGTCTTTACATGACTTAGAAATACAATTATTTATTCTAGAGAAGTTTTACTTTCATGAAATGAAATGATATGAATTGTTCTGTGAATGTTTTTCACTCGACAATAATCAGGCTGATAACGAGCATTGAAACCTTACAATTATAACGTCCTTGAGGAACAGACGAGCTCATCCAGTTGAGATCGAGTTATATTGTTAATTGAAAAGTATTTGTTTGATCTTGACCGGAAACCTCATATCTAGAATCCAGTGTCTACTCATACAAGTATTGAAACACTTTTCTCTTGTCATTAAAGAAAAAGTATTCAAGCAATCAGTATTTTGAAATTAGAAAGCGGTGTTTTTGGTTTCTGTTTAGTTGTGCAACTGTTGTGTTCAAGGGCTGTGACTAAAAGTTGTTATGGTATAAACTAGCGAGATAGACGTCTCCTGTAACTTTTTGTCCTTAATACCGTCTGTAGACATATTAACATTATTAACACCAAAACATGCAGTACAATATTTCGTCATCAGCGAGATCTGCATCAATTCTACATAACGATGTCACATCATCAGGGAGATTATATCATATTATAGTATATAAATGATAGTACGTCATTAGGGAAAGCTATACATTTTATACAATATAATGTCATCATGAAGGTTTATAGTATATGGATTACACGTCATCAGTGAGGTCAATAGTATATGAAATAGCACGTCATCAGTGTGGATGATATGACTTTATGAGGGAGGTTTGTTGAATATGTAATGCTTCGTCACGGTAGTCTTTAATTAAAAATGTCTATAAACGTTCGTATAAAGTGATAATAAAAAAATCGATGTTCCCAAGGGAGTTTGTCCCAAAAACAACATCTAGATATGTGAAATAATTTTTTTCCTTGATGAATAAATAATAAAATAAATTAAATAATAAAACAATAAATTTGCATCTATGTTGGTCGCCATTTGTGTTTATTAATCACTAGCTGAATGTATCTCCCTAATAACTACACATTTCGCACAAACAATTCAGAGTTATCTCCCTGAGAACGTCTTGGACTAGTAAGAAAATTTACGATAAAACAACAAATATCTAATGTCGATGTTAGAAGACAAGAACTTCCGTCGTAAATGGAAACAAAAAACTGTTATCAAGATATTGAGAACATATCTGGATCTGCTTGTACACTCACTAAAGCTGCTGAATTAATATATCAAACTGGTGGTATTCAGTCATAAATATATTGTACAAATGATCTGTGTATCTACCTACCTGGTGATGTTAAAGTTATCAATATTCTGTAGATCTACTTGGTGACTTAAACGTTATAAATATGGTATAGTTAGGTCTACCTGGTGACGTTTACGTTAATAATAGGCTGTAGTTAGGACTTCCTGGTGACGTTAACGTTATAAATATGGTGTAGTTAGGTCTACCTGGTGACGTTAACGTTATAAATATGGTGTAGTTAGGTCTACCTGGTGACGTTAACGTTATAAATATGGTGTAGTTAGGTCTACCTGGTGACGTTTACGTTAATAATAGGCTGTAGTAGGACTACGTTAATTATAAATATGTAATAAATACAGTGTAAGTAATAAATCCGGTCTACACAATGCGGTGGTGACGTTAACGTTGTAAATATGGTGTAGTTAGGTCTACCTGGTGACGTTAACGTTATAAATATGGTGTAGTTAGGTCTACCTGGTGACGTTAACGTTATAAATATTTAACGTGTAGTTTTAAGGCACTGTCTACCACTGGTATATATTAACGTTATCAACATCTAATTAAATGATTATACTCAAACTTCTGTACCTATGAGTTGAACTTGACATTTTCCATCCAGCTAACTATACTGTCTATTTCTGACTTCAGCTTCTTTAAGCGTTTGCCAATATAGTCACAAAAAATTGATTTCTCGTCACTTTTGTCCAATATACTCAAATGACAGTCCCATGCTCTTTGTAATTCTTTTGGATCGCTGTAAAAATGAGAAGCAATGATTGTCCTAAATGATTCAGAAACAGTGAATGTTTTCCTAGAGTTAACATACCCATTATTAGTGGCTTCTATTCCAAGTTTAGCTGCTAAAATCCCCAAATACACATCCTCAAATTTGAATAACTTGGTATACTGTGCTGCTATGGTAAATGATTTCACTGTAGACATTGACATAATAACAAAGCCTCCGAATATATAATTCGGATAGTTCTGAAAGGGATATTCGGATAAGGAAATGGCCCATTTATCCTTAGGATTCCTTATAGGTTTTGTACCTATTAAGAGATGACCGGAGAAGAATTTATGAATTTTCCGAATCTGTGGTCTGTGAAGAAATCTAAGCAGCAAATCAGGTGCGACGTAAATATCGTCATCAACAGACACTACATACGAGGCGCGTGCGCAGTGGGTTACCGCCCATTTTAAACCACTAACAGTCTTCAAGGTCAAATTGTAATAATTGTCAATGTAATTTTTCACGATGAGGATGTCCTTGTGAGTAGAGGACTCCTCCAGTAAGGCTTCAAGTCTTTTACTTTGTTTTGGAGTTCCGAAAGAGAAGATAATCCGTATTGATGGAAACCGTTTTGTGTTTGCCCAAGTTTCTCGGATGGTTTGCCGAGCTGATGTGTGCCATGGGCTACTTTTCACAATAAATAACACTTTGATGTCGCTGGAAACATTACAAATGTGCCTGGGATTAACAAAATACCTATAATGAATATCATTAACTGGCTGTTCATCCGAATAACCTTTCATATCGTACTGGTTTAAAATCCCGGTTAAGTTGACAGCAGATGGATATTCACTAGGGGAAAATGTGCCCGGATATCTTTCATCCTCGACATTATCTTCCGGCATAGCGATCCGTTCATCATTTGCGACTAGCTTAACTTCTCTAATATCTTGGTTTCCAGTCTCCTTCCGGTCACCATTTTGTTGCAGGTCGCCTCGTTCCTTAGGGACAGAATTGTTTGCATGATTCGTTTGGAAAGTAGTCATATACCTGTTATATTCTGTGATAACATGCTTTTGCGTTGGAAGCTGTCCCGAATATGGAATAGTTGTGCTTTTGATTTCACTTTTGTATACAAAATATAAGATGAGAATTCCTATCACAGGAAATAAAACACGAAATTTGAAGATATACTTCCGGGCAGCGTTTATATTAAGTCTTCTCATTGTAAATCCGGTGAAATGGAATGGTAACTGAAGGTAAATGTAGTGTTAATAATCAAAAGGCTTGCAAAAAAAGTCCTACAAAGTATGTGTCACGTGACAGTTAATGTTATCATTTCCTCTTAACTTGTCCCGTGAGAACTATATATGAACCTAGCCATTAAGCGAGCGTATAGATATATGTTACATACATTTTTGTTATCTGTATTGAGGAATTGTGTGATATTTAATCAGGACAAATGAGTAAAAAAAACAGAAGGAATCATCAGACTGGAGTTTGTATTTAACTTTATACACGTGAATTGTTAATTTGTCAATAACCGTTTTGATACTGACTACAGGATCTGAAATGTTACTTTTGTGTATGTGTAGTAAACCCGGACAGGAATTAAGCTTCTTTGTAAACAAGTACAAGTAACAATTCATCACAGTCATTTGAACTCGCCATTTTTTTTATTTCGTCTGACAAGTCGTCATGATTTCGTAATGATATTCAATGATTTTTTTAATCCTTCTGACAGATCGTCATAGCATGGTAGTAATATTCAATGTTTTTTTTAATCCGTCTGACAAATTGTCATAGATGGTAGTAATATTCGTTGATATTTTTAATCCGTCTGACAAATTGTCATAGCATGGTAGTAATATTCACTGATTTTTTAAAATTCGTCTGACAAATTGTCATAGCATGGTAGTTATATTCGCTGATTTTTAACCGTCTGACAAATTGTCATAGCATGGTAGTAATATTCACTGATTTTTAACCGTCTGACAAATTGTCATAGCATGGTAGTAATATTCACTGACTTTTTTTAGGTACTATTCGTCTGACCAGGCAGTTATATTCTCTGATCCTTTTCATCAGAAATATATATAAAAAAAGGATATCCTTGACCACTTTGGTTCCAGGTCTAACTGAAATATAACAGTCACATAAAACACGGGTATATATAATAACAAACTATGTCCATGTTTCTCGGGAATTACAAAATATTAACTACCTATCTCGTATTAATTGATGAAGATCAAACGTTGACTAAATACGGCATTATACTAGGTATAAATCTATATGCCGTATTTGATAACATATTATTTTTTAGCTTAGTGTTAGAACATGTTTCTTTAATTGCTAGAACGTGTTTCTTTATTGTACTATTGATTAACAGGGTATATGTAAATCCTTGCAGGCTTGAACGAACGGATCGGCGCGCACGTTTCCCATATAGTGATTGTTAATGGGGAATATTACACCCTTCAAACAGTGCTCTGTGCCGTTGTTTTTAAAATTCTTTACTTGTAAGCCTCCATAAGGTACATTTACAAAGGAGTAAAGGTGAATAGTTAGCTTTTAAATGTCCACCTGAGCACTAATATAAACATAACTATGTGATACTATCAAAACTGTGCTGTGGTTTTTAACAATTCATTGACATTAGTGTGTTGTTAAAACAGAATAGTCCATTCCAATTCAACGTAACGTACTGAAAAAACTCATACATAACTTTCCTCTATTCTTATTGGGCTAAGAAACGTGTTAAACAACACGTATTGTAAGAAGCGGATAAACCTGTTGCATAAAGTATCAATAATGTCAGTGTAGTTATCTAGTACTGACCACTCCCTCAGGGGAACAGAAAGGATCAATAATGTCAGTGTAGTTATCTAGTACTGACCACTCCCTCAGGGGAACAGAAAGGATCAATAATGTCAGTGTAGTTATCTAGTACTGACCACTCCCTCAGGGGAACAGAAAGGATCAATAATGTCAGTGTAGTCATCTAGTACTGACCACTCCCTCAGGGGAAAAGAAAGGATCAATAATGTCAGTGTAGTCATCTAGTACTGACCACTCCCTCAGGGGAACAGAAAGGATCAATAATGTCAGTGTAGTTATCTAGTACTGACCACTCCCTCGGGGGAACAGAAAGGATCAATAATGTCAGTGTAGTTATCTAGTACTGACCACTCCCTCGGGGGAACAGAAAGTAACAATAATGTCAGTGTAGTTATCTAGTACTGACCACTCCCTCAGGGGAACAGAAAGGATCAATAATGTCAGTGTAGTTATCTAGTACTGACCACTCCCTCAGGGGAACAGAAAGTATCAATAATGTCAGCGTAGTTATCTAGTACTGACCACTCCCTCAGGGGAACAGAAAGGATCAATAATGTCAGTGTAGTTATCTAGTACTGACCACTCCCTCAGGGGAACGGAAAGGATCAATAATGTCAGTGTAGTTATCTAGTGCTGACCACTCCCTCAGGGGAACAGAAAGTATCAATAATGTCAGCGTAGTTATCTAGTACTGACCACTCCCTCAGGGGAACAGAAAGGATCAATAATGTCAGTGTAGTTATCTAGTACTGACCACTCCCTCAGGGGAACAGAAAGGATCAATAATGTCAGTGTAGTCATCTAGTACTGACCACTCTGTACAGCACCATATCCCAGTCTAAACTGAAGGAACACCTTCGTTTTCTTCTGCACGAAATATGAACGGCAGTAAAAATATATTATTTAGAACTATACTCAAGTATATTTCGTAAAAGTTACGGCCAAATCAAAGAAGAAACATACGGAGGACGTAATCATAAAAATGACATATTTGTCGAGTTTGGTGGTAAGATATTCTAATAGACGGCATATCTTTGGGAACTAACTGTGTCCCTCTGGTGGCTGACTCGTCTTTTGTTTTCACACGAGGCTGAATTTATCAAAAAGCTTATCACAACAGGTCACAAAGCAGTTAGATATTTTTCATTTAACTATAGGTTTTTGCATGACATGACACGTTCAGAACTATTTCCAGAGGTATTTAATTCAATAACTCTTTTGGGTTTTAATTGGAAATTGTTTTGTGCTGGAAACTTTAAAGGTTAAAACTAGATATTAATTCTGCTCAGTACAGTTACATCATGCTTATTCCTGATTATAATACGGGTTTCTTTGCGATATAACAGGTCTTACATCTAATTATTGTATAGAGATCTCTTCATAACTAATTTCTGTTAAGATTCATATCTTCTCATTTGAACAGGATTTAGGTAGAAATTCTTTTTCTTGATATTACGATATGATATTTTTCCTAGCTAAGACAAGGTAGCATTTTTGATACCGGAGATTCATATACCCAGATTACTCCGTATCTAGACTTTGTAATTACATTATATCTAAAAATCTATTGCAACGATTAAATCATAAAGAAATGCATTAACCCTTAGTTACCATCTTTATATCCTTATGTATGGTATTTTCAATGACCTTGGAATATCATTCGACAACAATTTATCCAGTTTATTTAATAAGGCCAATGTATACGTGCAGAAGGTTTATCTTTGCACAAGACTTCGCGAAAGCCATTTGATGATCGTTCCCTTCAATCTTTTTTTTTATTTCATTAGCTAGCAAGACAAAATAATAATTGCCAAATATCTTACAGTGATACTGAAACCATATATTTTTTCCCATAAACATGATTTGAAGATACACATTTAAAACTTTAGACGAAAACACATGTAATTATACAAATATAACAAAGATTTGACATATATTCTATATACTACAAAGATGTTGTCAATTTCCAACTTAAGCTGATGTAACTGCTTGCCTATGTAACACAATATTCAGCCTTGTCTGCATATTTGTCCAGGATACTCAAATGACAGTCCCAAGATATCGCTAATAGTTTCTCGTCTTGAAAAAGGATGAAAATCAGGCCATCCAAATGGTCAATGGATTTCTTATTAAGCCAACAAATCATCGATTTATTGAAGGAGTTTGGTATTCCTATAAGGATTTAAGTTAATGATAATTTTTTAGTTTAAAAAAACAAACTGAAATTCAAAAAGATAGACAAAATATAGACAAAAAAAAGAAACTGTCGAAAAATCTCATTTTTGTTTTAATTTTTGTTAATTTTATCAATTAACAATATTTATATTCATTTTTGACATTGAAACTTGCAGCAGAATCTACTTATTCAAAAATGACTATGTATACCATTGTTTCAACATATTTTTGAGGAAATACTGACCCCTGTCGAAATCCAACAAAACTGACTAAAATTGAGATACTAATCATTTGGCTTTTAAATGACACGTTAACCGGCTCTCTATTTCCCTGAATTTTTTACCAATTGTTCTACATGGCCAAATAATATAAACATATTGTTGGTGCATTCTAATTGGAAGTACAGGCTTCAGTCCTTTGAAAAACTGTCTTAACTGAAAAATGTAAAACAAATATATCATACTTTTTCGAAACTACATGATGTTTTTATTTTGCAATAGTTTGATACATATTTGCCACCATATTGCCAAATCGATCCTTGTTAATCAAACAGTATATAATTTGTTAATGTACGCTGTGGTCGAAATACTTTTTTCAGATGAAAAACTGAAGGCTGTCGTACTCCTATAGTTACGACGTTAAATTGATCGTAGCACAGGCCCTATGGACCTTTTGAATTTTTAAATCCTATTTCATGGGTAGTCACTCAAGGTGCTACAAATACAACCCACTTTAATTTACTTTGGTGCGTGGGTAAATTTCTATTCTTTCTTAAAGAGATCCTTAAAGACTCTTCATATCGCACAGATAAAATATTTCATATTTCTCAATGAGATCACTGTGGCGACCACAAGATTTACCAATAATTTCCATCAAACAGCATCTGTGTGTTGTGAATTTGTCTGTCAGCTGATGACATCTTGCACTAAAATCGGGATAATGAATACAAGTAAAATCGCCTGGATTTGTAACTCCATACAAGTAAAAATGACACAATTCGCAGTTTTATAAAAATATGTTTATATCCAGTTGTTTTCCGCGTCGTAGAGATCAAAGCTTGGTGATATCTTAAGTTATGATGTCCGTATAAGTTTTCTTATGTTCTATCAGATATACACATGTCTTAGGATATCATCATATTTAAATAGGTAAAAACTTTAAATCATAGTAGAAACTAAAATTGTAAATAATGGAAAAGTTTTTCGAACAAGAATGAAATATCTTCTGTAGTCGAAACCTAACTTTTCTGACTCATACGTCAACATTCATCACGATTACCGTGGGACTTACAATCGGTTATCATATAAATGATATTTACATATAAGGTACCAATTAAATTTATGGATTATTGCAAACTCTTAATTCCCTTCATATATAAAGACAAATATTCATATCGAGGGACTGTGATAATGATTCAAGGTAAATCCATAGAACCAATAAATATCTGAAATCGTGAATATTTAATGACTAATAGTATACTCGAGTACTTCAGGGATCTGGACAGCCATTAATCAATACATAAACCTCTAGCATCTGTTCACAGCCACTTAAATGTTATACCCATACAAGGCACCGGTCACCAAAGCATGGTACTTCATCTATTTCATACTGGAGATCACAGAGAAATCACAACCCGAGATCATATGAATAAATCAGATACGGATATATGGGTTGACAAGCAGGTTACGGCAAACCTCGACGACATGTATTCCACCAGCAGTGTATGCCACCTGCAAACTTGCAAAAAGTTTAAACAAAACACACACGAGTGAATATACGTAAAACGTTATTTTTCACAGTATCAAGAAATAGTTTGGTTATGCACGTAAATTGAGTCTTTATAATATTTTGACTACAATGTGTATGTAATTATCCTCCATCATATAATTCATTTATTTATAATTGCTTACATGTTGTTTTTTTTTTGCTTTGAATAATTCGATAAAAAGAGAGGATATCGGAAGTTATAACATTAAAGCTATGACTTTGATTTTTTGCATTTGTTCACAAAATTCTTTGTTTAAAACTTTGCGTTAAAACATTAACATTGGCCAATATACAGTTAAACCTCGTTATATCGAACTCGGCGGGACCACGAGTAAACCTCGAGATAACCGGGTATTCAATTAAAGTGAGTTCGAATGTTTTTTGTAAAGTTCGGCAGGGACCGATGAAATACTTCGAATTAAACGGGGTCTTTCTACTTAAATAACAAAATAACGAGGTTCGACTGTATTTCATTTGTCAGAACCTCAAATACATTTTCTTAACAATCATGCATGGTAAAATATATCCTTCATATTTAATGTATAATACACAACATGTAAACACAGTCAAATACTAAAATGGATTTAAGGGTGATTACAGAAAGATAATATCACAGTTTAAAGAGTCAATATTGTAATCTAGGCATTGAATAATCAGATAACTCCTTTCGGTTCAAATAATGTTTCTGTCCGAAATAACGTGAATCTCAATATACCGGTTTCACATTCAACTCATTCTTGGGCTTGACGTGGACGACCGTAGGATGTGACTTTGAGGAACGTTTCCTTTTAACCATGATAGATGCTAAAAGTATTGTGATGAAGTCAATGATCTCAAAAACACTTAGCGCACTGGCACCAATACAAAGGCCCATGGCCCCACCAATGTCACCTGGAATTCAACAAAAATAACAATGACATTTAAAACAAGAAAAAAGATGGTCGTAATTAATATTTTGAGTTAGTGTCGAGACATCAAGGTGATCTGTTAAGTGAGTTGAAACCAAATGAAAACGAAATCATGAGTAGTTTCTTAGTGTCAAATCCCCAATGTGGTTTTACGAACGAGATGTTACCGAATATATAATCAATGTTTTGAAAAGTTTCTTAGTGTCATTTCCCCAAGGTGGTCTTTAAAGCGATTTGAAACCGAATGAAAACGATATTTCGAGAAGTCTTTTAGTGCAGCATAAAAAATATACGATTTTAATAATTATAATTTACAACAATCCGGATTCTGATTTCTGTAACTCGGTTTACTATCCTAATCGAGCATCCTTATATAAAATAACAACGACAAGGCCTGGGACATCAGGGAAGTGGTGGTTAAAACCATATCGATCATCAATATTTAAAAAAAATGTTTTGCTTCAATTTCATCCCGAAATATGCCTTTTATTTTATGTTTGATCAACGAAATTCAAATAGATCTAAAAATCGTATTTGACCGAAAGCAGAATATGATTAATTTTCAAATTAAATTAATTTCAACGTTATATTGTACACTTTTGCATTTGTGGCTTTGTTATTTAAAGTTGTATAGCATCTTAAGCTACCAATGCTGAACGTATAACTATGACGTTTTGTAGTCGATTTTTACTTGTGTAATGCAAATATTGTAAAATAAATATTGAACGAATTAAATATAAAAATCACAAATTTGAAATACGTGTATATTGATTTGTTGGATCATTTTCTTGATTTTGATGATCTGAAATGTATTCAAATTTATTTCTTGATCATAGAACAATTCGACATTTTGGTAAAATTGCGAAAAAACAAGTGTCTTTTTTGATTTTGTAAATAATAACCATACTTTTTCTATCAAAGTACAAGGTCTTTAAAAAGTTGAAATTCAGCACATTGCCTGATACAGAATTAATTTTTTAAAATATTTTTTTTCAAAATTGATATTTTTGGATGCTACGAAGTTTTGAGAAATTAAAATCGACTAAAAGCAGCATTTCAGCATTTTCAGTTTCTTGTTATTACATTTTGATGAAATAAAAAGAGGTTAGCTGGGAAAGATCATCTCGAGAAAAACAAAGAATGTCTGCTTGTAAGAAACGAAAATGAATATTTCCTAATACGCATATTCTGACGCCTGAAGTGGTGAAAGAAACACAGAAACTTATTACATTTTGCTATTCGAAATGTTTTTTACTTTCAACAAAATATCATCACCGAAACAAAAGTTAAAATTTAATTATTAGACCTTTACATATCTTTAAAAATGAATATCCTGAATGCATTACATCTCGGCCAAATATTGAAATATTGTGTTAAGACGCATGCTCCACATAAATCAATCGTAAATAGGAGAAATGGAAATAACAAGAGAAATTCGATTTCTATATCAAAATAACAACAATATATTGTTCATCAGGATCCTGAAGATTAATTTGCAGCTAGATTTTACTTACCCATCAGAGCAAATATAGTGTAATCAATCTGTTGAGTTAGCTGTTCATATCTCAGTTCATGGAACAATATATTCAGATGAAGAAAGTTGTCCCTGAAAACATCAAAGCGCACGGTATTATGTAAACAAAACACACTTCATTATCAGTGAAATTGACTAAATTAATTGCACTATTGGCTGTTATTAGTTAAACAGCTAATTAAGAAATTGTTAAGTTTGAAGATAATATGTTATGGTCGAATAACGGAATTCATTGAATTATTAGGCCTGTACTTTTCCCCTTCTTGATTTTGACACTTTCAATCAAGTTTGATTCCCTTTCTTCTAGTCGCCATTGGTTTCATTTAGGCTGTTCCGACCACTCGCGATTCCTGAAAGGACGAATTGGCTGCAGTTGCAGTGTGATTTAGTATTTTGGCTCTATTGTATCTAATTCTAGCTGTGTATTTTAATTTGTGATCACATGTATGTCTTATGTTATTTTTATCATAATTTTCCCTATTAAAATGACAATAGTTACCATCAAGAACTCAACAAACAGCGTTGTTGTTAAATTTATGTCTTGGATGATTTTATTAATTTTCCTCCAATGAGTGACATAATATTCTATTGAGTATTATTAGGGAGACAAGATGAATTTAGTGATATTTAAACAAGACATCACTACGCACTCTCAAAAGTCAAAACTGTCTACAAGGCCTAACTTCTATAACAAAAATGACAACGGACTAGTAAAATTGACCTTGCATGAATAGGTACTAATCTCCTATTCCTACACGCTTCATTTTTATTTTGTTCCTAACACTGCATTCTAACTCTATTTTCTACTCCATTCAACCGACAGTGACTCTAAGTATAAACGACAAATGCGTCCGTACATAACTGTACGCATTTACGACAGACAGACAGACCGTCAGTGATTCAGCAAACTAGTTTGTCACGTTTTCCCGCTGACTGGCAAGAAATAGAAATTCTCCGAGTTATATAGCCAAATTGTTCACGTGCAGAATTCCCGCTAAATACTTAGACTGTGAAAACAGACAAGGTGCTCAAGGTGCCGTAACTTATTAATCAAGAAAGCAGTCAAATAAGGAGATGGAGGACTACTGAAAACACAAACACAGACTGAAATATTCACAAATGATCTCAAGCTTCACACACGGAATCCTAAACCTTGTACCTGTAAAATTGTTGATCTGTTTTCAGCGACTGTTTGAACTCTTCCATGATCTTGATAACATCATCTAGTTTCAGAATGACATCCAGGAGCTCCACCTTATCAAAATTGTAATTATCAAGCTGATTAATTGACGGCATGGCATTATCTTTATGTGTGTAATAACCGATCTTCATGCCATTTAAGGCTGGTTTGACGAGTTCGTATACTTTGAGCATGGCGTAATATTCTATCAGCAACATGTCCAAACAATTAGTTGACTCCATGCTAAACTCTTTATTGTGAAATGTTCCAGACGCAAATGTCCTCACTTCTTCCATAAAATACTTCATGTGATTTGAGTCAAAATGTTCAGCCACAGTCAGGAGGGTTCGTCTCCTATCAAAATACTGTGAAAGATAGTCAACACTCATGTTGAGATAAATGCTAGCCTTCCGTATTCCCATAGTAATGTACATTGTAGTGCATTTTTGTTCAAATGTAGATATCACAGAAGTCATCGGTTGCGATTGTACATCCAGCACATAACTGACGTGGTCGAAATTGCTAACGACACTTTCTTTGAAAAAAACTTCCATTTGTGTTCGCTGCTGGTCAAACGTTTTTGCCAACCTAGCTGAAGTTGAATTCAGTGACTCCAGCATTTTCAAATCGATTTTTCCCGTTTTCAAAAACGTTTTAGCGATGTCCATGTAACTTTGTAACGTGCTCTTACACCTATTCATAGTTTTATAGATTTCCATCCATTGCAAGTCAGCCGGAACAGAATAAACTGTTGGTGAAGCACTACTTCGCAGTTGATCATCGTCAGCGAACCAAACGTCTAGATATTGCTTTGAGAGCCAATCTAAAAAGTCTTTCTCCTTCAACACTTCTTTAATAGCTGACAAATCCAGTCTAACTTTAGTTTGCAATGTTTCATAGTACGCAGTCCATTTCTCAGGCCTGTCAGTCGTCTCCATAAGGCGAATCTGACTATCAAGGTATGATGTCAAATCCACGAAGTCGCGACCCAATCGTGTTTTATCCAGCCGCTTGGTATATATATAATAACTAGGGTACACACTATGACCTTTTTCAAGGTATTTCCGTGCACGCTGTATACAGTCATAGAAATAGTTAAATGTATCTATCGACTGTTTTAGGAGTATATCGACACTCTCTAAGTCATGCAAGACTCGGTAAAAGTTTGGCAAACTTATACGGTTAAGATGAACGAATGATCGCCGTAAAGTATAATAATCCATTTCCTCTCGAAAAGCCATTTCCCGTGCATATATAAGTCGACTTCTGATGTTCCTGTTTTGAATGACTCTCCTTTGGTTTGTTGAAAATCTGGAGATGGTACCGTATGACAAATTAGGACGGTACCAGGTTTGAGTACATGGTACAGGGCAGCTACACGCGACGTCGTGAAGTCGCCTATATTTCACTGCAACAAGAAAAAATCATTATTTTTCTTTAATAAATTACGGTTTACACCTGTAAATTTTCTCTTTTGTTCTTTATTAGTCGTTCCAGACTCACCATATAAGGTGCGTTATTTGCCAGTAGCTTCATACATTCAAAGGAAATGACGTTTACAAATCTAAACTGGTCACGTCAGGTAGTATAAGGGCAAATATAGCAGGGAAATATTCATAAACTCCCGGAAGAGGAAACCAACAGATACCTTTTGCTTCAACAACACAAGTGCTGTATTGGTCCACGTTACAAGGCGGAAGAGAACCTGTAAAAGACGAATGTTTACAAAAAATGTCAAGTTCATTCTGAAAAAAGTAGCACATGCTGTGACATCTTTAAGGTGTCTTAGTTTGATGTTATTTTATTTTCTCCGTTCTTTTTACGAATTCAGTTTGAGTTTAGATTTTCTCTTGTTGGTCTTATGATTCATTTTTTCTATTATCAAATGAGATATGATATGTGTCTCTGTAGGATACACTTACTCATTCCCATAGGCATGTGTATTTGTCGGCAGTGACAAAGAGACGAGATGTACTGCATCTCACACTCCATCTGGCAGGCCCCAACTGTATAGGAATATATATCCATAAACCTTAGCGATCGAGTCACGCACTGTCCATGGGGAGGCGGAACGTTCTGTGCCTTGTAAAAATAAGATAACATTATTTCTTAAAACAAATTTGATAAATTAGTTTGAGAAGAACAACTGTTTTGCTAGACCAAAACGTTAAAGATGTTTATTGAAATATTCGAGTAAACAAGCAATAACAGCATGTTTAAATTAACATAAAAACAATCATTTTTTCCAAGTTTTGCTCATTGGTTTTTTTCTCGATCTTCTCCTGATTTCGCGTTCAAAACATTTAAAAACAAAGAAAATACCCGTTTTTCAATTTCAAGTATTCAGACACTCGTGTGCAGTTAAGCGCGTGAAATGACGAATATTTATACACATTCCTAATGCAGTAGCGTTTGTAAGGTCGTACTGAAGCGATGATAACTCGAAAATGAGACGCGACTTATTTTCTTCTAAAGTAAGGAAATTCAGGTTTATTTGTGTACGAAACTGCACGCTTATTTTCAAGATAAACTTATTTTTTGTTATGTTAGCTTACCATAGAGTTTTTAGAGTTGACAGGAATTTGGTTCATACCTTAGATACTTGGACATCCATGAAACCATGCCGACCAGAAGGGAGCTCGTTGCCGTATTCTGGCATGGGGACCTCAGTTTCGTGATGTAGAATGACCTTCACACCGCCGCTACTATGAGGCCCCATCATACCATCATAGTCTTCTATGTTCAATATCACTTCTAGGCCACTGTACACCCCTAAACATAATCAGAAGACCTCGTTATGATTTCATATTATACCACAAAGTAGTATAAATATACAGACATGGCATTATCTTTAATACCAAATGATTTCAACTCCTCTAGGGAAGGAGGTCGGAAATGGAGAGTAATTACTATTATATCTAATATTCCTTTGTTTCCTTAAACTAAATTCTTGGCAGTTCAAATGAAATTTCTGAACGATAATTTTCACAAGTCAAAAAGTGACCATATTGTTTAAAGCGATCAATGATAATTACCTGGTGAGTCGACGATGTTACCGTCCTCGATTGTTGTGTTACCTAAGAAGGTGTAGCACTGTCCATGTTGGGTCAACACAGGTTTGAAATCATTCCAAGTACAGGCCTCACCTTTCCATTTACAACTATTAAATAATTAAAGTTTTATATCTTAGTAGAAATAAGGAATTTGTCTATAGAAATATCAACATCACTAATTAAACTGATAAATGATAGTAATTTATTGTGGAAACCATTTTTCGTTTGTTAACATACTTAAATCAAAATGTTAAATTAATATTTTCTGACCCAAAACAAAGGGTTTTTTTTCTTTATTTGTTTTTTAGTTATGTTTATCAATTAGAAAGTTTACTTGCTGAAATTCAACACCGAATTTAATTTCTTACGTAACGATGAGGTCCTCCGCCCGGTGAGAGTTGTTTATAAACAATGTTTCCATGGTAACGTTGATCCAAGTCTCACTGAATTTCCTTTTTTTCTCGCCAGACAAATACAGAGAATCACCGTCTTTGTATAACGACTTCAGTAGATCATAATGTCCGTTTTGTATCGCCAGTGTTCTCCTTCAGAGGGGTAATTAACATTTAATGTTGTATTAAAACTTAGTATAGTTTAGTATCATATTTCGCAGTGTTTTGTTTCTCTGAGTGGACATGACATCATTATTGTAATTCAAAGTCGTAATTCAAACATAATCGATCAAATGAGGGCAAAATATGAACATATAGACGTCGATGAACTTAAAGATGTTTAACACGATCTTATTCTATGTTTTCATTGGCCTCCGTGTACTGTTTTCATTCCTTCATATTTTGCAATAGTTTCGTTGCTTTTGAATTATTATATTGTTTACGCTTTCTTATAGTCATTAATTTATGAAAATGAACATTTTACCTCTCAAAGGATTTAAATGAATACAAGATTAAACGAAAGAATAGACAACAGTATACCTACTGATGATACTTACCGAAAGCTGTTTTGGTTACAGATGGTGACGGCAGGAAATTGCATGCTCTCCTTGTAATTTACCTGGAGGTTAACTGATACCGGGTATGAAAAGTAATGTTGTATCCTATCTGCCACGTCTACCACCAGCAAACAACTGCTGAGTACGCACAATGATATCCATATGACTCTGTAACATTCATAAAAATATTATGTGTGTTTGCTTAAGTCAGGAGAAAACTTCTTTACATTATTTATAGAAGTACGGTTTTTAGCAATGTCCCAACAAGTACCTTATAATTAGCAATGTCTCAAATATTGAACAAAGTCGTTAACAATGTACAACGAAAAGATGAATGCGGGACAATGACAAAACACAAATTGTGTTGACGCAACGTAAATTGATGTCTTGAACAAAGATGGAGGACGTGAGGAAAAGCAACGACATGATGAACGTGAATGATGTCGAAAAAGTGAAAACGTCGGGAAAAGCAGCGACAAGAAATAAATGGCATGGCAAAAGATGATAAAGAAAGGCTGACAAACACGACACGAATACAGAAGGACGGGAATCCTTTGACATTGAAATTTGCAACATTAAAAAATAAGTATGTCAGATCTGAAATGGAACCAAAAAAATGTGGTGCGGAAGACTGTTGGCGTTCAGAAGTATGATGGCGGAAAGAAGATAATGGTTAGAGGAAAGATAAATACGCGGTAAGATTATAACGTCTAAAAATAAAAATTTCAAGAAGTTATTAGGAATGCGCAATGTAGAAGGGGTAGTGAGTTAAGGAAAGACAGGGAAGAAGGACAATAAAATTAGATAAAAAGAGGAAGAAATTTCTGAAGTTCTTCGGAAATGGTTCAGAATATACACATGTACTTTACTTTTTTTTCTGAAACAACATCGTAAAAGAAAATTGTGAAATTCATTTTCAAAAACATTGTATATGTAGAAAAAAGTTTGCTGAACATATCAACTTTAAATGACATAATCCTTGAATAATTTCTCTTTGTTATCCCTCAATTTTTTTTTATCAAGTTACACTTTTATCTGTACGTGACGTCCTCGTTTTAGATTCAGTTAATATCCTATGTACTCTGTTTATATATCTACATAAGTACAGCTGTGCTAAAGGACTTTCCTTATTAAAGATGTTCTATAGATTATTAAATATCCAAGTACCACTATGAAATAATAATGTTTCTGCCTTTGGCTGTAATACACTTCACTACGAAGTAGTACTGAAATTCGCATCGCAGGACTTAATGGCTATATAGACATATATGGAATAGAAGGCTTTAGTGTATTATTGAATTCTGATAATAGATAGAAGAATTTAGTCTTGTATATACATAGTAAACCTGTAGTAAGAAAGCAAGATATCACAGATAACAATTTGGATTAGAATATCATAGGATGCATAAATATCATACATAATATTAAATCAATTTAAACAGCCCCAGCCTTATACATATATATAATAGTGTAGCAAAGAAAAATAAAAAATGACATAAGAAAATACCAATTATATAAAAATGTGTGTTTACAATGTTGACAAAAGAAATACACAATTTGTGTTGATATGCCCGATACTATTATCATGTGGTGATATTCACCCCAATCCTGACCCTGATAATAATTTCCGTTCTTTAGGGAACAAAAGGCATCTCCTTAATGCATAATGTTCTGAGTATGATGTTCTATGTGTTACTGAAACTCATCTTAATGACTCTATTTCTGACAATGATGTATCACTTGAAAACTCTGGAAATCTCTTCAAGAAAGATCGAAATAATTGTGGTGGTGATGATGTTCGTACAAACCCGTTCTTACTGAGTGCGTCTACAGACTCCCACATTCACTTGTTAATTATTGGCAAAACCTTTTAAGGATAATGATATAATTGATTTACAAAGTTATTCTGGTGGAAGATATTAATCAAGGCATGTTAAATCCTATTTCAAATTCTCATCTTCACATGCTTTCATTAATTGCTTGGATCACAAAATACCGTGACTAAACCTATCATGATAACTCCTTATTCCTCAACATTCCTCGATATTCTTATTAATAATCATGTTAACTTTAGGATAAAAAATATATACTCCCTCCTTCCTGAAGCAGGCTTTGTTCAACTATTGTTAACTTAAATTTCAAATCCTTCAAGAAGCATGCATACAAGAAAACTCTGTCAAATTACCATAACATTAATTTTGATGGAGCAAATGAATCTCTTCTTCTATCGACTGGAGTCTTCCGTTGCAAGGTGATATTAATGAAACTAATTATGTTCTTACAAACAAAATATTAACAGATGTAGACAAATTTCTACCTAATAAATATGTAACAAATAGAGCTAATGATAACATCTGGATGACGAATGATATTAGACTGAAAATTAAAGAGAGAAACCGTCAGTATTCCAAAGTCAAGCACATGGATACCTCAGCCTCTTGGAATATATTTGGAACTATTCGAAATGAAGTTATTGCCTTAACTCGGGAGGCCAAAGAAAAGTATCTATGAAAATTACAATCGAGTCTGAATACATGATAATGTGACACCAGCATATAAGGGAAAGTTACTTGCTGATGACACATTCCTATATGGTCTAATTGAGGGGAACAGACAAGTTGCAGCTGATGTACTAAATAATGACTTCATAAAAATTCATATTTGGAATAGTTGATGGAATATTATTTCTAATACTGAAATGACAGAATCACTACTCTTTCCCAGGCGGATTGATTCCGGGATGTTGCATCCTGGCCTGTATTTTAACAAAAAAATCAAGAAAATACCAACATGTCAACATAATCATAATTCAAACTAGGGCAAAATATGAACACGGAGATTCTGGAAAAAGTACAAGGAGAATATGACCAATTGTTCTGTAAGACAGTTCTCCATCGAGTATTACCGACATCGTTCTGTTAATGAGGAAGTTTTTTTTTTATCCAATTGATGACAATTCCCCTAATCCTGTAGCGATTTGATTTTTGAAGAAAGACATTGTGGCTGCCTTTGTCAAATGCCGTAAGCTCTTCAGGCATGGACAGAGAGTCATTGACTAGTTTGTCATCTTGAGCTTTTTTCTCTTTTTTTTTTAAAATAAAAATGTAATTTTATATTTGCATTTCAGATTTTGAAATGTATTCCAATGCTAATAAAAACACTGCAACAGACCCAAAGATATGCACTGAAATCACATTTTAAGTTACTCAATACTTAAACATTCTGAAATATGCAGTATCAATCATATCGATTTATGTATCAAATTTTATCCGGTTTTGTTAAATGTTTACCTTGATAATAAAGATCATGAATAAGTCATCAGGCTTTGTTTTACTGATCACAATTAAGAACAACAAATTTTTGAAAAATACAAAAAGATACAGCCTACCTTCGTTTTACGGATATCTCCGTACCGAACGCGAAGCGGATTCCGTGAAATGTCGTGCTGTCATGAAAACTAGATAACAATTGTCTCGTGGAAGATTTCCACAAATCTTGAGTTCGCGTTTTCGTGTTCGGACTTGAATCAAGTTTGTTACTCTTATTCTGCCAAACATCGATAACATTCTTCCCTAAATTGACGGATTTGGATATTTTTCCCATTCTTGGTTCTTGTAAACGGCAGCGATGGTAAGTGCCACGATACACGTCTAACTCAAACCATCAATAACTGGTGTTGTTATTAGATAAATTGTCCGAAAGTAATATGTTCCCAACGTCTTAACGCATGACGTTAGGATATCAAAGTTATGATGCGACGACCGTTTCCCTATATAATTGTACCATAACTGCGATCGATTTTTGAAATGTTACCGGGTAACTGAAATATAGATTAATAATCGAGTATATTAATATTCATATTACCGTTGGTTGTCCATGGGGAGTACCGACCCAGCGTCACACGACATTTAGAACATTCTTTGATACTATACCATGATTGTCGATATGGAATGGTGTCTTCTTTGCTGTAGCCCTTTCATTTGTTAATTATTTATCCAGGCTTGCTGTATTTGGGATTAAGACATGCACCCAGTATCACTCTCGATGTTTCATGATGTTTAATTAATAAAAATAAGCAAATGATATTTAACGAACAATCTCTTTCATCCGAAATCAAACGCATCTGATGTATGTATAATTCCGGTCCTATGATAATACTTATCTCTATTGAAAACATTCGTTTATTCCGCTAAATAATACTTGGATTTGCATTCGAAAAAAATAACACGTATTAATTCAGTAGTGCAGGATCAGAATGCGGTCAACAGCGTCGTCTAATTACACGACCAAGATATGTTTCTGGATTTTTTTCTACTCTTCAATTTGGAAGCAGCTGTTCTTACCAGTAAACTAATTTTCTCATTTGAAGAAATTTTAGCATTTAAATGACTTTTGGTACGCTGGGATTCACAATTCAAAAGCGTACTAGAATCTAGAATCCTCATCACATCTAGGTTTAATTGTCTCTCTAACCTGTATGTATTATAAGTGTTATGTACGTTGGTAGTATTATCATTTTTTAATTTAAATATCAAGCCTTAAGAACACGTTTCTAATATTCCATTGTTAAATTCATGACCCTTTTCCAAATCACTATCTTGGGTGATCATTAATCTTTCCTGTCAGAACATCCATCCCATTTCATTTTCCTATCGCAAATGCATAGTAGTATTTAGCGAAAATTGTAAGACTATCCTTTATAAAATAGCACCCGATGTTTATATGTTCGTATCATAAAATCTTCCTCTTACTGCAAATAAAGTTGGTTAATGGTACGCATAGATTCACTGCCAAGCCTTTATTTCCTCTTCTTTTCATTCATTGGTACTATTTAATCAGGATTAATCACACTTCGACAATGTGACTAGAGGAATCACTTGAATATGAAAATTTAAAAAAAATCACAGAGTTTTTGATATTCTTTAACAATATTCAATTTGACTTTCCCATTCAAATTGAATGTTAGGGAACGTCAACTAACATCACAACGAAATTTTGTCTGGTTTTCATAGTGACAGATATCATGAAAGGGACGGGTCGATGTGGCTTGTGCATAGTGTGGAATAAGGTCTCTGTCGCTCAGCTGACAGGAGTTTACTTCTTTGGTCCAATTGGCCGTTCATGTTTTGATGGTTGTTGCGATTCCTTTGTGAACGTTTTCTACTTCTGTTGCCTCGTCATACAGCTTTAAGACGATGTTTGAGTTGGTATTGAATTGGATCAAATTACCCTTGAGTGAGTGGGTTGATGTTGTATGTTGATTGTCTTGTATCTACATAGTAAACAAGGTCTGCATCTCATCATGGCTTTCGCCAATAGCGTTGTATCATTAGCACAGGTCTAGATCGTCTGTGGTAACAAAATTATTAACTTCTGGAAATATCAAGACTTATTTTTCAAAGTTAATGAGAACGGTGTTGTTGTACCTGTTGTAATGCGTACTGGAGACTGCAACTCCCTGTTGGACACCTTGCAGTATGGGGAAGCTCTCCGATACTGCTCCCTCCCGTTGCACCTGTGTATATACAATGCAACTCCTTAACGATGAGCCTGTCCCCTACTTGGATACCGTCCGACTATAGTTGTCGAATGTGGCCATATTTGTTTTCCTGGATTTCTGTTTGCCGCCTGGTGGTTTGATTTTAACTACTTTTATCTGTATAAATTGGGATGTGATCCGATATATATCAGTGGGGATTCCCTGCTGAAGTCTTACAACTCCTATACTTTGCCAAGCTTTAATGTTATAAATGATATAGTTAATTTCATCCTCGTCCCTCTGGTTAACATCGAAGAATGTCGAGATTCCCTTCAGTGATGATAAGAGCTCATTAGTATTGCAGCATTCTCGTTAGCAATTTGTCTTCCTTTTCGTTGTTTTCCTGTAGTAGGAATCTGGCATTGGAGTCGCCACAGGTACATATACTGCATAGTTAATTCCAAATGAGAAGATTCACTGTGATTCAGTCGGAAAGTGTTTGTTCGTTGGATTTCCACGATAGGGCATTATATGGTTGTGATGCTGATATGGATGTATGCAGACCGATTACCAAGAAGACAATTCGGTTTCCTCCATCCAGGAGCGTTGTCACATTCGTATCAATGTCACTGTTATAGAAATTTAGACGATTGACCTTAACATAGACTCTAGGTACCTGTACATTGATGAAATAATGTCTGGTGAGTCTACAGACTTACTATGTGCCGAGTGATGTGTGAATAGGGAATTCAGCTTATCTAACTGAATGTCAAATTGTGGCAATGATCCTAAGCATTAGATGTCGGTAGTTTTCAGCAAGACCATACAAACATTTTATTGATAGTGTATGTTGTTCATATCCAAGGATGTTAGAACATTATCACGTTCTATTTTTCTCTTGTCAGTTGTAAAATAAAAAGGCCATCAATATAAATAGTTGTAGCCAATGCATACCGCCTGTGGACCATTATTATATGATAAACCCAGGCTGTGTTGGCTATAAGGTTATTATTTACGTTTAATTGGTGTCGTTAATGTGTTAGTCTGAAATTTTCAGAACTCTTCGGAATATTCCTGTGTGTGCAATTTATATAATCCTACTGATGGATTTCGAAAAAGTTGTATGCTTTCCATGAAAACATGCTAAAGCAACAGAACTTATTGTTTTGTTCGAACGCGCCATTATTTCATTTCCGGTGCGAGGGGAGATAATTTGTTTTCAAAACATGGCGGATGACACTAGCGTTGACGTGGATCTAAATGATGTGAGTGTAATATATTTATTTTACCCACTACGTCCATGCCATGATGCAAGAGAAAAGTTCATGTTTATCACAAAATCAATAACTCATATGTTTTAAGATAGTTTCATTAAATATAAAGTTACGGAAATGGAAGAATTGAAAATTAGTGCCGAGCAATTAACATTAAGTAATGGTACAGAGAAAATACAATAGCGTTAGAGGAATTTACTTTCTTCGGCTGGATGTTAACACAGTAGACTATCAACATCATTTCTGTATGGTTATCCATTCTTTATAAATCATCAACACAGCTGGAATAACAACTTTTATTGTTTGTTTTCAGGATGACAAGCACAGTCTTCAGTTCCACGGTATGATTCCATTTCCAGTCTAATCCAATTCTGAACTGTATCGTTTAATCAGAAGGTGTCACTAGCCAAATCACAAGAAAGTCCCCATGAATAATATTTCAGTGAACTATAAACATGTGTAATTGTCTTCCTTGTACCTTTTCTAGTTTTGTCATTTATTAAACTGCAAAGTTGCTGATGGCTTATAACGGTTCACACCACATCTAATCAAAATGATTTCTTATTATAACAAATTGTCTTGACCTGTGGAATAGCGACATTGAGGTCATGTACCTGAAATTGTAATTTGAAATTTTTTTAAAATTGGTTTAATCAGATATGTGATGATTGATAATATGTAAAATTTTGAAGAAAATTTCAGCCACACCTCTTAGTTTTCTGGCATGAAAGAAAACATAATAATTTTTTCCTGATGAATATGTAAAATTCATTTTCTATAAATCTGACTGTTCTTTTATATATAAATAAATTACATATTTTCTTTTTTAATACTACAGAATGTGCACACTAGATAGCATAACATGTATAGTAGAAAGAAAATATGAAGGATATAAAAATAGTGACTTTGATGTTCTTGGTGAGGTAGCAGCCAATTATTTTAGAAGACAAAGGGTTTCTTAGAAGCTTTTCTGTACATGTTTCATAAATATAAATAAAAATTCAACTCAGAGTCAAAGTCAACATTATGAAAATAATTTATCAGTCCAGTTATAATCGATGTTAGGAAAAGCTTGTAAATAATTGGCCTGTAGAAGCCAGTATGTCAAGACAATCAGGAGCTGTACATAGAAAGAGATAATTCACACATTTAAGGATTGAGAATTTTTTGTTGAATGTACATCACTTTCTTCAATCTTTTGCAGATGGAGGTTATCCAAGTACAAAGGAAGACAAAAAGAAAGTTCAGACCCATATGTTTACCAATTTTCCTCACACTGCAGCATCAGATGATGATGAAGAAAACATATTGGACAAGTCTGAAGTATGTGTGATAATTAAGCTGACTTAAAATGGTTGAATTGATAATATCACATAAAAGCTTTTAAAATGTTTATGTGTAAATTTCATAAATACTTCTAAATATCTCATTTAAATACCTACAATTATCTCATTTTATCAATATTTACTGTTATCCTGATAAAATAGACATCCACCAGTTCATACATTGTAGATTAGAGTTTATATATATATTACTTTTGTAATGCCAATAATCATGATAACAATAATAACAACCAATCATGCTTGCGTAACTTTCATAGCTACTGAAGGATGACAAGCCGCCTCCATCATTCTGGACATTCCAGTACTACCAACAGTTTTTTGATGTGGAAACATACCAAGTGCTGAACAGGATTCTTGGATCAATGGTACCACGCCCTGGTAGCAACTATCTGAAGACTCATATACAACCTAACCCTGACTTATATGGTACATTTTAAAATTCTTTTGAGGTAGACACAACTATCAGACTTTATGGATAGAGTCAAACATTTGTCCATGTGACTTTATTGGTCCTCTTTGCCTTGAAAAATTCCTAATTTTTTACTGGACCACATTAAAGTTTTAATTTGAAAAGGAAAGGGGAAGAGCAACAGATCTATGCTTAATTAAATAATTAAATTGGTTAAACAATTCCAACATATTTTCAGAATAACTTCTTTTTTTATCTCTGCTTTTTTTTTTTAACTCAAAACAGCAATTTTTCACTATATGAGAAAGTTTCTTGAATTGATTATCAAACCTGTCTCTATGTTTACAGGTCCATTTTGGATATGTACAACACTGATTTTCACAACAGCCATTGCTGGGAACCTGGCTAACTATTTACAATCTGGTGGAAAGGATTATGAATGGCGTTATGATTTCCATAAAGGTAGAATGATTACTGTATAAAGTTATACATGTAGTAAATGTTCTAAAGTAAGCAAATAATGCTATCTATGTGTTTGATGGCGAGTAATATAGAATTAGTTTTTGATAAATGTAATAATTGTAAAATACTTTCAGGAAACGTGGTACAAAACATCTTTGGACTATTCAGTAAGGTGGCATCTGTTGTTGTTCAAAACAGATTTTACCAACATCTTCAACAGAACCATAAAGCCAACTGTTTTCACTAAATCTAAATGGTCCATTGATAACGGGATGAGATACTCATATTATGTGGTGAAATAGACACTAGAAGTTACATTGATTCCATATCACTAGGGTCATATGATTTACTGATGAGCCCCTTGGTCTGATATTATCTTTGCTTGAATTAAGTAAGGGACATAATACTTGACCTAAATTACAATTTTTAAATAATGGTTATGTAACACATCATTTAATTGGATAATCTTTATGATAAAATCCCCAATGTACTCATGAATTGTGATGAAAGCACAAAAATGGTGGTCATCTTTCCTGTTGAAGGAGATAGTTGACCTCGAGATCAGAGAAATGTGTTACAGTGACCTGCTCAGATGTGTCATTGAAATATGAGGTGGAGAGAATGATGACAGTATTCTTTGTAGCATGTTCTTATTGGCTTTTGCTCGTTTCAAGTGAGTTTGTCGGTAATGTCAAAATTTGGATACACTGTGCTTAACCATTACAATAGGTGATATTCTCAATCCTGGAATCAACTTCATTTAAGATATTACAACTGAATAAAATCATGTTACATGGTATTGTCTCCTAACTTTACTGGATGATAAGAGTCTCCTGTCATGATCTCTTGTGGAACCATTTCCTTGATGTCTGTTGTTCTGTTGATCTTCTTTAGTGAACAATTATCTTTACCTGAGATAGACATGACATTTAAAGCCTTTTCATTAGCCTGGTTATACATCCTGACCCAAATCTATCTGTAATATAACAAGAAAGTAGGTGGAGCTTCTGTGTCATCCATGGTTAAAAGGAGCATTTTGATTGACTAAGGCAATGTGAGGGACCGTTTCGCACAAATCTATGCAAGTCTTGCTCTTTGACTCCAATTGTTTTAGGATGGGGACAGTATTCTTGTTTTTGTGCATATACTGGTGTTGGCTAAAATAAAGGCTCACAGGGCCTTTACTTTATGATGTGGAGGAAAACTTTTTTATTATTTAAATTGAAGAATCATAAACATTTAAATAAATTTTATCTCCAGTTGACATTTATATTGTCTTCTTGCTCTTTCAGTGACATTTGCAGCAGCAGCCATATTCAGTTACTGGTGGTTGGTACCGACAGGCCTGTTTACTTTCCTGTGGTGGCGGGGAATTAGTGCTGGGTACTCCTTCCTGGATCTCTTATCTGTGTATGGTTATTCACTCGCAATATACATTCCTATATCTGTAAGTATCACATACCGACTTCATTTCTGTTCATTAAGCACTCTTAAATCAGTATATAGGATTACTGATACCTACTTTCTATATTTGTGTAATAAACATTCCTACATTGGGTATCTATCATTCTGTCAATCTCCCAGAGAGCTTGTGTGATGTATTTTGCACCTGTATTTAAAACTGATTATGATAAGGACATATTTAAATAAAAATAATATGAAATTTCTGATGTCCTTACAGAAATTTTTATCTCTTTTCTGAAAGATATTTTTAACCTACCATCATCAGATGTGCTATAAAAATGGCCCTACGCCCATGATAGGTTGGTAAACAGTTCTTGTTATCACTGTTTCATGAGACAAACTCGAATTGGCTGATAGGTAGCAATCCTGGAATTTGACAAAGAAAGTTTGTTATCTTTAATTCTTAAGGAGTACTAATAAAGAAATGGATCTTTCTCTATTTTCATTTATTGATTCCCCTTGGTCCTTAGTTGTGCCCTTCTGATTTTGGTAGTGATCAGAAAAACAAAATGGCTGAAGGGTGACCATCTTAGATTTTGCAAGTAAAGAGTAATATTGCAATTTCTTAAAAGTGCTTTTTCATATAATAAAGAACAAAAACATACATTTTGTAGGAGAAGAGAAGAAAGAAGGTAAAAAATCCAACTTTTGAATCTCAAAAAAAGATAAAATAAGTCTTTTATTTAATGGACTTGAAAAATCATGCTTTAGTCATGGTACATCTTGGATTATAATACTGATAATGCTATTTCTCAGAGTTGCAGATTTCCCAACATTCCATTTCCAAAGGGAAAGATCTATTTTAGACTTCTACTTAAGTATAATTATTGTGTGTCAAATGGATTAAGAAGGGAGAAAACTCCTTCATAGTTGCACACATAAAATTGTTGTTAAGTTGCAAATATGTACCAATGTTTATGGTGATAGAATGGTATGTAAAAATGATAGAAGTGTTTTAAAAGTATGTATATTTGCTTGTCTGGTAGAAGACCTACTACAAGAGAGATTTTTTTAAAGTGAAGGGTTATAGTAAAATCAAAAAAGTTGGTTGATTCTGTACCATCTCTCATACACTTCATTCATTAGTGCTTATACCCTTTGCACTGGTCTTTTACAGGTTGTGTTATAAAAACTTTATAATATTCTTCTAAAGGAGAGAGCTGTTATGCAGATAACAAGTATTATGTTGTAAATCATCCGCAGTGTGCAGATGGAATGTTTCTAGACTTCGCAAACATTGTTTAAGAAGCACATGTATGGGATCAAAGTGATCTTCCAACTCTTTCACAACTGATATTGTTGATGATGCAGATAATGCTTTACCTGTATTTTAACTACAGATCCTTTGGGTGGTCCAAGTAGATTGGCTTCAGTGGATCCTTGTGTTGGTGGGTGCAGTACTGTCTGGTTCTGTTCTCACACTTATATTCTGGCCAGTTTTTAGAGATGGCAACAAAAGAACGGCATGGGCTGTTGTTATCATTATTTTCCTACTTCATACCAGCCTGGCTGTAGGATTTAAGGTTTGTAATTTTACTTCTGTATTATGCCTTCAAATTTTTTTTCTATTTGAAAATTATTATTTACGATATGGAGGTTGTGTAAAGGAAACTTTTTTTTCTCTCTCTAGTGAATGATAGTTTCTGAATGAATTTTTATCGTCACAGTCGATCACACTAATTTGGAATATAATATCACACAATACTTTGCTACAGAATTAATTGAAACAGTCCACATTATATTATATGTTTTCATAACTGTTATTTTGCAGTTGTACTTTTTCAATGCTCAAGGCAGTGTTGTATCTGATGTTACCACAATTTCTCCTGTGAAACCAGTGAAACCCACAGCAGCCCTAGAGAAAGCTATCAAAGCCTCACAGCAAAGTGGAAGTGCTTCAAATGCAGACACTCTCCCTGCAGGACTTCCAAAAGGCAATGTGCCACAGGCCAAAGCACCAGACATTCCCAAAAAGACAAACCTTTCTCAAAAAGAGACCAAGGAGCTTCCTGTGATGCCAAACCTTAATACAAAATTACCAAAACAGACTGAATCTAAAAACGCTGGTTTAAATAAGAAACCGTTACCAGCATCTGATCTCCCCAAAAAGCAACCATAAACAATATTTTCAAATGGTATCAAGTGTTTAGACAGCTGCTGTGCAAGAATTGATCAATTCATTTCTTTTAGAATATTTTTCATACATGGAACATAAAACCAACAAACTTAGCAGAAAGCAATATAAGTCAATATATTATAATCTGGTGATAACAGCCTTACTAATTTCTATTAGATGTAGTTATGTAGCAGTTTTATCTTTGGCTGATTGAGTTGAATTTCACAGAATTGTATTCCATAAGATGTAAGATAATTTAACTTTCAAAAAAATATGGGAAGTTGTATAGATTTTAGAAAATATTTATTATTGCTTTTTCATCACAGATATTTAAATTGTATTGAAGACATAGAAAAAAAACTGTAAATGTAAACAGTGTATAATGTTTATAAGTCACAGTCGTCTGTCATGTCTTTGATCTGTAACATACCATAGTTATTCTCCAATGTATTATTCATGCTTCCAACATCCTAATTTTTGCTCAATGGAAGTGTTAAAGCGTAAGCACATGTTATTTTTAATTTGAGACAGGAGCATTTTGTGTTGAATTATACATACATGTATCAACCATGTAGAATGTAAGACATAGTTTGTTTTTTTGATATTTGTATCTGATGTCAGAATGGGGTTATTGGGCATGTGTGTATTTATATACCAAGATATTGAGACAATGTAATTGAGTGTAGGAGTGCTGTTTTTCTTATTTATTGATATATAGTTCTTGATATTTCAGTATCTACATAACTATGATAAATGTGCACTAAGGGTTAATTCAAATGCCAAATACTTTGGATTGTGAAAAATAAAAAAAAAATTCACAAAGAATCCTAGATCTTCCTGAAATTTCATGTTGAAGTTCCTCTTGGTCCCTAGTTCAGCCTGTTTGATTTTGGGACTGATCAGAAAAACAGAATGGCCGACAGGCAGCCATCTTCAATTTCACCTTTTAAAGTTGGATATCACTATTTCTTACAAAGCTCTGAATGGATCTCTTAAATTTCATATGAAGACTCTTTTTTGTCACTTGTTGTGCCTGTTTGATTTTGGGACTGATCAGAAAAAAAAATTGCTTCCATCTTGGATTTTGCAGTTAGAGATTATTGTCACTATTTCTGCAAAGGAATGGTAAAATTTCTTATTATTAAGAGCAAAAACAGACGAGACAAGATAAAGAACGGAAAAGATTCAACTTTCAAAGAGCAAATAAAGATCAAATAATCCTTTGGGATCTCTTGTAATTCGTTGAAGAATTGTTTTTTGTACTTCTGCCTGTCATATACTGTAAAGAAAACTCTGAAAAAATTCAAATCTTTTAATCATTCCTTCTGTATATATGTATATATTGATGGCTACAAATGTAAACAAAGAAATCCAAGTTTTAGCAGTAATCTATTGGCACAGTGATGCAAGGATGATAACAGTGATATACATGTATTAAGGTGATATTTCCTTTCTGGAAATGGAAAATATTTTTACTAATGTGATAAGGTCCATTTTATGGAAAACTGAGTGAATTATAAAATACATTTTTCTATAGTGAGTGTCAAGTTCCCAAATTGTGTAAGACACGGCAGTTACTGATATCAAATATGGCCAAAAAACTCCTGAGGTGTGTTTTAGGAAACTACTTCCTGGTTTTGAAAGTCGTGTAGGAAAAGGTATTTTGATTTACTGCTAAGATCAACAGTACACATTTCTTTAATGTTACTTGAATGCCAACATGGTAGAAGTTACTTTAGTGCTTCTTAATTCTTAATGGCTGTCATTGCGACGAGGAACTTTCTGAACTCTTATCAAATGTCAATCTTTGATTAATAAAATGAGATTACTTTACATGTTCACTTGTCCATCTCAAATACCTTGCGAATTCCTTGCCATGTGTAACTTACGTTAAGTGATTTTTTTAAATGTGATGAGAGATGTTGATAGAATGGATTTAATGATCATGTATCACACAGCAGAGTCACCAACTCACCTGAAATGTCTGGTCAACCTTATCTTGGGTAAATCACGACATGCTGGAATCACCTGTTAGGTAATAAATTGCATTTAATTATGATATATAGAGATTTAGTTTAAACAATATTTTCATGCAATATTCAGCAATTAAACACAAGCATGATACGTATTGGATGGGAAAACAAGCCTAGAGCTTATATTGAGATTTAAAACCGACTTTTCAAAAACTTGTTTATCAATACAATGTTAAAAGATATCGGATAACATTTTTATTTCTGGTGATTATTCTATATTAAGTCTTACCAACAAAATTGATATTTACGCCTAGGTAAAATTCTAACAACATTTCCCACCAAATTGGCTAATTTACTTTACCATCAGTTGTTGGGCTGTTCCATTAGGGGGTATAACATTCAATGGATGACAAATATTTTTTTTTCCAAAGTTGCTTAAATAATAAAAAAAACCTGTCAAAATGTAAATATAAGAAATATTTTTTTTTGTTGTTTACTGTTTATCCAACAATGAGCTAATGGGGTTCATTTAAAATATCTGTAAAAATGCATTTTGCTCACCAGTAAACAAGAAAATCTTAAATATCACTCAAATATACAGTATACAAATATTGAGCTTCAAGTCCTTTTCACTCATTGGCCCTTTACAATAAACTTGTTTCTAGGGATTGTGGCCAATCACTGTAGATTGACACCATTGTAGCAAACAATGTAACGATGTCCTGTGATTATATTGGACTGTAGACAAAGTAATGGATGGTTTCTCTCGAGAAGGTTGATAACACGAGTAATATTTCAACATCAATTTGTGTTTTTGATTTCTGTGATTTCCTATCAACTTACCGTGCATGAATTAACAATGTTCATCTTCAAGTCGTCAGAAACTAGTATTGGAGGATGTAAAGTTATCGAAAATAATATATTGTCAGTGGCCATTACTTGGATTTTTTACACTAAATTTAGTTATAAAAATATAAGATATCCCAGAGGTTTGTTCTTTTGAAGGAGAATCTTTTTCCCTTTTTTCTCTTCTTTCTCCAAGTTTTGCTCTTGATTATATAAAAAATGAAAATTCAAATTGTACCAATGATAGGGGCAGGGCTTTATTGAAGAAATACACATCAATCTATAGGATAGTTTTCCTATAGATAAAGGAATTTCAACCAAACTTTACCAGGTGAGCAATACAGGTCACATGAACCTCTTGTCATCGCGTTCAATGGCCCCGTGATCCAGTACTTGGTCTAATTCTTTAAACAACGACTTACCGGGTAACACATTGGTAGGTTTTTTTTAAAACTTATCAGTGACCCGAATAAAAGTTGATCAAACGGGGATAAGAGAAAATGGAATAAATTGTTAATAGAACACAGCGAAACGTCTGCACGTGTTATCAGCACTGTGTTATTGATGTCGAACGCGAAGATAAATACACGGAAAATGACGTCAACATTGCGATAGAAAACAGGATAACGTTGGTAAATGAGTCAGAATTAGAGGTTTCCGTAGAAATTGACAACAACTGGTGAACAATATAAAGTCCTAACTTTAACCTTCCTGAACATTTCATTAAGTTTTTGATAACTCAATCCTTATGCAAACTTCGCCGGAAACTGATTGATGATTACCAATAAAAAGAGAGAACAAACCAGCCTACTTCAATATTGTCAAGTCACGCGTACAATCAATAACGCCATGGTGTATTGAGATAAACTTGACTAAAATGTTACAATGCCATTATATTTATTTTGGAAAATGAAGACCTCCGGTAATTATGTGTCATATTTTGTTTTACTTTTCAATATCCGAATTTCCTACTTTTGAACAAAATATCGAAAACTTATCCAAGACTTTAAATACGTTTTGTACAGAGCTTATATTGTACTGATTTCTAAATTGTCTAATCTATTTATAACACCATTTACATGAATGAGACTGGCGTTCATTATTTCCAAAGTTATGAAGAAACATTAAGGTAGATATCTGGACAAATTATTGGATTTCGTCTTGAATAAAGATTTAAATCCAAAAACCATAGATCAGAGGGTTAAAAGATATGATTGGAAGTCGCAAGATTATTAATTCAAAACTGGGATCTGTGTTATAGATGTCTGTTCATCATTTCATGATAACAAATTTTATTTAATAGATATTTACCATTTTAACTTATATCACTTCTAACTTGAAATTTCTGGTTTGATACCCGAAAGATAATTGCCTCATTCACACACCACATGATACGAAGAACACGTGTTGTGGTCCACTAAATAAGTCTTACTTCTGTGGTCTTGGCGTTGCTTTGGTCAGCTATTCCGTGTAAGATGTGTCTGTGGTATACATATATGGCATTGCTGCATATGTTACAAAGCAGTGTTTGTCATCAATTTGCAAGAAAATGTGTCACTTCGCTTCCAGCTGGTAACGCATTGCATGTATGTAGGTGTGTAGACTGAAGAAAAAAAAATACAGAAACAATTCTCTTGTGCGCCTCGATTTCGACATAGACTGTGTAAAATCCTGTTAGGAACAATATGAAGGTAATTGTATATAGTAATATTGTTATATCACATTAGTTTATAAATATATCATCGTCAATTCTATATCCAAAATGATTACCTGTACAGCAACACATAATCACACATGGCATCAAGGTAAAATGTGCAGGGAAGACAATCAGAGACTACAAAGAAACCGAAAGTTGATTTGCAAAAAATGAAAGATACCACATTGCACCATATCAATTTTCATCCTAGAATTCCAATGGTTTCACTTTTGTGCCAAACACCTGCACCCACGCGGAATAGGTAATTTGATGAACATGTTACAGTAAAAGACTAATTATATACAGAGTTCAGTCATTACAAGTCCTTATGGATAATGCCCCAAACTCCCAGTCTTAACATCATAATAACAAGTAGATGGATATACAAAATTAAAATTTTGTCAACCACAGACACACGTGAATAATCACAAGGAATTACCCTTATCGTGCCTATAGCATAAAATGGAATTACAGCCCTTCACAAAATGGTCACGTGGATCACACCAAATGGCGGACATCCTAACAGACTAGTTTAAATGATATATAAGAAAAAAAAGAAAAAAAACTGCGTACGTGTCTTAGGAGGACGTTTCAATAAATCATTGTGTAATAAACAGTTGGCAATGTTGAAAATCAAATGTGACAGATTTAATATCAAAATAACTAATTAATCTTTTATGCTGATTTATGGTTTTCTATATAATTGTCGAAAAAATTAAAAGTTGTGCGCTAATTTTTTTTATTAAATCGATGTATTGACTTACGATGAAACCTGCTTTAGATCATTTATGAAGCCAAAGTTTGTAGATTTGAAAAGAGGTGTAAGATATTCTATCCGATCAGTAAGCATCTAACGTTTCGAACACCACATTTCAGAAACTGTTATAAATATCGTTTGGTAATCCCTTCATTCTTTGCTATTTGTGAATGAGAATTATGACTCTTAAACTTACAAAACATTATTGTAACTGATACCGTTGGACCTTTCAGAAACTTCTAACAGTAAATAAGATTGCCTTTTTCCCTCTTGTTATTTGACTCTTAAGCTGCATAATAACACAATGGGACATTTTAGACTCTACGTATATTATGATTTATAAAAAAAAGTTATTATGAGAGACAAAAATCATGTAACAAACTTTAGATTGTATCGACATATTCCAAGAACTATCACGTATCTGCTTCTGTCATAGATGTCTTCCACTCACGTGATTTCTGTTGGGGGAATGTCGACACAGATTGGAAGAATACGTCACGACTGTTTACATGTTCATCACTCATGCACTTATGTTACCAACAAGTCCTTATCTACTCTACTGGTTATTGATCCAGGTTAGTGTACTTTAAGAATCTAATACGTCTTATGTTATTCGATACTTGTGTTGTTAATGTCGATTTTATTTATAAATCATATAAAAGCTCAGGATTTTAAATTTGATAGTTATGAGATATATGTTTATTTTTATCTTCACGAGAAAATAATTGACACGAGTACATTTACGAAATGGACATTTGAATTTCAATATGGCTCATTAGTACCCTTTAATGGGCTGATAATATCAGATTGAATATTAATGATGAATGAATGATTCCGTGATTAATAATGGATGGCCCTGACATGAGCTAACACGTCAAACATGTAGGTTTAAAGGCGAAAGCATGAATGTACAGAGTGTTCAAACTAACCTACAAATGAGTCAGTTTTGTTCTTTTGAGATAACACTGATATAATTTGCCTTTGGTGTTGACACTGTTATATTTTGACAAGGTGTATTGCACTGATGTGCATTTTGTCTGGTGACATTTGCACGTGTTTTGACTTTCCGTGTTGTACTGTTATATATTGTCTTGGCGAGTTGACAATGATGTGTGTTTTGTATTTTGTATGGTGACTTTTGCAATGTTTTGACTTTCCGTAATGGCACTGTCTGATATAGACTGTCTTGGCGAGTTGACAATGATGTGTGTTTTGTATTTTGTATGGTGACTTTTGCAATGTTTTGACTTTCCGTAATGGCACTGTCTGATATAGACTGTCTTGGCGAGTTGACAATGATGTGTGTTTTGTAGTTTGTATGGTGACCTTTGCATATGTTTTGACTTTCCGTATTAGCACTGTTATAGACTGTCTTGGCGAGTTGACAATGATGTGTGTTTTGTATTTTGTATGGTGACCTTTGCATATGTTTTGACTTTCCGTATTAGCACTGTTATAGACTGTCTTGGCGAGTTGACAATGATGTGTGTTTTGTATTTTGTATGGTGACTTTTGCATATGTTTTGACTTTCCGTATTAGCACTGTTATAGACTGTCTTGGCGAG